CCCCCCTTCCCCCCCCCCCCCCTTCCGCCTTCCCCTTCCACCGACCATTAATATGCCTCGCGATCCCTTAGTTAGGTTTTATTGACTGAAGCAGGTTCCATGCTGCAGCTGCTCAAAAATCAAAGAGAATCCTGCAGAGTGGGCACGAAAAGTTTAATTCGCCTTAGCACAAGAATAGGCGCTGCTCAACTGAGGCTTAAACAAATAAACAGTATTTCCTATTTGCGCGGTAACTCTTTTCCGCTTCAGTCCACTGTTATCTCTCACTGGTTTGTCTCTAGGTAGACGACACGCCCGTCTCTTTAAGCGAACCGTCTCAAAACTTGACCAACGCAGTAACAGGCGACTCGATGTAAATTAAAATCCTTTTCAAACGTCGACTGCCGGTAAAAACGAAATTCGTATTCAAAATGCTTTGCAAGCATGAAAGTTTTCGGTCCAGCTTTTTTTAGGGATGGTGGTGTTGCTGTTCGGTCAGATTTTGGTGTTTATGATGAGTATATGTGGCCTGGGGGTTGGGTGGTCGGGGGGTTGAGTGGTCCGGGGGTTGAGTGGTCCGGGGGTTGAGTGGTCCGGGGGTTGAGGTCCTGGGGTATGTTCTCCAAGAATCAGGGGGTCCTTAGCCTCCTGTTTAAAAAAGAAGTTGGATTTGTCAATCAGTCTGAGTGAAATGTTTTTACATAATAGGCAGAACTAAAAGTCTTGAATTTTCGTACGCTTTTTTTGCTCGAAAATTGGCCTCACTACTTTGCCCATGTGCTCCATTCATATGATGCCCTGGCAAGCGTATTGGACGAGGAGAGTACGTCGAATAGGCAACGGGGCGTGTTGATAATTTGCCTGAGAGACAGCATAAACAGCGATGTGATTGATATCGAAGAATCAGGAAACGCAACCGAGGTTTCATTTGAATCTTTCACAGTGTCTAGCTACTTGGTCTAGGAAGGGCAGACTGAGGAAATTGTCAAGCCTAATTTTATGATTATTAACTGCAAATTCAGCTGTTACACAAGCAAAAACTCCAGTTTAGTCAGCTACCTTATGACGTAGTTTGGATCAACTCGACCCTGCCCCCGCAATTAATGATAATTGATCATTCGTCTCCATTGTTTTGTTGATAGCCTTGGGCTTGGCTAGGGTCAGTTGAAACCATTACAAATGTTGGCTATAAACTTAAGAAACCAAAACCAAAGTAACTCTAGATCTACAGACACTGTTTTTGAAATATGAAAATTCATTTGAAAATTATTCCCACAGTCAACCCCCCCCCCCTCGCCCCCAACTATCTCGCCCTTATGTTTTCCTCTGTTTCTTTCGCCTGAACATTTAACCTTATGTTATATAGTCCTTGCTCTCTTTTCTATCCTCTGCTTGCCTCACCCTTACTTCCTACCCCTACTCTTTTTTTCCCTCCCCTACTCCTTTATTCCCTCCCCTTACTCGTTTTCTTTCCCTTTTCCCCGTTCACCCCCTGAATCATCTGTTTCCTTTCCTCGTCATTGCTACATGTTCAGTTCCAGTCCCCGTTCTTTTGCCTTCGTCTTGATAACCTCAATGTCCCATTTTCTTTCTTGTCCTGTTTTCGTCTTTGCCCCTCATGGCCCATCTGTCTCTCTCTCAAGCCACGCCTGCTCTTCAGCTATTCCCTCCACTTTCTGTGCCAGATCACTGGTTGCTATCGACGGCTACATTTCTTGTCTGCGCACCCAAACCGTGTGGTTTCAAAACTCGTTGTCGCTACTAACCACAGAATCTGCCGCACCGATATTTATATCGAAATTCAATATTTTACGTGTCCCCTTCTGGTTGAGTCATACGATAGCCCTCTTTGTCACGCCTCCAAATCACGGAGACTTCGTGCCAGAGGCAACACCGTTCGTGTGCAGAAAAGCACGTGTATCATTTCGTAGCACTTTGGTATGTTCTTTTCATAATCACGGGAGGGCCAGGCTGATCTGAGATGCAGTACCACTTTCATCGCAATCCAAGGTACTGAATTATCGTTAATCTATCCTATCGTTAATTGCCCGAACGTTGCACACCCATGGTTTGCGCGAGGCTGTCTGTCCGTCCACCGGTTTGTTGTTTGCCTCATTGAATGCCTCTTCAAAAAAATTGAAAGGATTTCCAGGAAACAGTTCACATTCTGTTTCGGTCAAATCGACCGGCATATAGGTCCTAGATGTTTTATAGAGGCTTTACGTTTTTATTCACTAGATTTTAATTGTAATTGCATGTGATTTGTAGTAGCTGGCCGCCCGTCCTTAAATCCTGTTTATATTTAAATCCACGTTTTATGTTACTGTTCGCATTACCCCATTGTAAAGCCACCCCAATTCATAAAATTTTAAGATACATTTGCTCTTTCTCTGACGGGGGTAAAAATGCAGAGATTTTATCACTTCGAGCGCCTTCTCTTTGTCCAATGCAGCTCATTGTTTTATGTAGATTTCAATAAAGCCTCGTTTGTCAACAAAGCCTCGTATGTATTGTAGTGGGTGTGTGATTTGGAAATCATAAATGTACATAGTGGGATTCAGCGATTTACTGCTCTGTGCACTGCTTTAAGAGTTCAAAATCATCGTGGCCTCTGGATTATTCGAGAGAGTTTGATACTCATCCTCGGTAAACATGTGGACCAAGTCGCATACCAGGAGTTCCGATCGTAAGTCACTTGGTTTAGCCAGCTTCAAAGGGTCTTTGTGAGGTTAGAGACGGGCTGCTTCTGTCAAAATCTGTGATATCTTTCGGGTTCATTTACATGAAATTTTTGTTATTTTCAGATGCAGCAGTCGATGTCGGCCGTTGATCGAGGCGTAAGAGATCAATATGAAATTCTGCAGAACGGTAAGAGCACATAGTTCATTCTTTACGTGCTACTGGGTGGGTGATATCGTTTCCTTAGCTGTGAATTCAGTTAAGGTGCCGAACTTAGTCAAGGTGCTGAACTCTGTTAAGGTGCTGAACTTAGTTAAGGTGTTAACTTTGATGGTAACAGCCAACAAGTCATTTTAGATTCAGGATAATGTCTTATCTGAAAAGCACTTGGTTCCCGAGTAGAATTAACAAAGGCCTTTAGAATGAGATAACTAGGCCCACACCATCGTTTATTAGATGCCATGTGATGGACGGATTAAAATGAATAGACTTTGCGGCCTATTAGAACAGCTCTGTAACGGCTTATCCAATTTTCTGCTTAGCAAAATGATTGTTTGTTAATACATTCCCACTACAATTTTCCTTTTATTTCACATTTTCGCATTTTTAATGGTTTTAAATATCGCTTGCTCACAAATATCGCATATTTTCAACTTTACTAGGGTTCATGTCTCATTTTTTCTGAGGGATCAAATTGTTTTGTTCCCTCAGATATTCACCCCTTTGTCACAATTTACAAGTATCTGCGAGTCCAAAAAAACAATAATTTTCTTGTAATCGCTCGAAAGATTTATGAAAATAGTGAAATAGACCCACTTTTTTATGATCAAGATTTTGTTAACTGCCCAAAAAATAAGCCAGGTGGTTTAAGATCGCTTTGCCCATGATATCATGACAGACAGTTCCCTGTTCATGGTGATTATCCGACACTGTAATTAACAAAACAATACAATGGCGAATTAGAGAGCAACCACTTCCTACCTGAATTGATAAAAGCCAAAACATTCATTCTTTAGGGCTAAGAAATTGCTATTTAATCAGTCAACTTTTTGCGGGTGACAATGCTTTCGCACCTTTTTACACTTATGGTGGAAAATTGCTCTATTCATCGTAATATGGTCCTATATACATTAAGGTGGAAAATTGCTCTATTTTATCGTATTAAGGTGCCACCAACATCCTGAGCGCAAAGATCACCGGCCATCACACTTAGCCCAGCACAGTGATCCTTTCATTTATTTTCCCAAACCTTTTAGGCTTGTTAAAACCCGCAAATATTTAACCCCCTTTTCGGTGAAAAGCTTAATGTTAATTCCTTGACACTTTAGAAGAAAGAAGCAATACTTCATTGGTCGTATCTAAGTAATGGAGTACCGAAACATTACGTCATCGGAGATATATTTTTTGTGAAATTTTTTTTGACTTTTGGCCATAAAGCCTTGAGAAATACCTTTCAAATTATTGTTACACTGTCGTTAAGTCTGTTGCAAATTGGCTGGAATATAGCCATTAAAAAAGATTTCGCTATCCGAATTAATACTGTTGTTTAAGCCTGGTCCATAGATTTTAGAACAAGTACCAAATAACAGTGATTTGAAGCCTTCGATTATGTAACAGGGAAAGAGCCTTTGATTATGTGGCTTTATCTTTGCCGATTTCGTACATATATAGCTGATTTTGTGAATTCTGATGTTTTTCATACTGGCCTTTCAGCTTATTTGATGCAAATTCAAAAACTTTAAAATTAAATTTTGTGGCGTCATCACTTTGGTATTCCATTTAATCTTTCCTTTCTCGATATCCGTTGTACAGTGAAATATCCGCCCAACTGCCATCAAAACCCTGTAATATAAACCTCCCTTCTACAGACACCTCTGTACAATGGGCAAAAACTCGGGTCACCCATGTTTAAGCTTTACGGAGCATACATTTTACTGTCTTTGATGTCCACAATATGTTAGAATGTTTATAAAGAAATAACCCTTTTCTTCATCAAGGTGGCAACATGACTTATAACAGAAGGCAGTCTATGACTACGACAAGAATAGAAGCGCCAATCACAAAGGTTTGTCTGTCTTAATGACTGAACTCAGCAACTTCCATTTCTATCCTTCGATGTTTTTTTCTTGACAATAACTCCATATGTAAGAAAATCTCTCTTATCATGCCATCTTATTCAAAAAGCGCAAAGAACAAATTAAACATGAAATAACTTAAAAATAAATGATCAAACGAATAATGGTTATTAAGCATCTTTATTTTCAGCATTTCATCCTCGATTTCTCATTACATATATTCATTATTTTTATATATTATGTTATTGTATATTTCCATAATATCCTCTTCTCATGACTCCATTAGTATTCGTAATTTGTAACAGATTTAAATAATTGGTAATTTAAAAAATAATTATGGTGTTTTTTTATTCAGGTTATTAACATGTTAAATGCAGTTCAGGAGAACAGCCCAGTCAACGTTGTTCAAGTTTTGGAAAAAGTCATCGTAAGTTTTAATATTTCTTATCATTTGAGAAGTTCTTTAAATACTTTTCGCCATGTTAGATCTGTGAAATTTATTCGATTTTGCGTTTTGTAAAATCATAAGATGCTCGGTTCTCCTCCTTTTGTTGCAAGTTTATTTGATAAATTCCATTTTATCAAGAATTTTGATCCTTGAAAATCTCGATTTTCAAGTCTTCATCTGCTTCGATTTATTCAAAAGTGCGACTATAAGAGGAATTATTCTGTCGAAAAACCAGTTTGTTCTCAATCTAAAACTCCGTACTGCTTAATTTTGCAATGTCAAAATGTTTGGAACTTTACCCATAGAATGCTTTCTTGACTTGTGAATTTAGAAAATTCTTACTCCACTGTTAAAATTCATCGATTGGACTCTTCTCTTCTCCCAGTAAAGATATTCCTGTGTTCTGAAGATCAGTTGACCAAACTTCCAGCCTCAGCTAGTCTACTATAGTAGACTATAGTCTTATGTTATCAAGACAGCAAGCTTTTTATAGAGCCCGAGTTAAATACCTGAGACGGGGCCCCGATTACGTCTTTAAGATATTTTGTAATTACTGACGCTCTATACTGCGCCAATTAAAACAAAAATATATCTTATATATTTCTAGATTGGGCTGTCTGATTTAGAGAATAGAAATTGAGAAAACACTATTTTTCTTAATCTAATGCAAGGCTTGAAATGATGTCGTAACGTCCCTTGGCAAGGACCCCAGTACATTTTACCCCCCTCCCCTTCCCCCTAACCTTTTGAAGCACATATTTTCACACGTCGTCTTTGTTTTGGAAAGCGTTTTTTTCTAACTAGGTACGATTTCCATGTGAAACGAAAGGTTTTTGCGGGTTGCCTCAAAACCCAAAATGCATGATGTCATTTTAAGATGCTTGATAAGAAGGTCGAAATTTATGATCGACTTTTGCATATTATTTTGATATTATCAATTGTTTCTGAAGTCTGGAATATTTTTATTTTGTTACATGTACATTTCTGTGCCCTGAAAAAAACAGTGGCGTCTTACTTGCCTTGTTGTGTTTGAAAAGCGTGCCAATTTTATTTGGTTTTCTGAACCACGACCGAATCATGTGAGACTGAAAACGAAGTAAAAACAGATTTACCTGATCTGGCTCTGTGGCAAGACTGCAAGCCAGTTCGTTATTCGCACTCCATATATTTACGATTCAGGTTAAAATCTGGCATTTGCTATTTCCCAGCTACGTAAGCTGGGCGTGCTCTAGAGCTTGCCATCTCAATTACAGCTGTGCCTTCTCGGCATATTTCGATCCTTTATAATCCAAATATTTGTTTCATTTCTTTACTTACCCATTTTTGGTTTCCAAGAATTTCGGGCACGCTTTTTTAGGCCATCGCCATCATCCTCTGTTCTTATATATTCATTTCTTCTTTATTTATTTTTTTTAATTTATCTTCATTTTCATTATGTTATTATTCTTACCGATGGCTCGTGAGAGTATCTGTATGTCTTTTTTAATCATGCTCTGAATTTCTTCCCAAGTCTTGCCTCTTAAGATGTAATTTCAGATTCAAATTAGTTTATTCTTCCAACCCAAGGCTCCAAGATGTGTTTTTAACCAACAATTGAAGATCTTATTTACTCTAGCAACCCTTTTACAAATGAAGCGGTTCTGTAACTTTCTTTTGCGGAGTTAAATCACAGAAGCAAACTTTATAGTGTCCTATGCTTGCATCTAGAAACTGAAAGAATCACCCTTCCTTCGTTATTTCTGTAAGCTTCAGTTTTTAAGTTTTATGGACCAGTCTAAAACCCCAATCGATTTTTGGTAATATCCTATCATGCTTTGGCTTGCCTTAATGACAATGAGCTAGACTGTAAGAATAAACTGCTAAAGATTTACAATTAATTAGGTGCGATTATCAGACTAAAGGCTTTATCGGCTTTTGTTGGCTTTATCGAGAGCTGCCTTTCACTGAACCTTGAAGTTACATATAATTTTTCCAGTAAACAGGTATTTTTTGGCATTGTGAGCTCGTCGAACAAAGCATCTTCAATACCGCTTGAATGCCTTTGTATTCCAGCGCTCAACTAGATTTGTTTTATGAAAATATTTTGTTTTTTTTCATAGGACATTCTACGGTCAACAGAGCTCTTTAACCCATTTACTGACAAAGTGGAAGACAAGGGTGGAGTTGAAAATGACCTTGTGGATGGTCTCATGCACACGGTACGTCAAAGGAAGCTCTTTGTATCGCAATTTTTTCAACACTCCCCCCCGCCCCCTGATATGCTAGCAAATCTAGATACCGTAACATAAAGCCCTAATTGGTTCAAGCAAGAAGTAAATGAGGAAATCCGGTGGTATGCCAGGTTCAATGGAGTTTTGGTCTTGTGTTTATGGCTGGCAGTTTTTATCCTTTCATCACCGAATTTATAGAACAAAAAAGAGCATTTATTTCATCAAATTGATTCTTTCTAATGCATTATGCAAAAATGCACCTTGATGTGTCTTGATGTACCTTGATGGGTCTTGATGTACCTTGGTAAACTTTTTTATAAAACTGTCTCTCATTTTCAACTCCGATATGGACAGTAAGAACCTTTTAGGTTCAATGTACTTAATTTCTGTAGCAAATGCATGCAAATAGGGACTGAAGTCTGTAGGCACATTTCTCAACAGTACATCTCTAGAACAATCGTACATCATTTGTATGAAAGCTCGTATTACGCTTTAAGCTAAGGTTAAGGTTAGGGTTAGGGTTAGAGGAACCACCTTGTATATTCATTGTCTGCTATATATTTAGTTTCCCTGAAGCTTGTGTTGTGCTTGCCTAACTTTTCTGTCCTCTCGTTATAGCGACGGCGCCATTCTGGAGATGCTAATATCAAAGGTATCGTACATTGTTTGATTTATGATTTCGTTTCGTCATTCTAAATCTCTGTGTTCTGCTCTGTGTCGCTGAGAGCAAGGGGGATCTCTGTGTTCCTAAAAAATGTCTCTGTCAACACCCAGGGTATTTCGGATTTAGTTTAAGAATAAAGACTTTCTAATTATTATGGTTAAAACAATTGCAAAATATTTATGGATAGTTTCTTCGAAAAGTGTGGAGAAGCGAACTTAGTCTTTGTGAAACAAGATACTTTGATTTAGCGTTATTTGTAAAGTAGGATGAAGCATCGAACAAGCCTTGTCGTTACGTTATCAAAAGACTGCACTGAATTCTCAAATTAACTTTAAGGATGAGCGCATTTTTACTAGAACATTCCCTGTATAATTAACTTCTACATACCACTATCAAAGTAGCCTATGTTCCATGCTGTATTTGAATATTCAAAGCCATCCTTTCCTATTCATTAAAGTTCAGGATATTTTCCAACCTTAACTAAGAGATATTCTAGCAAAATATGTTGAGCATCGAAGATTATGTATATTCAAAGATCATTTAAGCTCGTTTATTTTTGCAGCGTCACGAAATGTGTTCTCCTATAACGTTTGTTTCTACAATTGTCAGTGATTGTGTTCCACAGGGCAATGTTTGCACTAGAATATATGTCTCTAATCGCTCTCTAAGTCATATTTAAATTTTCCCTTCCCTTTCCAGGCCATGTTATTCACCGAGACTCCGGACATGGTCCTTCGTTGTCTCTCCATTCTCTACACGCTCCCCCGGAAATCCAAAGTGCACTTGAAGGGGAACATAAGTGGCAGTTTGATATCATTCGGTTAGAACGAGTTACAAACAAAAGGTAACAGTGTGCTAAAAGCCCTTAATCTTGTCAGATTAGATTCGTTTAAGCCATTCGATGTTGACTCTGTTCTTTGTTCCCGCTTTTACTCGAGGGTATGAACCTTAGCAGAGGCACTTGACGTTTCTTGCTTGTTTTCAGTAAAATTTAGTTTTTTGTCTAACAAACATGTGATGCACAGGTTTCAGATCATCGGGAGTTTTAGATCTGGTTTTGATTTGAAACTTAAAAGATTTGTAACTTTCATTGTGGAAGAAATTTAAAAAATGATTATATTTCTTACTATGAGCTTCATTTTTTTAGATTTTGCTGGTAAATTTTCTTGGTAAATTGCCATTCTAACATTTTCTGGAGACCCAGTTCCAAGGTTCCTGCAGCTCTGGGAAGGCACTCAATTTTTTAGGCCATGGTTAACAATCCCACTCAGAAAATGCCAGTTGCTCGTTCATTGGGCACTTTGTAGAGACGTATAATATTCCAGAACAGTAGGCCTAATTCTGTCGCTATTTAGCAACTATTTCAGACCTTGCAAGTTAGCTTTTTAATTATGCGGTATGTTTTTCTAGAATTTCCGGTGTTTATAATGACACACCTGTTTCTTTTTCAGACCACTTTACTATTTAGGATATGCAATATTTAGCAGATTCAACGCATGCAAATTTCTAAGTATCAGTGATGACGTTCTGCGAAAGTGGTTGCAGGTGAGTTCTGGCAGCTTTTCTCCACTTTACTATTTTCATTTACGTAAATACCCTGATTACTTGCTTATCGCTAGCTCGGCTAAGGTTCGATTCCGGTTACTCAATTATAAAGCTCCGTTAACTTCTCAGCGGATCGAAACTTATCCGGATTATTTTAGATCATCTGGAGATTTGGCTGCAGCGTTTTAATCCAAGCAAATTTGCATATATGAATTATATTATGACTGGATCCTTATAATAAGATAGTATTCTATGATGATCTAAAACCAGTTTTTACCCAAATAACCATCGATCTGTCAGGTCTCGTGTAAATTCAATTCCTGTTGATGTTAATTAAGATGCGGATCCATTCGATTCAAGTCCGGTTTCATGAGACGAGCTTAACTGTCTCTTGAAATAAACTGTTAGAGAAGATTCTTTCCAATGTTATGCTTTTTATATAGTGATAAGAATAATCTATTCTTTTAAGCTTATTAAAGTGGGCAATTTTGGTTGTGCCTGTAAGTTTTTAGATCTAACTACTAGCAAGTTGAATTTTGCGTCCTAAAAAATCCGTGAGAACGTTCTCAATAAAATTCTACACACAGCACGTTCTATTCGTAACTAATTAATCTAGGCAGATTTTTTGTGGCTGCTCCTGTCTTTTCTGGTTATAATTTTAATCGAAATTTAGGCCATATGTCTAATCTTAGAGATGGACCCTTCATAGCCGGCGTGCAACTTAATACCAAAGCTTCTTGGTGTATTTTGTGAATGTTGCAGTAAGGTATAATGTAGAGATGTGTAACCCAGATTTTGTAAAAAACTTCTCTTTCTTTCAGCTGATTGAGTCTAACTACCACTCCACGAACGCCTACCACACGTCAACACACGCAGCTGATGTCCTCCACGCTACTTCGTGCTTTCTTTTGAAGGAAAATGTAAAGGTAATCACAATTTGAATTCCGCGAAATTTCTGGCTGGTTTTTTAAATGGTATTAAGATTTTAGTGTCCTAGTCTGTTTGGTATAGAACCGGGGATTGTTTATTTGGTCGAAATACGGGTGTTATGAATGTTAAATTGAAATACTCACATAGGTCTGGCGCACCCCGTCCAAAACACCCGAAATTTTAACGAGGATTGCCAGACCGCTATGGGGAACATTACCCCATTTGGGCGCGTGCTACGTCGTTGACGAGGGATTGGATTGGAGCGAGCCTTGCTGGTTAACCTTTACTACGCCCATGCGGAGAGTCGCTTACGATGTACAAGCGTCATATGGGGGTCTCTCTCCAACACAAAAACAGAAACTCTCCGATGACTTTAAAACAGAGACCGCTCTATTATTGGGAATGCAAAAGTCAAGGATCAGTTGTCTAGTAACTGGTTGATGGTTGAGCAAGTAATAAACTTTGATCGATGGGTAATGACCTACAAGGTGATGAGTAAAATCTGCTCTGACATCCTTTGGGATAAATGTAAAGCTAGACAAAGGTACTTAAGTAACAGAACAAGAAGCTACATGGATATTCAAATTCCCACGTATGATCTTGAGTACTTGAAAAAGCTTTCACTGTTTGGGACTAATTGTTTGGAATGACATCACTGCCAATACCAATGAATTTTTTATCTGCGACAATTTAAAAAACACCTCAAAATGCATTTGATGAGCTGAATTTAACCAAAACACGATTCCCAGGAACATCAGCTCCATCTTTGTTTTATTAAATTGCATTACAATTTTGGGAAGGTTTGTAATTTAATACTGGAGGAAGCTATTTTTCTTTGTTATTTCTGTTCAGTGACAATAGTACTAGGATTGGACTCATAAAAACTTCAAGCGAAGTAATCAACGTTGTACTGTAGGGATGGGAGAATATAGCACAAGCGTTGATAGCTTCGAGAGGTTAATAAACTTGGAGTTGACAAGCTTTGAACATGAGTGTTGTGGTGTTTTAACTTTTTTTGGTAATTATTGTGGTAGGTTTGCAAGCGAATGAGTTGTGAAATGTGACTATTTCGCAAGCCTTTCAATTAATTATAAAGATCAGAACATTGTCATCCTGAATACAGCTCAATATATTCCCTGCACGCTTTTCCATCTACAAAACTGTTTTTACCATCTCCCAGAATGCATTGGAGCCATTGGATGAGATTACAGCCCTTATTGCGGCGACAGTCCACGATGTTGATCACCCTGGCTATACAAATTCGTTTCTATGCAACGCAGGCAGCGATTTGGCAGTGTTGTATAACGACATGTGAGTAATGTTTTTCAAAGTGATCCTTTTTTCCGTATCATGAAATTTCCTATTTAATATTTGAATTATTTGAAGCAGAAATAAATCGAATCACCCAGGAACGCAACTTTTTTCATCAACTTCAATTGATTCCATAACTATGAAAATTATAAAGTTTTGCAACTCGTTTAGTAGCAAACTCTGTTAACATGAAAAAAACCAATTAAACTCTTTACATTTCTGATTTCTAAATATTGTACCATAGTCTCTTTTCGTCTAGTCTCAATAGTCGGGAATCTCCAACGATAGTCGCTTTTATAGGTTCACTTGCACTCTCTTTGTCTGCTGTGTCGGTGGTTTTTTTCCTGTTGTTAAATCTTTACACTGGCAGCTCCTGATTGTTTTCGTTGTGACAGGTCGCAGTGCCAAACTTTAAAGACGCATTGCTAACAATGGGCCTTTGCGAGCGTGGCGACGGTCCAAACAATGGCAGTAATTTTTCTACGGATTAACCAAAATTGATTTTAGACTGTCTAAAAATGCATTTTGGGATGCTCACGTAGCGCAATGGCTCATTGTTAGCAATGAGTCTTTAATATTGTAGCAAACCTCTTTACATGAAGTACTTTCGGCTTAGATTGGTTTCAACAGAGTCGTAGGGAGATTGCCAGTTCATTTCACCCGAGTGTCTATTGCCCTAGAATTTCCTTATGGATATGGCAGTTATAACAAGATCGCAAGGAAATTCCGAAATTGCTTTAGTTTGATTTAGAACTAGATTGACATCAATTTCGTACATATATTGCGGTGCGTGTACCTCGGAAAAATGTTAAATTGATCAAATATTGCTTTATAATAGTTAATTTGACTTTAGCTAAGATTTTGTTTTCTAAGAAGGAAACAATATTCGACACTGGCAATAGTAAACCGACAACTATTTTATAGGAGAATGTTTGCTTAAAAAGTGACGGACCAGGGGATCCGCACTTTAACCTTGGCTGTCTTGAATGAACGAGGGCTAAGCAGCCGAAAGATGCATTGCCCAGACTAAATTTAAAAGACGTCAGTTTTGAAGACAACCTTTAATCCACACACTTAGATTACAGACAGGAATTTGTATGACAGTTCAAGATTCATGAAATTCGCAATCGGTTCTTTCAAATGGAAAAGTTGGTTTTTGTTTTGCTAATCGGGTGTTAATGCTGCGCTTAGTGGAAGGAACCTAGTGAAGCCCTTATACATTGGCCTCGTAACAGCGTTAATCTCATTTTAAGTTGTTAATGTACCCCGCGCGACCTTCAACAATAGGCCAGTTTCAAGTGTTGGTAATTTTAACAGCGGCTATAATGTGCCAGGTCAGTAAAGCTTTAAAACACAACCCGCTCAAAGAGTTATTTACAAATTAATTTTTCACGCAGGAAGTTTTGATGAAAAACAAGTCATGTGAAAATTGTTCTAGGAATGGAAGAGTGTTCAAAGTTCACCGATAGCCCCCATGAGCTGAAACTTCAAAATAATGAACACCTTCAAGCAGTGACCTCTGTCCCATGATTTAATTCTGCTATTGGAGCATGTTTTATTAATCTGAAACAAAGAACACATTTGCGTTCTGAACTTTCAAAGTGCGAATTTTATTGAGAACTTTCTTGTGAATATTTTCCGGACACATCATATTTGCCAACCCAATTAAAAATTTGAAGAGAGTGCCAACACTTCTAATTCTGGAACTGCATCGCTTTCATGAAAACTGCACCGCTCCCATAAAATCTGTGTTGCTCTCATAATAATGGTTCTAGTCCCACTAAATATTGCTTGAGAGTTTGTGGCAGTAAGCGGAGTGTGGCTTTAAACGGTGATTAACTAGGCCGTCTTGTGTATCTGGGTCTAAATTCAATTTGAATGTGATAAACGGAAGAGTGACTTGGAGCGAAGTGACCATAAGCGGAGTCGACTGTTCCAGGATTTCAAGAGCTCTCAAATACTTCAACATGTCCTTGAAACCGCCAATTTGCTAGGACAAATTACTTTCATCTGGTTGTTTGACCCAGGGCAGATTATTGTTAGCCTATATTATTTGTTTACTCCATCATGTAAAATTCAAACAATTTTAGGATTTAGCCAATGAAATACATTTATCTTGAGTTTCCGGTCAGCCATATACTCGTGTTATCAAGTAGGTCAATTTGACATGCACTTTTAGTAGAGAAACCGGCGTGTGCAATAATTGCACAGATGATGGTGCTATTGGACTTTTTAACCTGGATCCAATGTCAGGAATTTGGTTGAAATGCTGAAAGGAAGGGAAGAGAAATCGGATACTATTAAGGATGATAGCAAAGTGTTGTAATAGCGAGCCTCGAAAGATGCGAAAGTTGCGTAAGCCATCTGTCAGTCAATAATTGGCCAATCAGCGAGTGTTATACCATTCGCGTGCTTATTGATCTGTCAATCAATAATTGACCAATCAGTGAGTGTTTTACCATTCACATGCTTATTGATCTGTCAATCAATAATTGACCAATCAGTGAGTGTTATACCATTCACGTGCTTATTGATTGGCTAATGTTGATTATGGTCTCGTTAAATGCGTCCTGAACAGCAACCTGTCTTGCTGAGAACTTTCTTGTCTCACTCTTTTTTTGTTAGAGCTTATTTCCAATTATAGGGTTTATTTTCTGAATTTTTCTACGTTGCTGCTAAGATCATTCATTCTTGGCCTAGCGCCATTTGAATAGGCCCTCAACTCTGTTATTTAAATTTTTCGCCCCTCTTTCATTCCAGTATATATTTTGTGAAAATTCCTTCTTTTATTTCAGTGCCGTTTTAGAGAACCATCATGCAGCGATGGCTTTTAAGTTGACGTCAAAAGACAGCAAATCAAATATTCTTAAGAATATTGAAAGGTGAGTCGAAACATTCCATAACTGTACCGCCATTTTGTTATCAGTTAGGCCAGTTATAAATGGGTCTTTTCATACCACAGTAAACCATCAAATAATGATGGATAACTGTCTCACATTTGCAGTAAACCATTAATTACCATTTCAATACTATGGTAAACTACTCGCAAATGACAATTACCTGCTGGAAGTATTTTCTTGAGGACTGTCTCCTTTACGAAGTATTTATTGCTAGGCAGTCTCTGGCTTTCAGTTAGATATTTTGCTACTGCAATGTTGCTTCTATTTGTAGTTTACCAGTGAATTTTCGTCGGGTGACGTCTGCCTTTTTTTTTATCTTGCTCAATACACGTGCCAAATGTTGGGTTACATCCCTGTTTGATATGCAATATTCGTAGGTTTTTGACTTCTGACTATCTCCTTACTGTCCTGTGGTTAATTTCATACCATGTCACGCGTTTTTCTTCCGGTTGGCTTTTCCCGTTTCTGATTGGCTATTTCCTTGCACGCTTTAGAATTTTCTTGTCTGGTTGCCTACCACCCTTTTCGGTTCCTTATATCAAAGTACAATTAGCTATTTCTTTGTCCAAGTTACCATTTTCTTGTCCGGTTGGCTGTTTCACCATCTGGTGAGCCATTCTCGTATCTAATTTGTTTGTTGCTTCCCTGTGTATAGTGGTTGATATATCTCTTAAAAGAAGGCCAGAAAGGAAAATTGCAACTTGATATATTGCCAAATTTGAAGGAACTCTGCAAAGATCTTCACAGATTTTAAGTGTTGCTTCTAATCAATAGTGCTTGGCTGTCGGTGACCATCAGTGACAACTCATATTCGACGTATAAACACTTCTAATGGAGGCATCAATATAGTACAGGGGGCGGGGATATAGCAAAAGCGTTGATGACTTAAAAAGGTAGTTGAATCCAGGGGTAGTCAAATTTTGAACGCAAATATTGTGATGTTCCAACCTTTTTTGGGAAGAATTGTTGGCCTTTGATTCTGGACATCAGACCTCCAAGTCTTGATCAAGTTTCCCCCTGTTTATAACGTCACTGCACTGATATCCATTCTTTTGCAGCGAGGATTTCAAGGTTTTGCGACAGCAGATTATTGACATGATCATGGCAACGGAAATGAAGCAGCACTTTGAGCACCTGTCAAAGTTTGACAACAGCCTCAACAACCGGAACCTGATGCATGATGACGCTGGATCAATGGTATGGGCTTTGGCCGTTGTTAACCCCAGAATCCCTGTTTAGGATCGAGCCTTAATGTTATCCTTTTGGAGAAAGCCCAGTTTTAAACGTATTACTCTCAGTGTGATTTGAACCTTAAATGTATATCTGATATTTCATTTAAGAGTTGCTCTTCCCATTGTGGAAGCCATCGGCTTTTCGTGTAGACTCTGTCTTCTCCCCATTCTCTTCACAATTTGCCAAACCAAAATCTCAGCTTTTATTACCATCTCCTTAAGTGTGCATTTTCTCGTTGTCTTTCACCTTTCTTTTATTAACTTTCCTTTAATCTTCCTGTTAAAGACACAGTGTCTTATCAATTTTCCTTTTCCCGTAGAGTGGCAAAGGTACACCGGAATCGAACGTTTCCCATGGAAACCCGTGCTCAAACGAGTCCAGGACTCTTATCAAAAGAATGATTATTAAATGCGCAGACATTGCCAACCCCGCTCGACCAATCAAATTGTGTATAGAGTGGGCAACTCGCATCGCAGAGGAATACTTCTGTCAAGTAAGTCTTCAGTGTGTTATGTCTCCTTACATTCTATAACATCTTATTTTGTTGCAATTTTATTTCATTTCTTAAAGGCAATCTGTCTCGTTGTGGATTGGTTAACGAGAACAATAGCTGGGACAATAGCCTAAACACAATTCCAGCGCTCCGCCATATTTTTTACAATGCGATAAATCAAAGAGGGACTGGAAACAATAGAAAATCTCCTTGTTCTTATAATCAATCAACGTCGTGACGGATTGCCTTTAAATCTATAACGTCAATATAGTATGTGGGAAATACTTGAAAGAACTTTCTGTAATCTAATGTTTCACTTAAGCCTCAATAAACTGTTGACCACATATTTCTGAATGTGACTCCTCACTAATACATTTGTAGGAATATCCGACCTGATATTGAACGACTTTTCAGTTTTATATAATTTTGGTTTACAATAATTCCTCTGTCTACTGTCAAGATAAAAGTAGGAAATTGGTTGCTCAAATTCAAGAAACTTTATTGGTGAATTTTCTGTAGTTTCAAGGTGTACAAGATTTGAAATTTGTTTCCTTACCCTGCTGCGTTTTGATGTAAACAAAAAATGTATGTTGTGCAAGCCCTTGATATCAGTTACTTGTACATTAATGTTTACTTTTTTCAGACGGAAGAAGAAAAAAGAAGAGGTTTGCCAATTATTATGCCTGTATTCGACAGGCAAACTTGCAACGTACCCCAGTCACAAGTGAGTGATTTAGTTTTTGTATAAGTTCCTGGAGAAACCATCGTAGAAAAAGGGAACTGAGATTTAAGAGGAGGGGTTTCTTCAGGAAGTTCTGAATGCTTTTAATTCTTTATATCATCATAATCAACGATTAATTTGATGAAATGATTTTAGAACTGTGTTCTTACCGTTATATTATAAGACCTTAGTCAATAATTTTTACATTTAGCTACAACTTTTAATATCCTGTAGTTATTAGTGCAACTAATTTTCGATTTTTCTCCATTGAAGGTGTCTTTTATTGACTACTTTGTGATAGATCTTTACACGGCCTGGGACAGTGAGTATTTTGCCAAAACTTCTTATATTTTTTGTTTTGATTACAGCTTTAAGCTACAGTATGATTCGCTGTCTAAAAACACCATCTTCTGTTGTTTAGTTTCTCTCACCAAAATCAATGTTCCAAAGTTTTTTTGTCTGAAACAATATCAATGAAATTATATGCATTTAAAGTTAGTATTAATGAACCAATAAATGTTTTACTTGATATATATTGCTGTACTTGGTATATTAGGCCATCTTGGTTTTTCCGTTGTCCCCCATTACTGCTCTTTTGCAGAGATGTAGAAGATCTATTTGATATCCATTTCCCTTAAGTTAACTAGCGCAGTGGTCACATTCGAGAACTCACAATACAAAGTGACAAGCACCCAAGATTATTTAGAGACCAAAAGCTTGTCTGTCCTTGCTGTATTTTTCTGTTAACCGTCCGTGTCGATTTTCTTTTAGAATTTGCATTTGTGCCAGAGGCCATTGAATACATTAACAGTAATTACAATTACTGGAAAGCTGAATCGGAAAAAATTGTAAGTTGAGATTTTAATCAGCTTATTTACCTAAATGCAGCCTGGTATGGATTGAAATTTCTTGCATTGATTTCGCTGAGCATCCTGCTGAATTCCTTACCATCCTAACATTTTCTATTAGAAATGAAGAATTTTCTATCCTATCATTTGCTATTAGAAATGAAGAATTTTCTATCCTATCATTTTCTTTTATAAATTAAGAATTTTCTCTGGAATGAAATTGCTTTAAGTTTGTTGCCATGATAGAAACGTCAGTTTATCAATAGTGCCTTGTCTAGAGTTGATTTGATCAAACGGTATGGGCAATTTTTTTAAGATTTCAGAATTTTTTATCAAGTGTTTAACAGTTGTCAGATCCTTTAGAAGTAGATCTTTAAACCCTCTTTCATTCTTTCATCAGGGAAGGGTGCTTTTTGTCATCTCTAAAGGGGTTGCACCTTTCACCCCCCCCCTTCCCCCCCTAGTACCCGCTACTGGATGTTCTAATCTAAGAACGTGTCTGAATGCTATTTCTAGGAGAAGTCAAGGGAGCAAAAAAGACGGGCAAGCCGCGATGGTGGTGCCACCGAGGATAGGAGTATGGAAGACGATAATCTATAACAAAAACAGATGTGACGTGGCATGAACACACTAATCGAGGTGCTTACTAATTGATTTGGGATTTTGGCATCACAATACATGATGTCTGTTGGGATTTCTTACACGCCGTATATACTACCATGTCTGAAAATGTAAGGCCTACAAAGATGAAATTATGAAATGTTGAACCTGTCTGTCTTACGGAGTTTATTTGCCTGTAACTGACCGATTTATGGCGGCACGTTCGATGCCTGCCTTTTTACAGTCATTCTACGTTCAACTGTTTCAAGAGAAATTGTTCTGTCTGTCGTTTAATATCGAACAGATTCCCATAAAGATTGTGACATTTGACGCTAGCTGCATTGTTCAGCTCGTTAAGTAATGGCCGAATCTGAATGTCTGCAGTGTTATTCTGCTTAGGCCCGTCTGCATACGCACAGCCAGAGACTGCACACCGTACGTCAGACCATAATGCTAATCCAGGAACTATCGGCCTACACTTTGTTTCGTTGCGAATATATCGTGTTTTTACTGATATCAGCTGTTTACCTTGTGAGGAACTAACCACCAGCCTGTGTGAGTGACTGACTTTGAGGCCAAATGCGTTATTGGTACCGTGTACGTGGTAAGAACTCGCGTCAAAATACGTTGCAGAAATCCCTGTGTATCCCAGGATATACATGAAAATAGTCGGCTATTGTTAAGTAATAAAGGACTGTAAATAGTAATTGCTCTATATGTTAAACGACAAGATAAGTTTGCTTTTTACCCGCGAGACGTTTATTTATCAGGAAAGAAACGTACAGATTTTTATCTATAACAGAGGACAGAATTAAGATCGCTACGATTTTATGATCGTGTAGTTGCTAGTCCAGTTCCCCTTTCAGTAGAACGCCATGGGTTAAAGAACATTCTTTATTGCCTCTCCCACTCATTATCTCACAAAGCTGTGTTGACAGAAATTTCCCCTGAAAAATTATTCCTTTTTCTCATTGTTTGATAGAGAGTCTCAGATGGTCTCAGAAACCTGAATGACTAGATATCCAATGTTTTACGATCCCAGCATTGGGCCAGTTGACTTAGCAGATTAAATCTTGTTATATATTCCCAAAATATAACTTATTAGCATAATAAACCTGCAAGCCGGGTCTCTAGATAACATTGCAGAGAGAGACTTGTTTAGTATAAGCAATACCCCTTAGATGTTTTGCTACCTAGCAACCAAGTTACTGATTGGGACATCCCCACCCATGAAGGTACTTGTATTTGCAAGTGCAGAAATGTCTCCACACCCGACTAAAAATTCCAATTGATCGACAAATGCAGCGGAGAATTAACTTTCCGTTTGCAAAATTATCATCTTTGGAGAAGCTCGTTGTATTCTGTCGTACTTTGTGTTCGTTAGATTCTCAGAGAACATTTTGCTCAACCCCAGTGTCAGCTGTAATACTTTCCCTTGCAAGTAACGCGTTCAAAAGTCATTGTGTTGCTTTAAAGACTCGATAAGGTCTATAAATATATGTATGTAATAAAAGTATTAGAAAAAGTAAGACGCTTTAGAGGACTTCGTATCTTCGAGGTCACAATATTATGGGTAATGTTCCTTGGGTGTCAAGGACAGGTTTTCAAGTATACACTCACCCCCAAAGCATCGCCAACCCTTTTAATAACCCGAGATGCTAATCTTTTTAGAAATGACATTTGTCGTACCCAAAATCTGAGGGCATGCCTGCGAAAATTATCACATTTTTCACTTTCCTTAGGCCTATTTGCCAAAATAGAGAGTTTTAAGGATACGGTTCACTACTTAAACCCCCTCCCCCCCCCGTACATTTCACCAAAATTCTAGTCCTTAAACTGTCGGAACATTTACTATATACCTCGTTTGTTGGTATTGTAAGGCAAGGCCTTTGGGGGTGAACAATGCAGTGCTATACATGCCAGATTCTTCTCTGCCATGGCAATTTCATTCTAAGAACGTCATTATTCCGCCCAAATCTACTGTAATACACTACGGCCAGCAAGAATCTGCCCTCTTTGATTAATACTCGCCTTTCTTCCCTTAGCATTTCCCAAAAGATCCTGCTACAAAGCTACATAAAACTAAGACATTCTAAAAAACACAACCAATCAGTACCACTTTTGGAGATTTGATACCTTGATCTAAACTATCCAGTTATGTTTAAAATGTTATGGTCCCGGACATACCGTTCCTAGTTATACTCTTCCGGGTTATGATTTGGAATACCCTGGACCGGATTGAAAATATTCTGGTCAAGTGAAAGTAGTATCGATCATTGCGCCAGTTGTAAAATGTTCGTCCGTTGTTAGACCGTGTAGATAAATTTATTTGATAACTCTATATTCACCGTTGGTGCCTTAAGTCGCCTGCAAGTGTTATTGACCGACCAAAATAGCCGGTTGCTTATTAGGTAATGTCGGAATCTTCCTGACGGCAAACTTCTTCCAGAAAAGAAACTTGATTTATTAAGCATTTTTCGTAGGTATGTAAATATTTTGCTTTATTGTGGAAAATGTGCATCTTTTAGTAAATAGAATAGTCTTCCCAGGGATCAATGCACTCTCTATAACCCTCGTTATCGTGAAGAGGCCCGAAGCACTTTGAAACGACTTGTCGGCTGCGAGGCAGTTTATTCGATCGAATTTGATCATCCTCATTACTTGAAACCGATTGTAATTAAAATTGAAAATACGAAATTAGAAGTATAGATCTTTTAATATATTGATTAGTTAATAGAATATAGTCGATGTTTATAATCATTATTATCATTAAGAATGTTTAGGTGAACTAAGCTGTCTTCTTTGCTCTGATATTCTTATTTTTGTTAACATCCTTTCACGCTTTCAATCATCGTTGTCTGAGGGACCAAACAACTCTCCAAGCCTTTTGAAGTCAGCATATGGTAATAATAATAATAAGACTTGTTTATATGGTTACAAAACTTTAATTATACAAGAATGGCAGCAATTAAGAAAATCCAAACGTTTGTGACGTTACTGGCTGCATGAAATTGGTCACTGGGTATACTTTTACATGTTCGAAAGCCAATTTTCCTTCTTGGCAATTTGTTGGAATTGCCGAGTTGCTCCTTCTCCGTCATAGTTTTCCTCAATGATAATGCTGCCAAAAATCAGATAAAAGTCTGACTTTTATATGTCTCAGGTCTGAAATCGTCAAATTTGTACGGCGAAAGGAAGAGAAAAATCTTTAAGCTGCTCTGATAACTAGGAAGGGGCAAGTGTGTAAAGAATAACCTCAGCCAGCTCTTAATAAACAATCTTTATATAAGTAGTGTGCGAATAAAGGAGAGGCCACGATAGCAGGCTGCTCGACGGACTCCGGAGGAAATCTTGCGGCGAAAAATCGATAAAATAGTATTGTATAAGGAACACCGCAACGCGACGAGAATAAACAACAACAAACACAAATCTTTATATCGTTGTATTTGAACTGATTTTTTATTAGGATTAACAAGCAAAATTTATCAAGAAAAAAATGAATGGATTGAAGTCCAAGAATACATATTAATTTTAAAAAGAAGTTTTAATTATATAAAATGGAATGAAAATAAGAGTAGCAGTGCAAAATGTATTGTTTATTGTAATATGCATCATTAACCAGGACGGAGTTTGAGTTAAGAGCTTGAATGACGGAGTTGCATCTCCAATGCTCACAAAGGAATGAGTGGTGTACCATAAGGCTCAGTCTTTGGTCCCTTACTGTTTTGATAGGTATTAACGACATTTTCGGCCCCATTGCAGATGGAACTAGCATTGACATTAAATCAGACAAAAAAGTGGCTGATAGAGAGCTAAGACATGTCAAAAATGAAAATTGGTACATTAATTGGGAATGAATACAATATCCAAATGCGAGATAAGATAAAGTTATCGATGAGATTCTCAATTTAAGATAAGAGATTGTCAACTTTGGTATTATACGCAAATACATCAAAGGATAAAAACCATCGAGAGCATTTAAATTGGTGATTGTATATAAGCTTACTTCGGTTGTCATTAATCCTCTTATGAACGCATCGCTCGGGAAGAAATGACACAAGATTTTCAAAGACAAAAGATCTCAGCAATATAGCAATTGGCTACCTCTAGATACATATGTATTTTGATTTCGCTATTAGTATTCTTTACAAATATATGCTTCTATGCAGCTAAACAGAAAGCTAAATGGCTTTGAAAAAAGCAAACATTTCACAACATGTTAACTAAAAGCTTTTTCGTCTGACACTCCTCAGAACATAAAACGTCAGAATAAAGGTCCGAAAGAACACAAAGAAAAATTTTTTGAAAAAATACCTTTAAGTTTTTTCAATCAACGAGCCCCCTGTCCCTTTGCTCGTTTCCTTCATACCCTCCTTATATCGTATCCTAGCTAAAACTCTTTGAAAAAGTCAAATTCTGCATTTTGTCTATAGCTCACGTAGTGCACTTGGCAAAGCAATATCGATCTTCAGTCGATTAACTCAGTAATGCGAGATTTGTACCAAAAAAAATTTAACAAGCAACTTAAGTAGTGCTGTGTTTTGATAATTCAAGAAGCCTCCACGACACTGACAGGAATCAAGCAATGAAAAGCGTTTTTGGTGTCTCTTTTATTTCTGTTGTGGTGACAAAAGTTGTAGTTCTGAAAATCTTCACTGAAACGATAAATCACATTATATCAGAGTCGTTGAGTCACTGAGAAGGTAGAGGAAAGTAAGGAATTTTGTTCATGGAAAGTGTGCATCATCTACTGCTAATGGTAGAGAAGCAAATGAAAGAAATGGATTATTGACATTTTGATGAGACGACAGTAACCATTACAAAATGAAAGCTTTGGGTAGGTCCACCGAGAGGAGTAGAAAGAGAGCGATTGCTCGTGGTAAGTAAAATGTCGCTATCTTAAATATGACTATCAAAAATTTGGTAAGTATAACTAAACAATGCTGTACTATAAATTGAGTAAATATAATTTGTAATATAAAGAGCGAAGTAAATAAAGTGACTAAAAAAGAATTTTCTGTATTTTGAATCCATATTAAACGCACCCAAAATTTATAGGAGCTCATCTTAAAATCTCTAAATATCTCATCTTGAAATTGTAATAGGGGTTTTCGCCAAATGAATGTATCCACCCTATCATTATCTTCGAAACTAAATGGTTCTTCCATCAATGAGAAATGAAACAAATAGACGCAATGATAATGTTGAAACGTCTTTCTTCAGATCAAACGATCTTTCCGCGATAAAAGGTTCTATTAATATAAAGTTTCTCTACGGTTGTCCCGTAACGTCGATTCGTTCTCTTAATGTCAGGCACAGTCTTTTTCAAGCACTGTCCTCTCAAATATGTCAAATAATCCACAATAATAGTCACGCGAGATGCCATAAATAACAATACCTATCTTATAAATCCATAATTTATGCCGACAAGATCTTTCACAAGCATCTTGCCACATAAGTGAAACGTCGAGAACCTAAATATACAAAATATCAAAACTTAACCCTATCGCTCTTAACCGTAATTCCATTTCCAACTTCAACTCCAACTCCAACTAACTCTAAATGTAACACGCCCCAAAATATAACTAAACAAGAACTAATTGTAATGCTACATAGCTACGTAAATTTACATAATAATAGTGAATACAAAATATATTACTCCCAAGATTAATTACATAAACTGAATAATGATACTAAAATTCCCAAAAGAAATAGTTAATGAATCTAAACGTGCAATTAGATAACAAAAGGAATTATAAACAATCGTGATAAAATTACTAAGGTTACAAGATGGAAAACAAACGAAATCCAAACTAGCACTATATCAAAATCTCAAAAAATAAGCAACAAGCCGATGCATCTGAATCTCGTGGATCTTTTGGAGCCATCTTTTTTAATAATGATTGAATTCATAATAAAGTCTGGGAAATTGCATTTTGAAAGGGGGCTACTTACTGCCCCAAAGTCTAAGAAACATTTCATATTGGAGAGTCTATTAAACAAATATAGGAGCTGTACAAGCTTATTATCGAAAATGCGAAGGGATTCATTGATTGGCAGGCTGAGCTGGGAGGGGCTTTAGCCCCCCACTTTTGCAAAAAAATGCCAAATATTAAGTATCAAACTACCAGAAAAGCCTTTTTTATAATGTTTTAGCCCCCCTCCCCCACTTTTTTTAGACACCCCACTGATTGGTGCTGCATACGTAGCCAATCCTAGCTGATACCGATGCCAGGCAGCATGTGAAAAACGTACAATCTTTAATTAACATAAGACAAAGTGTTTTTTGCCCCGAGCAAGTCTTTCTTTTGGGAAAAGCCACGAAAAGTTGAAGGTTTCCAGGAGGGGGGATTCAACAACAGCAACAACAGTTCTATAGACAGCATTGTTTATGAAGTTGGATGCTTGGCTTTGGCAGTTGGTTTGAAGGAAAATGTAAACTGATTTTGCCAGAACTGATTCGCAAAGTCGGCAATAAAGAAGTGAAACAGACTACAATATCTGATATCATAAGATATTGATTCAATCAAGAAAAGTGACATGTGATTTAAAATTCTATTTAATTCCCGGCCGCTTGCTGCTGAGTTGGTTAGGCCCGCTGGCCTAGACCCCAGCAAAGAGATATGAGCGAGCCAAACCAGCTTACTATCGAAAATTTCTTAGATTTCTTGAATAGCCAGTCAAGGGAACTATTCGAATCCACTCAGCAGAGGGAAGATAATGAAGAGATGCAAGAAGACGAGGAGAGAGCTGCTAACACTAATAATGAAAGACGATCGTCTGGAGAAAATGAGGGAAGGGATGATGTCTCTTGCGAATTCTGGAGCACTGTTGATACCAAGGTTTTAATGGATCGCAAGAAAACATCGCTATGTGCCGAAAGGCTTGCTAAAAATTGTTGTCGGCAAACAAGCAATCCTGCAGCCCCATTTATACAAGAATACGAAGAAGAATTTCCAGCACAAGAAGATCCATTGCATTACCTTACTGAGTTGGTGAAAACGCAGAGAGGCGAACTGGTTGATTATCACGCGAATTACCCATTTTCAATCGTACTTTTCAAGAGGTTGAGCATCTTGCAAACTGTTTTTAAATGTCTTTCTAAACAGTTTCATTGCTCAAAGCAGCTGAGAGCCCCGAAGTCCAAAGGAAAAGATTTAGAAAGAAAGAAGTCTGCAGCAATATCAGCTGAGGGTGCTGATGTTATGATCCAGCTTGGAGTGAAAACAGGCCTATCTCTTTTGTTTGCTCTGATGAAGCAAGCATGGATGCAAAATACAGAATCATCTGAAATTTGTACTGATGTCCTGGATACAGTGTCTAGTGTTGTGAGTTCTCTGCCACCTTTGTCACTAGCGAATGATTCCAAATTACCAAAGCTTGCATTAACCAGCCTTGACCAGGTAATGAAGTTTTTAAAAGAAGTCATGAAAGGAAAATTTCAAGTCAGTGCAACTGGAAGGCGCATGTGTGCAGAAATTTTGTTGGGTTTGGCATTGCAGCGTGGGTCACTGCTTGCAGCTTTGGACTGGGTTGAAACTGGATTTATGTCATGTTTGGCCTCACATAGTGTCCAGTTTGAGAAGGAGACTGTAAATTTGTGGCTGCAAAGACTGCAAAACTCAGGGGTTGGTATTTTATTCAGCAACAATAGCAGTTTTAAGGTGTGCAGGGGGCCTTGAATCCAAATTTTATTTTGCTTTCATGGTAGCCAGACAATGCCCCAAATCTTATAAAAACAAAATGCAAATGGTAGAGAGCACAGACCCCTCATGCTTTTGGTCCTGGCCCCCTGAGTCTCTAAAACTGCTGCTATTCTTCAATAATCATAATTTTAACCTTGGTCAGCTAAACTGTATTTTTCTCAAGTTCAGCAACTGGATGTTTTTTTGAAAAACAATAGTTGAATGGAAATTAGGAATCAAGTGGACAAAACTGAATCATTTTTTAAATAACAGACTGAGTTTTTTGATCTTCTCAGGTATAAATTGAAAGTCTGTCGTTTGCATGGTCACATTTCAGGACTTACTTATAAAATCTCACAAGCTTCCAGACAACATAGCTCTTAATTTCTTATATTTCTGACAGGCTGTTAATGTTTTTTTCTCTGAAATATACCCTTGAACTTTTCATCCAGAAATAATTTGCCCTACTCCAAGTACTTTAGATAATACGCCCAACAGAGCAAGCAAATGATTAGTAGATCAGAGCACCTGACTCTTATGGCAATTGCTATAAGTTATAAGTTATAAGATAATATAAGAGTTATAAGATAACTGCATTTGTTGTAATCGATTTTTTTTTCATTGTGAGAAACACTGGGCTGTTGATCTTTTTTTTAAATCAAGCCAATTGATATTTAGAATGGAGAAGAAGAAAAGGTTGAAGAGCTTAATATGCAAGTTGAGCAAGACAATGAAACTGTGCCTCTGTGCCTTGCAGCATTGAAAATTTTTAAACAGGTTTGTATCTAAATCTCCTCTTCTAAAACCTAATTGTAACCTTATCCAGTAGTTCTTTTAAACCTTGTTAACCATTTTTTTAAATGGTGGAATTGTTGTTTAATCAATCACCTACTGCCTTTTTGACACTTATTTCCTAAATTGTTGAGAAAAACCAGGTTCCTCTTGATATGTATAATAATGTGCATTATCACACGACCAGTTCAACGTTTTGAATTACCATTCTTTTTCTCTTTTGTTTCTTTTGATTTCTTGTTTAATTTTTTCTAAAGTAATTTATAATTTCTTTTGTTTGCATTATCTTGATGGCATTAATGGGGGCCCGGTTTCCATTACTCTCTTTTCCTATATATGTCTCCCTTTTCCTCTTTGTTCAATCTATTTTTGCTGAGATGGAATGACTAAATTACTTTGTTCTCAAGAACATCTTCTAAATTCCATAAAAATTATTTGGTTGGATGAAAACCTCAAACGGTTTTTCAAACAGTGTTACTCCCCAAGAGGGATACACCCCTTTCAAATACATATATGGCATTTAAAATGTTATCAGGTCTTCATAAAAAAGGTAAGGTCTCAATTTTATAGATCACACATCATTGCATACCATCGCACATCCAAACTTTTCAAGGCATGTGATTACCAGCACTCTGACAAAGTTCATATTACCAGGACTGCAACAGACTAAAACAGCAACTTTTCATATAATCCCAACAATATTTGATAAAGCATAGAACTCTATGGTATGTATAATGGAACTAAACATTTTTCATCTCAGGTATCTAAACTGGCTGTTGATTATGTGAGAAATTTGTCCCTTTTCAATGATGTGAGTGGTGGTGGCAAAGATAAAGATGACATCAAGCAAAATGAAGCATTTGTTTGGGGAAGCAACAGCAGCTGCCAGTTTGGAGAACAGCTTCATGACAAAGTTATGTTATGTAAAAAGAGCAAAGTGTTTGTGAAAGCATGTCAGGTGTGCAGTTACTGCTTTAATATTTATTCAGTTTTGAAATGGCGCTCTCAAATTGCATTACAATTCTATGTTGCTTACCAGTATTTACATGGGTATTTTGTTAAAGCAAGGTTCTTGGAAAACAAAGGAGTTCCTTTGCATTCCTCTTGATAATTTCCCGATAATTTCAAAGGCTTCCTATAACAAATACATGTTATTTTTTGAAGGTGGAAGCAGGACAGTATTGCTCATTTGCTGTTGATAAAGATGGAGTCCTCTTTGGTTGTGGGAAGGTATTATTTGTATAAATTTGCTTTTTGGTATCCTTCAGCAATTTGCTTTTTTTTGGATAGTAAGTGTTTAGTGTTGCCAGGCACTGTGCAGCCATTGGCCTAACAGGGGCTAAAGCCCCCCCCCTCCCCACTTTTTTGCAACAATAGGTTAGAAAATTTTTGGAAAGGTTTACTCTAACGCAACTCTGGATCGCTTACTCCTAGGTACAGCTCTTCTTGACTGGGAACCTTTTTTGTTTATTTACTTAGGTGTTTTATCTTGTTTAATGATATGATATATTTTCTAACTTGGTTAGCTTGGTGTTTTATTACCCTCAAGCTAATTTTATCTATTTTTATAGTTATTGATATCTTCTCTGAACCAGACTGTTTACAAAAGTTCAGTAGAAATGAGTAAGCATTTTCCAAAAAGGGGTGTTTTCCAGCATTCAAGAGGTTGTGGTATGAAAAATTTTCAGGCACACCCATTTCATCTCGACTGGTGCGTGGTACCTGAGTGTTGCTTCTATTTTAGTTGCAATACACAAGGAGCCATTACATGGCCCCAGTACTAGATTTTGTGATTTAATTCTGTCCCAAAAAGGATCTTATAAAGAGATTACAAAGTTAGCTGGTGTGAGGTAACATAACTAGCCTGATTTGGTTTGCAGCAATATAATTTAAAGATATGATTGGTTTAGTGAACCTTAAACCTTCTGTGCACAGTATCAAGCAATGTGTTACTGTTGTGGGAAAGCAGTTTGATCTAGTCATCATATACCGAGAAACATCTTACTCTTCTTGCTTCTCAAGTAAATGATGACTATGGTTATTTTTCATTTTTGAAACATAACATTTTGACATGATGTGGTGTTTTTTCCAAGGGAAGTTATGGCAGACTCGGCATGGGTGATTCACTGAACCAGCCAAAGTTAAGAAGGACTTTATTGCCATCTGGGAAAGTTGTTTGCCAAGTATCGTCCTCCAAAGGCTCTGACGGTCATACCCTGGCTTTAACAACGAATGGAGAAGTCTTCAGCTGGGGAGATGGTGAGTCTCTTTTTGGAAATGATTATAGTGATCTGAATATTTAGCAAATTGTGACTAAGAGACTGGAAAATGCCAGTAGGGATCCTTTCAAGCAATTTTTTATAAGTTCTCTTAGCATAATAAAATCCCGAAAATGCCTTTTATATAGCTAGTACGCATGCGTCAGTTAACCTGTTATTAAGGCACGTTACTCGGTAGGGCTGTTTGCTGTGTTTCAAGGTCACGTGGTGCAATGATGAAATTCACGAACCTGAGTCAAGCGCATTCTTCGTCAGTTTGTCTTTTGGTAAACTGATGGAGTTTAGGCAGTGAAGGGTTAATCTTCTCTCTGAGCACCGGTAAAAAGGCAAACAGAATCACATCGTTTCGCACGAAGTAGTTTCATATCTCCGCTGAAAGTAAACACAACAAAATACAGCTTTTGCAATCCAAAGTAGAAGTAGACATGACTTCATCTGGTCCTGGCTGCAAACTGCTTTTGAAAATTTCAGTGGCAACAATCTTAGAAGCTTTTTAGGCACCATCTGTTTTATATTTCATGGCACCTTGTCTCTGACGATAGGGTGGGCGTGGATTTGTCGGGTGGGGCATGGTCCCCCACTTTTACAAATGAAAATATTTTTGCAAAGAATTTGCAAAAAATTTTGAATTGAGGTTTTCAAACCAAGGGGAATTTGCACATTTTTAAGTTTAAAGGAATACGTTTAAGGTAAAGTTTAGGCTAAATCGTTTCCAATTTAAAACGCTGCTCGCCTTTCATATGAATTAAAGCGATTCGTGATATTTTTACTTTCTTGCCAAAAAACGTAACAGAGTGAATTTGAATGATTCCTGATTAGCTGATTGTGTTTTTATTTTTAAGGTGATTATGGCAAGCTTGGGCATGGCAACACCCTGATGCAGAAAGTGCCGAAACGCATACAATGTGTATTGAAAGGAAAGGTATATCAGTTGCAATGCTACCACAGTCAGTTGCTACGTTAATACCAGTAATTTTCGGAGATTTACCGCCTTGCCAGTTACATTGCCTGTTGCTTGCCTAAAATACTTTGAACACCCAGCAATTTGCGTTGTATTTTATATCTCTCATTTCTCTTCATGGAAAAAACCACTACTTCCAACCCCTTCCCCCTAGAACAATGTTGATTGTGTTAACAAATGTTGCAAAAGCAGATACCATGGGGGAGAAGGGAATGGCTGGATTCCACCTTGAAATCTGACGTCAGTGTCCCACGTCTTTTGGCAGACGTTTGCATAACAGGAGTAAAAAATATTCGTCAAATTTGCTAACAAAACGTAAATGCTCGCTTTCATTCAAGTCCAAATTTTGTATTCTCTCCTAATTCAGATATGATTCAAGTTATCATTAATTTTCCTATAGTTCGTGAGGTTTATATCAGCTGGCAACAGACATAGCGCCGCAGTGACAGATGAAGGCGAGTTGTATACTTGGGGTGAAGGGGACTATGGTCGGCTAGGTGAGTCAGGTTTAATTATAAAGAAAATTTTCAAAAGCAAACTGAACTTATATCAATAAGTTATGCTGATGTTTCGTATATATTCGATTCCCGCCTTCCCTTTGAACAAGTGTTGACTAGGAAAATTTTTTGAAGTATTAAAATATGTATCAGGGTGTACCAGGGCTTAATCCTGTTATGGTAGTTAATAATGCAAGCAGATACCAAAAATTGACGTATTTATCAGTAATAGCCCCCCCCTCCCTCCCTACTAGATCTACAACCCTGCGTAATCGTGAGCATAAAGTATAGAAAATAAAGCTTTTCTGAAAAGATAAAATAAAACGAGCTGACATCTAATTTCCTTGGTTTTTTCTATTTCTAACATGTAAGCTGTTTTAAAAGGATAAGGTTATCAAAAAATGTAGGTTAGGGTTGCTATAAGTGTTTAACCATTGAGGAGGTAGCGAAGGGGTGTAAAGATAATGCTCGCACTTTTTGTAACCTTTATCCTCTCTTCTTGCACTTACCAAGGCAGATAGGTCACTCATTTTAATCTATATATTATTACTTCTTTATTCGTTTGGTTGAATTTTTGTTTATTAAAGCGCTGTACCAAATTTCTCTAAGTTCACTGACTATTACTGAATTCACATACTGTATTTTATATCTTTTACTGATGTTTTATGTCCCTTCCTGAGACTCTCTCTCTCTCTCTCTCTCTCTCTCTCTCTCTCTCTCTCTCTCTCTCTTTATCTCCATCCCACTTTCTCTATCTGTCCCTCTAACACTTCGTTCTTCTCCTACTTCCTCCCTCCTCTACCTCCTCCCTCCCTCTTTTCCTCTTTTTTCTATTTCCTCCCTCCCAACTTTCTCTTTCTTCTACTTCCGCCCTCTCCCGACCTTTCTTTTCCTACTCCTCTTACTCCCGACCCCCCTCCTTCCAACCCTCTTTCTCTCTACCATCTCTCTCTTCCAGTCTCTCCGGCTTTTAAACAGTACCAATATTTTCAGGACATGGGGACAGTTCAAGCAAAAGCATTCCAACTTTGGTCAAGAATGTTGGTCTTATCGGCCAGGTTGCTTGTGGAAGCTCTCATACGATTGCCTTGTCACAGGACGGAACTTCTGTTTGGTCATTTGGTGCTGGAGACAGCGGTTGGTACTTCACTTTTAACAAAACAGAAAATAGCAATCATAAACCTTTGTACACTGGCTGAAATAGAGCAATCTTTTCGCTGGTCACTATTAATTATATTAATTATTTTACGTAATCCAGTGAAACCTCTAGTAATCTCCTAATAATGGACACCACCAAAAACAGAGGAACAACTTTCCAGAAACTTTCTTTCTTGTTGTCAAAGCTTTTAACTGGAAACAGGATTCTTGCTTAGAACGTTTAGGTAACAAGCCTAAAACAGAGCCCTAAAGAGATATCGTTAGGGCTGCAAAATTCACAAGCAGCCCTCAATGAAAACATTGGTCACAATAAGATGGTTACTGCAGTTTTAATGATACCGAGGCAATCTTATTCTGGGATCGAGGCTCGTCGTCATAAGACCAAAACGATTTCCTACAGAATACCAATTCTCACATTCCATGAAAGTTGTTCATTTCAAATAAAGCTTTGGTTAATCCCTGGCTCAGAAAATTAAATCCTGTCTTTTAGTCATGTCGCATTAATCTGCTTGGGAGAAATCAAGTTTGTAATTCTACTTGTGGCAATGATTCCTGGGTCATTAGACGTCTCTGTATTTGATGGAATAATGCAATTTCAGAGTCTGTGATCGGTCAAATCAAATATTTGTCAACGTTAGAAGCTTTGCCCATCGCTTTGCGGGTCAGGCCATTTAATATGGGATACGTTTCAAGGAAATTTAATTCATTCTGTGCAGATCATGAGTTTGTTTCTACAGAAAGAACTTGAAAAACCTCAAAACTGGATGTAATTTAAATCTTTGCGTTCGTGTTGTCATTAGAAACAGTTAAATAGTTTACGAAACGAAGACACCATTTATGCAGGTCAAGTGTATGTTAAAAGGCTTTTGGCCAAAAGACATTTCCGTTAAACCATTCGCCCAATGGATTGATATCTCAATGTCGTTCCGGTTTCAATCATTTCTAAATTTGCTATGGAGATTCAATTACATTTTTACATGTTTAGTCCATTTTTCAGACCTAGAATAATCAATGCCTGCAGTACACTAACTAAAAAATGGCACATGATCTGATATTTTGTGCTGCTTCGCTACACTTATTTTTATTTAAGACCCAGAAACTTTCTACCGAGGTTTTTTTTTTAAAGTTTCTGGCTCGAGTTTTCTGATGTTTTTCTTATTTCAAAACTTACTTTCTTACAACTACCTACTACGAATTGCCAAAAACGCATTGTTGTTGATTCATTTAAAGCATGTTCTTTCGTTATTATTTTTTGGCAATTTAGCCCCAGTGTTCTATTAGGGTGTTTTCTTCTATAAAAGGGAGTGTATGTGGGACTGACATTATCCTCCCTATTACCCCAGGGATGGGCTTTGGTGATGTTTATATGCTTAGGATCTTAAAAATTTGAAAAAAAACTCTCATTGTACTTTCTGATAGACTTAGCTCTGCTTTTTATTCTAGGCAAACTTGGGCATGGAGATAACAATAGAGTCTTCAACCCGAAGGTAAATGTATCCGGATTTTTGTAGGACTATCCGCTTAATATTGCTGTCCGGTATCTCATATGGAATAACTGTGTTTGATAGGTTGTAAGACTAGTTTGCCTAAGTTTTATCCACTTGCACCTGTAACTTTTTTTGTTAACTATTTACATACTCTGCCCTACTTATACATTTTTACATCACCCGACAGTTGATTGAATCTCTGCAAGGAATTCATCTGCGAAAAATTGCTGCTGGGTGTCAAGCCTCGGTTGCCCTCACTTCTGGGGGTCAGGTAAGCATGAACCCTTTAACAACCATTAAAGTCTTTTAACAAATCGAGGCGTCGATTGAACAGGCAAAGAAAATGGCATCAAGTAAGCATTAGTAGACAGGGATGATTTTATCAGTACAGCACACTTGTTCTTTGTCTGCCACTGCAAAAGATAATTGTTTTGGAGAAGGACTTTTTGTCAAATTTTAGGATACTTCTAAATCCATTATAGATTTCTTTTCTACAGATCTAGTATTTCTTCGTTGCATTTTGATTTATTCTATTCTTAGTTTCATGTTTTTCTATTATTTGTTTTAACGGGTCGGTTTGACAAACATTACATGAGACTTATTCTGTATAAATGTTGTAAGATGAAATCCATTATCTCGGCTTCATTCGATAATAATCGTTGGATCAAGATCAGTCTTCCGTTTAGCTTTTAATAAGTGCCACACTCTTGCTACTTCTTCCATTTTATTCAGTGTGCCTAATATACAAAAATCGTGATGAGAGCCAAACTCTTTTAATGCACTCACACCTTCCTTCAAGGACCTTCACTCACAAGTTTTTAATAAGCAAACAATCTTTTCGTGGTACAAAATTTAAAAATGGCTTTGAAAAGGTAAACATGTTGATACATACAAAGCTTTTCGTCTGACACTCTTCAGAGTTTAAAACGTCAGAACATAGATCAAAACTCTACGCTAAGAAATATATATACCCAGTTGTGGATCGAAATTGGCCAATCAGAAATGCGAGCACGTGACTGTTAAGGTTGACCAATCAGTGCTGCTTGCCTATTGATTTATACTCTGAGGAATGTCAGACGAAAAGCTTTAGTAACAGAGCCAATAAGCCCTACATCACTATCTAGAAGTAATATTGTCGCCTCGCATCTGTTAACACAGGCTCAATGAATAATCTGGTTTTTGACAGAATTCTTATCAAATCCTTTTACATTGCGACTGATTTTCAGATAGAGGTCAAATAGTGTTTTGCTACTTTTCGAAAAACTAGTTGAGTGTCTAGATAGTGTCAAAAAAATAGTTGGTGTCAAATTCTAGGCCCGTTTGTTTTATAGTAGACTGTAATGTATTTGACACTTCTAGGTCCTCTAAAACTCACCTCTTTTCACTTCCTCCTGAAAACTGATGCCACAAGAAAGGCTACCTTAGGCCAGATGCTGTTACTTTCATTTTGAAAAGTTTGCTTCCCTGAAGCCCTCGAGTGTTATTCAAACGATTGGCTCTACATTAGCCATATAATTAGAACCGTCACTGTGGGGAAGGGGGTGTGAGGGATGTGAAAACCTCTTTGAAAATTCTTTCGAGGAGTTTTCTTCGCCATCTAGAGGTGTTGGCAAATTGAGGATGGCTCACCAATTTTGTCGGTGAATGTAACCTGGAACCCCCTTGAGTACAACAGCTAGCAACCGCCCTCTATATAAACCCGATGCTTCGTTTCAATGCAGGTTTATGCCTGGGGCTGTGGTCCTTGCTTGGCTACAGGATCAGCTGATTCCGTTCATCTCTTGCCAAAGCTCATTGAGTCGTTGGACAGCCTTTTCATTGAGGACGTTGTCATGGGTGACAATCACTGCTTAGCTCTAACAAGACGTAAGGCTCCTTATTGCTTTGAAACAAGAACTTTCTTGTAGTTTGAAGACATGATAATGCATAATTATAATCTGAAGACTCGTTTATTCTTTAAAGTCATACCAACCTGTAATTTTTTTCGCCAGAAAGTTTTCTAAAAGTCTTCCCTATGTAGACAAGGTGTTAATCCATTGTCACAGTCAAATGAAGTTTTGAACAAAATAGAAACTCATCTTACATATTGTATTCATGGCCTAATATCCTTTTGTAGCAGCTCTCTTGAAAGCACCTACAACGTTTCTCTTATTCAAACAAATATAGCAACCTCTTATTCAAATATAGCAACCTCTTATTCAAATATAGCAACCTCTTATTCAAATATAGCAACATCTAGATCTATGTTTCTTACTCGACAATAGATATGAACTCATCGCCAAGTAACTGCAATTCTTCTCTCAAATATCCGTTAAACGGCCTAATTTTTCAACTATCTCAGCTTCAACACCTCCTCTCCCGCTCCATTTATATATGACATCGGTCATTGACATTAAACCCACTCTGTTTCTAGAATACGAAGTCATAGCATGGGGAAATAATTCAATGGGTCAGTGTGGATTGGGTCATTGCGTTACCCCCGTTGCTACCCCAAGAAAGGTCCCAGGTCTTGAAGGCATCAAAATTCAACAGATTGCAGCCGGCACTTCTCACTCAATTGTCTGCACTGCAGCCCCTCCAAACAGGTACATCTTATTTATTTTTCAATTACTTTTTAATCTTTTGTTAGTTCATACATTTTAGTACTCTAAGTCTCAATGAATCAGAATACCCCTGTGGCCAAAAGACATCTTACCCAAAGGAAAACTAGATATGCCAAGGGGATTTTTAAATATGCCAAGGGGATATCTAAATGTATGGAGCAGCCTCAGGGCCAATAGGAGGTTAAATCACTTACCTATTGTTCTCATTCACCAGAGAATTAAGCTGCATTGTCAAGGGAACGTTCCGATTCCTTTTTCAATCTCAAAAGTTAACTGTAACTTTTTCAAGCTCATTTATGTAGGTAAATGTTTTGATATCTATTAGTAACTTTCACAATCATTATTTTTTTATTAAGTTATTCATTATTTTATTGGTTTTTCGACATACACTCCTTGTTCCACCTTGTTCATAATGGCGCCACCTTGTTCATAATGGCGCCACCTTGTTCAAAATGGCGACACTTTTTGTCAACTTTTGACGATACCAAACATTTGAATGCATGAATCTGGTGAAATAGGCGTATTTTGAAGCAAATTTTGGTGGGAAAATTTAGTTAGAAATGTAAATATTATTCAATAACATATTTGTTTGAAAAAATGTAGACCACGCTTAAGGGAGAAAATTTGTCAAATGATAGGCGAGTCGCTATAAAATATTTACGGGGAAGTGGTCTTTAATTTTTTAAAAATTGTTGACCAAGTTAGATGTAGCCACACAGCAGCTGTGAGAAGCCAAAGAAGATTTCTCGAGAGTGTTTCAGTTGTAATAAACTGAGAATGGGGCGACCAAAAAGATTGACGTTAGAGTGGAAAAGAATCTATCTATTTTATTTCACCGTGTTTGCACTAAGAAACAGTAAAAGATATGAAACTCGGCGCTGAGCAATTTTTCGCAGCTCAAAATTCGTCCAAACAAAAAATAATGAGTGTTTTACACAAATATAAAATAAAAATTTACCTGAGTTAAAGGCAAACATTTTTACAACGATTTATTTCCGAACAAGAAGAATTCAGGTTTTTCAGTTGCGTCAATCAAGTCCAGATTTGCACCTCGTTGAAAATGTTTGGCTTCGTATGAAAACATTACGAACCATGATTTAAAAGGTTCTTGAACAACCAAAAATTCGTTAATTAAAATAATTCGTCTGGTTAGGCATAAAGCAGTTTTAAAAGTTCACGGCCCCCGACAAAATATTAAAATTTGAAACTGTTAAAAGACGTTTCTTTCTATTATTTTTAAAAAAAGTGCTCTAAAAAGATTGAAGTTTCAATTGGTGTTTGCTTCACTTCCGACCCATTCCTATTCGCCACTTAAAAACGCAATCAATTCGCAAACGATAGCTTTCGATAATTCTTGTGCCATTTTCCCTCCTTCGAGGTGGTGTAATACTTTTGCGAGGGGAGTGTATTTATATATACATCTGTTTTTTATCTATTGATATGATGGTCCGTAATTCTATTTTTATCTATACACTTATTTCTGTTATGTACTCATTTATTAATCAATTTACTAATTTATACATTCATTATTTATTTGTGATTTATATGTTTTGTTTATTTATTTGTTTATTATTTTATTCATTTTTTTATTTGTTTATCTATTCATTTACTTGTTATTTGCTTTCAGACGAATAATAGCACAACAGCGCCCCTACTGTATACAGCTGCGAAAAGAAACTTTTGTAAAACTGAAAGATCTTTTAGAGTTTTTCCGATGTCAGAAAGAGAGCTTAGAATCTATGAAAGGGGAAGAAGAGAGGTATGTAAAAACTACATTAACTAAATGTGTTTTTGATTAACAACTACTTTATTTTTTATCACTTTACCTTGTAACAAATTCATTTTTGAAAAAAAGATTTTAGTAGTTATGATAAAATTGCCAGCTGGTCTGAGCGCTGTCCCAGAAGCCCTTGCCCGCAGCCTCAGAGGCGCTTAGCTGCAGCCCCAGAGATGCTTAGCTGCAGCCCCAGAGATGCTTAGCTGCAGCCCCAGAGATGCTTAGCTGCAGCCCCAGAGATGCTTAGCTGCAGCCCCAGAGATGCTTAGCTGCAGCCCCAGAGATGCTTAGCTGCAGCCCCAGAGATGCTTAGCTGCAGCCCCAGAGATGCTTAGCTGCAGCCCCAGAGATGCTTAGCTGCAGCCCCAGAGATGCTTAGCTGCAGCCCCAGAGATGCTTAGCTGCAGCCCCAGAGATGCTTAGCTGCAGCCCCAGAGATGCTTGCCCGCAGCCTCAGACTTGCCAGATCAAACCGAGGTTCACCCAACGACTTGCGTACTTGCCTGGCACGCTCCCACCCAGTCTCAATTTGTCACCCCGCGGCACCAATGCGAAGACTAAATTCAGCAATGAAAAGAACTCGCTAATTTACTGCACCTGTTTTAGGCCTACCTATTACTTCTGTTTGTCAATGTCTTCTAACAGACAATTCATCTTTGTACAAATCTTATGCCGTATTTCATTTACCTTTAAAAATAATCATTTCTCTGGAATGCATCTTCATTTGCGATGTAATGAAAACTTCTAAGTAGGTGACAGCGAAGTCCAACCTGTTTATCTGTCACATATTGACCTCCACGTTTATCAGCAATATCATTTTCTCACACTTCTAGTTATGGTGAAGAAATGGTTCTGAGTGTCCTGGATCTTCTAAAATGCCATCTTGTCCTCGCCATAAAAGACATATCTGTAGGAGATCTGTTGGAAGGTGAAGCCAAAGAGATTCGGAAGCTGTTGTTTCGCCTGATCGACCTACCGCTTTCTGCCAAAGTGCATCAGGTATTTTATATCAAAATATAAGGTAGCAAAAAATGCTTTGTTTATGTCACATTTTACGCTTTGGTGTGTAGAAAAAAATGTTATGAGCTGCAACGAGGAGCTGCGCGCTTAATGCGATCACAAACAGCTTGAACAGTTCTGCCTATACGACATCAAGCCACTTATGACCGGCAAATGTAGCAGTAATTTCCACTATACCACATTATATGTAAATGCGTCTCGTACTGGGCAAGAAACTCGCATGTTCTGTGCACAAATGTATATCCAGGTCTTTAATTGGTCATCGAGCACTTTCGACATGCCAGTTAGCTTTTAGAATGCGGTATTGGCTAGTCGCCTGATGATGATGTTAGCGTGGAGCTCAGAGTTGCGGCACAGAACCATTCTGTTCTACACACCTAACCGTGTACCGCCATTTTTAAAGACTTTCATTTAACTGGCAGCCACATGTTAGTTCTTTATCATGATGTTGTTGTATGTATTGCTCTGCATCAAAGTTCTTAATTTATTTCTTAATTTCTTAATTTATACCAAAAATCTAAGACCAAAATTTCCTAATTTATAGCAAATTAGGGCCTAGATAATGTCGGCGTTGAATCGAGTACCCAAATGTGACGTCATGAAAAGTCTATTTTGAGAATTTCTTAGTTTTGACCACATAATCTGAAGAACGGCATCAAATACCTCTCATTATGCAAAATCAGTTAGATATGCTCAAAATTTGGCGAGATGTGATCAATGAATGATTTCATGTTAACGGATTATCGTCCTTCTGCCCTGGATCATAAAATTTTGAACCAAGCCAATTTGTAACAAATACACCTGATTTTGCACATTTAGAGTTATTTCGTGGTGTTTTTTGTTATATGGTCAAAATTGAAAACTTTTCTAAAATAGATTTTTGTGACATCATTGCTTTGAAACTCTATTGCCATGTAGAGGGCGTTATTTCGTAAATTCACATCCTCGGACAGTGCACAGTCGATTGACAAAGATCTGTTTTGCGATCATTTGGGCATATTCAACATGGTGGGATAAACGCAGACATTCTTAGACTGCGAGATATCGTCATATTGTAAACAAAGGTCGGCCTACGCGTCTCATGTGCTGACGAAAGATGACGTTCTTTAGTCGGCGGAGATAAACAGAAAATAATTTTGAGTGAAATTATAATTATCATTTAGATATGATTGGCAACTTTCATTCCACAGAATAATAGCTCCATGGCCCATTTATCAAAATTTCGATTGACTTGGAAATTGGGCAGAGATTCTCGTCATCAATTGTCGCCATCAGTCTTTAGTTCTTTGAATAACTATCTCTATTTTTTATCATTATTTCAATCTGTATACAAAATGATATATTCTGTGCATAAGATAACGAGTTCTTTTACACAAAGGGTCTTTTGTTTAATTGTCGAGCTTTTGTTTTTCCTTGGCATGCCCGTTATATTCTGCAGCTGCATTTGTTCTTCGCAGAGGTTCAAAATATCAGCATGGATTATTTGCAGGAATATCTGCTAAACTGATTCGTCTACGTCTTGCATTTTAATGCTTTTAAAGTCCGCTCCTCTCAATATCTTTAAGGCTACACATGTCAAGTTATCCTTACGAGCATGCAAGCCCTGAAATACCGAATCTGAGTCAACCCTAGAGTTCTGAAGTGGAAAAAAGTCACTGATGTCTATTTAAAAATTTTTGAATCCGGATCACAAAACCTCAAAGCGCATCATAAAATAACTCTAAATATGCGAAATTAGCTAAATGTCTTAAGAATTTGCCCAGATATGGCCACAAAAGGACAGCCTTGTTTCCTATCGAAAAACAATTAAATTATTAATTTGCTACATCTCACCCAAATATTTACAAATTTAACTGTTTCCACATTTTAATGTATTTCATGGTGTTTTAGGTTATGTGGTCTAATAACTATAGTTCTAAAACCATATTTGATACGACATAACACTTTAAAACTCTTTATCTTTTTATGTACAAGCTGTCTTATTTTTCTATTAAGGTTTTCGTTCAGACATGTTATAACATCGTACTGAAAATTCGTTCCATTGTAGGCCATCATCGAAACGACGAAACTTGGTGCCCAGATCCTTTTGCCAAATTTGCATGAGTGTGTTGAGCTGTTGTACGAACTTCTGCCGCAGCAAGTTTCTTCGTCTGGACAAATATCAAGAGGAAACGTAAGGATTATTTCGTCTTGTATCTTTTGGCATCGTTTCTTCTACACTTGCAAACGTGGCCTAAGGTTTCAGGAAAATGTCAGTGATAGCTTGAACTAATCAAAATACACCGGCTATTATGAAGGACTTTGATGATGTTTAGGTTGTTTTTATCCTAATAAGTGGAGCTTTTGTGCGCGCTGTTCATTTTGATTTTATTTTGGAGTCTCTAAGCCATGCATTAGAAAGTTCGCTTCTTCCAATGAACGTTAGGTAAAATTTCACAAGGAAAGATTTGCTTCTATTTCGTTCTGTTCTGAGTATATTCCACCATTTCTATATAACCCTGTCTTTTATTTCATCAAGTTCATCGTTCTGTTATTCAAATTTCTTGTTTAGATACTACCATAAGAGCTTTTCTTATTCTTTGCAGATGCTACAGCTTGAAGTGGTCCTCGAAAGCTTAAATGATGACTTACAGATTTCAGAACTGTTTGGCTTCACCCAGTCCAGCAACTCCGAGATTAAAAGTGACGATAACGCATCGGATGATATTGCCATTGCCGATGAGATTCCACTGAGATTAAAATCATGCGAAACACTCATGAAAATGCTCCTTTGGAATCTTGGTTTCTTTACTGTAAGTTCAATTTTTTGTTTTATCCTTAGCTATCTTTGAGATTGGCACATAAAGCCTCATAAGACATGCACTCTTTTTTTTAAGAACCAGTAAGTTGAAGATCAGGTTGGCTGTTCTTAATTTTTTCGCTGGATTGTTTTTAGTTTGTTCTTTAATTATTAGGATGTAGGCGGTGCAATTGCTAGCTAGTTTGCTATGTAATAGGACTGAGATCTAATCGCTAATTCATGCTAATTATGCTAATGATGATCTTCCTGTTTGCATATTTTGTAATCGTTGTTTGGAATCATTAGTAAGTTCATAATCTCAATACGAGTTGCACGCAGTCTCTCGCTGTCGATCTACTCAAACCCCATTACATGCTCAAGAGGGGGGGGGGGGGGGGGGGGGCGTTCAGGCCTCGTTTACCAACAAAGTGAGTAAGATATCCTTAATTTGCCGATAAGTTTGGATATTCAAGGAAAAATAGCCCCTAGATGGCAAAAACTCCCTAGATGGCTTAAATATAATTCAAAGTTGCATTTTACAGTTGCTCTGCCTCAGCTTGTTCTTAGTTGGTTCTTGATTTTCGACTAATTTTGAGGCACAAGTTCATATAAAATTGCTCTTTAAAAAGAGTTTAGTGAGTACATAAGGATTCAAATACGTTATAATAGTCAAGTATTATCATTAAATATTGGAATTGGCTCATATCAGGAAAAAATGAAATCCCTTGTGAGTGTAATTTTACTTTCTATTGAGTTTATTTGTCTCTTGCCTCGAGATTATTTCTCCAGAGATCTTGTTCTAAGCTTTTTAAGCAACATTTTTATGTCCCTTGTGTAAAATATCCGTTATTGAAGTGGCACTTACTGGACTGGAGGTTTTACGTCAAACCTGTCTGGTTTCATACCACTACCTTTGAATATAGATAAAAGTGTCTCTATACTGCCATAAAAGTTTTAAATTATTTCTTTGAGCTGTTTCTATAAAATTCGCTAACAACTTTTGTATCAGCTTTGGATAAATTTTTGTATAACTTTTGACGTATAAGAATTTTATCAATAGGAGCAAAGACTTTCGAGAATTTTGGATTCAGATAAAACTGACGACACAGAAAGAAAGTATGAAATTTCAATGGAAAGAAAAACAGTCGAGTTACTGCACTCGATGCAGAAACATTTGTTAGCTGCTCTGATGTGGAAGAAAACCAACAAGGTGAAAATATGATATATATAATATTTGTATTTGTTTTTAATATATTTGCAAACTTCAAGGAATTCATTGGGAATTATGTACATAATGGGTAAATATATAGAGTCAATACAATTATATAGAGTAAATATAATCGGTATAAATTCTTCAACATTCTGAAGTGAAGTGATGGGCATTTTTCGTTCTTGGGATTGTAATGGTTATGATAAACCAGACGAAATTGTACAGGAAAACCTTTACAGTTAAAAGAATACAGCTATTGTTTGTGGCCCTAAAAACCGAAGAATAAAATATAATTATAAAAGTTGAAAAAAAGGAGTTATAAAACTGGCTTTTAAAATTGCAAATTCATTTCGTTTAATTGCTTGTTTGAAGTTTGCTAAGATCCTTCATTTATGGAAAATTGGTTCCCTTGAACGCAAAAGCACTTTTTTCGTTGTCACTTTTAAAGACCTTTGCAGAAGCAGGCTCGACCAATTTCCACGTTTTTTTTCCAATGGTGGAGGAAGCAATCTTTTTATTGACAACGTAAACAATTATTGATGTTTGAACTTCAAAAACACCCATTTAGATCCAACCTTGAAATTAATATAACTGGGAATTTCACAAAATCATACTTTTATTCTGCATCAAAGCAACCAGCCATTTTTGCCTACTTTGCAACATCTGACGTCGTCCAAGGGCTTTTTACTTTTTACTTTCGAAGAAATCATGTAATTTTCTTTTTTACTTTAAATTCAATTATTTTTTTACACGTTACTATTTGTTTTCATTGTTTCTAATTTCAGCTCACTCAAATATCTTTAAATCCCTTCGTAATTCTAGAATTTGCCTTCCTCGCCGTTATCTTATGAGCTTTTACTTTAATGCATGAAATATCTCATTTTGTTTGGTCTCAAATCCATATTTCAAGGTATCATTTTTTGTGCCCTCAGCATATCAAGGAATACGTGGCGGTTTTGCATCGGCATTTCCAGTTGGCATTGTCTCTTGCCAAATCAACCATAATCGACTGCTTGGAGACTGCCGCAAAGGTTGAGGAAATGGGCAAGATGTCATCTCGTAAATGGCTCCTGCTTGGTGGGTTAAACAATATTCTTGTCTGATTCACAAGACTGGTCCCAAAAATAATGCACATGTTTTGTATTTCTGATTAAAGTTAGCTAAAATACCAGCATGCTCTTCTTCGTATTTTGATAGCTTATTAGATACTTATGCCCAGAGGTCTTTGTTTTATGACCCCCCTTACTTCTTTCTTTCCCCGTTAAAACCTTTCGCAAACTACCCCCCCCCCCTCCTTATACGAGCGTATTCAATATCTCTCGCCCCGAACTGGAAAACACAATGCTCAAAAAAGGCTGGGCTAACTCTTATTTGATGGTTAAAATATATTATTTAAACATGTTGATAATTTGCCGTCAAATTCTTAGTCCTTGTTGGTAATGTGATATGAATTTGATATTTAAGGAAGTTTTTATTCTATTTGCCTCCTTTTTCTCTGGACCTCCCCTACTCCCATACGTCATTGAATGCTTTATGTATTGTACGTAAAATTGTAAGCACAAGACGTACAATTACATCTTTGTTTCTACCCCTCCCACGTCGCAAGCTTAAATGTTATATAATTTTTCCATTCCTAGATATCCTTTCGGAATCAGCAGCTGGTCACATGCTCGTTATGATCGTTCATGCAATTCTTTTTTTGCCTTCTGATCTTTCCATTCCTTACTTTGACGCTGTCTGTGATCTGTTGCCTGGCCTAGACAAACTGTCACGTCTATCCTCTGCGGTGGAGGTTCTGGACCAACAAGAAGTCACATGGCCCAAAAATGGTAACGAGGTTTTAGGAAATTGTTTCTTATAGTGAACTAGTCTTTGGAGGGGGTGGGGGGGGGGGGTTTAAGAAGGGCCAGCAAAAGTACAAATGCTCGTGTGTTATAAAGTAGATTGACTGGAGGCCTAGGTAAGGAGATAAAGATATCGGGGGCCTTTTTTATAACAGCCCAAAGAAGAGAATCGCAGTTAAGCTTTATTATTAAAAACTTGAAAGCCATAATCTAACTAACTCTCATTCTTCTGGACCATCTATTCAAAGGACTGTCACATAGACGGCTAGGTGACCATGTCACTAACTATTTAGCAAGTTATAATGTCAATAATCCATTGCCGCTTTTTTACTTTGCATTCATTCCCTTTTGATGTTCAATGTGTTGCCCCGTATTAGACTTTCATACACAATACTTCAATTCCATAAGAATTTATTTCTTCGTTTGTATGTTTTTGAAACGGCTATCTTTCAAATTATTTTTCCAGAGTCATTCGGGACCCTCGATCCGTGCAACCTGCCGCTCCCGCAGCCTACAAACAGTTGGACCTGGATCGTTGACTTAGAAAGGACTGTCGCTTTCCTAGTTGGCCGATGCGTCAACAAAATGCTGCATTGTCTTCCGTTGCTGAATTCAGAAATTAGGGCAGCTGAGTGGCTCGAGCTTTGTTTGTTCAGAAATGGGTTAAAAAGCAGCAAGGATGCAGAGCTAGGTATGTCCCTAAAGGGGGGTTTTGTCACAAGGGGAGCCTCTTGTTCCAAGGTGGAGTTTATGAATAGAAAATTATTCGCAGGCGAACTTTTATTGGCATCAGCTGCTTAGTGGGGCTGTTAAATAATGTTATAATCTGTGTTATCTTGAAAGTGTTTTAGTCATCGATGACCTAATTAAAATTCAATTCTAAAAATTAGACCTTCCAATCGTCTTCCAATCATACGAGGGAGGGTCTTATTAGCTATACGAGGGTCTTTTTTATCAAAATTCAAACGTTTTATTGATTTAGCTACAATTTTAAGCAAGTTAAAGCTCCTCTTTTGTTCCCAACTTAGTGAATTCTCTGTTTACACTTTTGCCTGTTTCTAATTTTGTCCTTTTAGGCTCATTTCTTGACACTGTTGACAACGCACTCCGTTCCTTCGACAATGCAACCATTGACAACTTCAAGTCAGAGTTAGGCCAACTTCAAAATGACTTGCCAATCGACCTTGGAAATGGGTCATCAAACATTGAAGCAAAAACGTTGTGGAGAGACTTCGTTGAGTATGGCATTATTCGAGGTAAGGCTTATCTACTCCGCCATTTTGTTGAAATTTTAAGGCTCCTTTGTGGATTTACAAAGCTCTCAGAGCAACTTCTTACCTTCCCAACAATATGAATCTCGTTACTTGTTCGTATTGAATTTCAATCTCACGAAAAGTTGGTATGTTTTTGCCACATTTTGTCTTTTCAGAGCTTGCGAATGAATCGCAAGAAAGCTCAATAGATTTCGTACAAGTCACTGTGAAATTTGTACTCGCTGCAATGATCAAACAATTTGGAATCACTTGTGATAAAAACCTCGTCAAAAGGTATTTCATTAGACTTCGCTAATTATGAACTTTAAATTAACGATTTTAAGCATATTTCTTCTATTTTTACATTTATCACATTTTTGGAAGCTTTTTACATACAAACGGCCTTTGAAATTACCCAAGAGAACAATTTAGGCAAAGTTAGTGGGCATAGGTTTAGGCCTCCAGAATAAGATTTTCAAATTTCAAACTTTTTCCTTGGATCACTGTTCATTTTTCACGTGTTATGTCAACAGATGTAAAATTCTGTTTAATTGCCTCTGTTTTTGAAATTTAGCATCGGACAAAACTTTCACTCAGAGAGGGAAAGCTCTCTGTAATTCCAGGCGTAGGAATCACGAGGTGTGGTCGCATCGAGAGGAAGAGCCAGGACACTGTGTGATAAGCATAAGCTTCTCAGTATCCTAAAAACTACCTTCAAAAGCTAGGTAGCAAAGTACAAAATACAAATACTGAGTTTTGTTAAAAAGAATTTTGTTTTCTTTTGCAGTCCGTATCTCACAAGCATATACGAAGCTGTGTTCTCAATTGAAAACCTCGTGTATACCATTTTGAAAACTGACGGGGTAACACAGAAGGAAAGCTCTACTGGGCAAAACGAAATACAAGGTATGTTATTTCGCTGTACTTGGTTCAATATTTGGGTTAAGGGGACTCGTTGTTTTTCATTTATAAACTCATTTTGTTTAATTTAATTAGTAATTAGTTTAATTTAATCAAGTTTAATTAATTTAATCACATAATCAATATTTTTTTGTTTTAAAGTTATCTTCACATTAAGTTCACATAAAAAACCTTCACATTTGTATTTCCTATTTAAACTTTCTCATTAATGCTAATCCTACTGAAATTTTTAGTTTCCCTGAAGACCACAATACCAAACTTAATATCTAGATAAAGTAGCATCAAAATTTGACAAATTAATTTTTGTTTTTCTTTTCTAAATTTGTTTGCTTGGAGTGGATACCAAATTGTGATGAAGCGAAGTTTAAGAAGTATTTGAAAAAGTTTAAAAAATAACCTTGATGTTAAACCTTGGTTTCAGAACGGCATTCTCCCAAAGATTTCATCTTTATGGAAGTTTTGAGTTTTTTTGCAGTTTAGGTTGGCTGATATTTTCATTTTTTGCCTGATTTTTGTAATTATCTTGCCGTCACTCATGTCTGTTTGTAATATTTTTGTAACAGAGTGTGTTTTTGTAAAAACATAAAATTCATTTGCTTTTTATTCACAGCAAAGCTTCTGGAAAACTGCAAATCCATCGTTCGTAATTGCCTCTATCTTCTTGCTTTTGTCAATCCGTGCATAAGTGAAGACCGTCCGACGATCGACGATAAGAATTCGCTACTTGAAGCTATTTTATGGTTCATCATGAAAGACTTTGATCGAGATCTTCTGTCAGATCACGATCGGAAGAAGTACGCGCTAAACAAACTCATGAACATTGCATTTGCCGATATAACAACTACTTTCAGGTCACATCAAATCAGAGCAGAGGTTTGTTAAATCAGTCACCTATTACAACGCTGGAACGACCAGGGGGCAAGGGGCCAGGCTTGAGTAAAAGGGCCTTTGAAAGAAAGCTCCCAGCTTCTTCTAATTCCTTTTACTAACTGCCACCTTATTTCGATCTTCTGAAGGTATCTTGAAAATTCACTAACTTTTGGAATAACTATTTATTTTACAAATTTTGAGAAATGCCGTCATGAATTAAGCACTGGAATCGGAACTTCATGTGAATCTCTCTGATTATTAAAATTGGCCGGTTTCAAGGGTACTTCAATCAATGGGGCACTCTGGCCCCTCTTGCCCCTGATATCAGAAGGTAACAGGGGTGGTTGACCTCCGGCGCTCCCCTTATTCGGCGTCCCTGATAACAAGATTTGAAAGTTGTAGCCTTCTTGTTGTCATAATTCTTCATACTTTGTTAAAAGCGATTGTGCTGTTGAAATATATGTAAACATTTGTAGAGGACATATTATAACTCTATAATTGCGAATCCTGCTCTTTGCATTAACAGAAAACCTCAATTTCTTTCAGAGAAGAATCAAGGCCCTGGAATTTCTGTCGTCATTCAACCTCGTTTCGAGTCCACATAACGAGGCGAATGCCCTCGAAGCTTCTGCGGCAGTTCTAAAGAATTTGGTGCCATCTGCTCAGCTTTATTTCCTGATCGAGGCTCATGGTTTGGGAGTATGCGCAGAGGACGCAACAGATCATGGAATGATGAGTTGGAAGGTATCGATATAATGTTATTCGCAAGACAAATGATCATCTAATATGTTTTTTTGCTGTTTTAAGTTGTATATATTGGTCTAAAGAAGCATCGATTGCCTAAGGCAAAACTTTGATTATCTTTGAAAAATGCACAGCTAATTCTGGAAAGGTGATTTAGAATTATAATTATCTTTGGAAGCAATTGCCAGATGATCGCATTAAGCGTGAAACTCGTAGTTGCAACTTAGAACCGTACTGTTCTATACACCAAATAGCGTGCACTTTATGACAGAACAGTAAACAATAATTTCCATTTTCTTTGGAAACAGATACAACTGTTTAAAGATAAAAGAAAAGCTTCTGAGATGGACAAGACATCAGATATTACAATAAGCTAAAATAAAGGCATAAAAAAGTTGAACAAATTTGACATGAAGAAGTATTGTTGTATGTTATATGTTTTGAGAAGAAGTATTAGAAACCCGAAAAGATTGAAATATTATATATTATTGTAGATGGTCTTATTGGGTATTTCAACGTAAAGGCTGCTTAATGACAGAAGTCTGAAAATTGTGCAATGGAGCTTCGTGCATTCCACTTAAATTGGGCTAAAATATCGTTTTTGTCTTCACGAATAGCCAACCGTTCATCTACGACTGAAGCCTATCTTTAGTCAAAGAATGGCATGAACTATTAAGTGAAATTGAAATAATTATTGTAAATGGAATTAACTGGTTAAATCTGATTTTGCAGCAAAATGTTGAGAATGCAACCTCTGAGACTCTTCTTAGACTTGGCGAAGTAATCGAGAGATATTTTGTCAACATTGTCCACCACATTCGACATGCTGAAGAAATTATTCACCGAGGTAACGTTTTTATAAACATTATCTTTTTTATGACGGATGAATTTGGTGATACAATTATGACTTTTTTATGTGATTTTTATAAAGATATTAGTAATTGTCTTTTTAAATTTTTAATGCGTTGGATAATGTAAGTGTCATTGCATTAGTGATAATATATCTTGAATTATTTTTTATTCTGATACTTGCACAATATCATCGGAGGGCAATGTTTGCAAAACGTATTTAGACTGTTCATCAATATTACAGATAGTTGCACTAGGCCAATAGAATGCTCCATGTTATGGTTGGAATTAGTAAGATGGGGCTAGTGAAGTTTCATAATTTTTAACTTTTTGGAAAGTTTATGGATAAATTTTCGAAAGTGTTTTAAAAGGATTTAGCTGGTAAAATTATTGCTAGTTTGTTCCAGAGCGGCAGGCTGTCGAAGTGCTGTAAGCCTATAACCTCTTTTCAGTTCTCTATAATTAATCTGTATTCTCAGGCCAGTATTTTTGCTATTTCGTAGGATATGCAGAGATGTTTAGCGGTGTTTTCATGATGGCGCTGTCAGAATTCAGATTGCAAAGCACAGATGTAGAGCTTCGTTTAATTAAAGATTTGTCTTCTGTTCTTGTGAGCAAATATATTTTGCCAAGCTTGATGAGCAAAACAACTCAGAAACAGCCATCAAAGCTTGAGTATATATGCACAACGTTAATGAAGACTTTGACATTGCAAATTGGGTGAGCTCATTTGACTTTCCAACTTGTATACTGTCATTTTCGTATGTATTTACTAGGGACTTAAAGACACATAGCACGACCTTCGAAAATGAGAGAAAATTCCTAGATTCATGGGAGACGCGTGCGTTATGTTATAACCCCTTACCCCCTTCCCCAATGAAAGTTGGGGCGTATTTATTTTAATAGCAGAGACGATGTAATTTACTTAGAAGAGGGGCTCAAAAATCTCAACGCTATCTAGAGGACATTGTTATAGCAGGAGACCTTCATTCCTTAGGAACTACCAGAACATACCAACTCTTACGAGTATATTCCCTAAGATTTGTTTACAGCATTGCAATCCAGTTTCTCAATATATGTTCTCTAAACTTTCTTCAGAGGCTTGCCTCTAAACAATTGTTTCCAATTTGCAGTTCTTAGGTCTTCTGTTCTCAAAACTGATAGAAAAAGAAACTGAAAACTTGGGGTACTTTCAGCTCCTCACTAGGTTATTTGAAATCTCAGTTTTCTACCAGACTTTCCTTTCTCGTAGCTTTAGCTCATGAAATAGTGTTCCCTATATAAATCGCTTTCAATTCATTTTGCATTTATTGGCATCTTATGCTCATTGAACTAGCCCACCTTTGGGGGTATCCTTGAGTTAAAGGCCTGCTTCATTTTTGTAGAATGAGCGGTATGACGTCAGAAGAGTGCCTTAGTCACGTGGTGTCAACACAGATGCTTGTATTTCGAACTCTGAAGAGTAACGTGGCAACATTGCATGATGGTGAAATTGATCTATGCGACTGTTTGGTTTTCCTGAAAAGATTTTCCCTAATGAGCAACGCACCAAGGAAGCATTTTGTGGCACAGGGATTTCCTTCTGAGCTTATCGATATTGCAGGTAAACCCCCTTTAAAAACAAATATTTCATTGATTTGTTTGTAAGTTTTTATTTCTCAGAGGGGGGGTCATTGTTCATTGAATAGAAACTCGAATGTCAAACATGACATTAAAGGGTGTAGGACTGGCACATTTTCAAAGCTTTATCAAAGTCGCATGTTTTACTCAAAGGGCAATTTTTTGTCGAAAGTCTGTTATTTGAAGATGGCACGAAATAGCGGAAACACGACATACTGAAGTATTACATCGGATAATTACCGAAAGTAAGCAGAAAATTATATCAAGGTAATAGTAATAATAATAAAATGAATTTTTATTCAGGATAAAAACTTCCAAAATTGATTGCTGTTATCAATGTTTGTCCTGTAGAGCTAAAAGATACTTAAAAAGAAACTAAAAATTAGATGATAATTACATCTTGAGGAATATAGTTGTTTATAAGTTGTTATGTGATGCATAAACATTATTTATGGATCGAAAGTAACGTGAGAGGAAGAAAGACGCATTTGATTGGTTCTTTTTTTGACCAATCAGCGGCCGCTAACCATCACCTAGTTGAAAAATTCAAGAAAGAAAACGAACATTGTTCTATGCTTATACTCTGATGATTGTCGAACGAAAAATATTGGATATTTCCACTAATTGGTCCAGTCTTCGAATTTTGCGGTACCAAAAATCTTTTATCTCCGATCACACATCTTTCCAATCTTTAATAGTAGTATATCATTTGTATTAGGTGCGTGACTATTCAAAACCATCCTTGTTACATGCGATTACTCAAAACATTTCTCTTGTTTTGGCCTAATAAATGGCCTTATGACCATGAAAATATCATTCGAATGTAGTTATCTTTCACTCATTAAACAATATTGTTGATATTCAGTATTATATTATCATTAATTATTTAATATTACATATAATCTTCAGTTTCACAGGCACTATATCTAGAGCAGCATAGCAAGAATTCACTTGATGTAACTCCATGTTACTCCATATATCAATATTCTTTATTTTGCATTTCATATCATGTCCTATAAATTCAAATTCTCGATTTTGAGTTAAGTTCAAAGCATTTTAAGACTTTTCATAATTTTGGGTTATCAAACCTAATTGAAAGATACCTGATAAAGTTATATATATAAATATATATGTGAATTGCTTTTTGTGACATCTTTTTGCTAATTTTGAATTAACAATTTAAAAATTTCATCCTTAGGGTCTGCTGGTTATGGCATTAAAACAAGAATTCTGGCCTTGAAGATGCTACAAATTATTTTACCATCAATTTCATCGGATGCTTCAAATAAAATCGACCCGGAGCAGGTAATAAAAAAAGATGAATCTGAATTCTGATTTTGAACCTCAAAATGTTCCTTTTGGCTCATTACCGTAATTTTGAATTAAGCGCCCAGGACTCATATAAACGCCCATTAGTCATATAAACGCCCAGTCCAAGTAAGCACTTAGATAAAGAAGCTTTGATAAGCGCCCATATAAGGATAAAAGCCGTAATATTCGTCCACCCTATTACGAAAGAAGACCGGGCGGATGACCATTTTAGGCCAAAATGCACATAAGAAGGCCAAATCAAAAATCATGCAAAAGTACTCAATGCAACCGTAGAATATATTTCCACGCAAGATCCTTTCAGACGATTTTCCAAACTCGAACAAGAGACTGAAAACCATGCTGTCAACGTTTTTGTTTAGTGTATCTTATCCTAGTCAAGGGGCAATTTAGACTCTCAGTACGGCAGATTTCAAACTAAATGTGCACTATTCATATTATATTTGGCGCCATTTTGACAATTTCTGCTCCTTCAGGATTGTTAGAACATCATTTTACTAAACATGTCAACCACAGCTTCTTGGATACAAGAAAAACCCTAATCTAGAAACCTGGTGAAGAAGTCAGCCAGTCTTGATCCACTCAGTTTGTTTAGCCCGTATCAAATTGGATTCTTATAGGTATCACAATGCAGATTTATATCTTGAGGATGCAGTAGATCTCAAAATTAAAGGATCGTTAAGAATTAATCATTGACCTCTCGTTGTTTAAATTTTTTTATGATTGATTGCTAAAATTGGATTTCTCCAGACGATTTCTGGGCTGCTCTCAATCATACCCAACGCCCTTCTGAAGGAGCCTTTGCAGTGTCAGAGATCAGCACCCCCGTCTTATTGGTCGCAATCTCCTTCTGACTGCGAGACTCTTCCCGTTGTTTTCGATGCGATTCGTGGCAAGGGATGCGGTATCGTGAATACGAATACAGTGAAACATTCAGTCGGGGGTAAAGCTATTGGCGTTGTGAAGCAGCCAATGGCAACGGGCTGTTTCCAATGGAATGTAAGTGATTTTATCAGGATTAATTTTTTTGTTTTTTGTAAATACTGGGGTATTTTTTTAATTATGATTGGGTCGTAGATAGATACTCTAGTTTTCTATCTATAAGATGTTGTCAGACCATGTTATAAAGGGCTATGTTTAGTACAAGTATAAAATGTGAACAATTTTTTGCGGTACAGAACTTAAAAATGGCTTTGAAAAAAGCAAACATTTTACAACATACTAAAAGCTTTTTTGTCTGACACTCCTCAGAGCATAAAACGTCAGAATAAGGGTCCGAAAGAACACGATGAAAAATATATACCCAGTTGTCAACATTTTTTAGACAACCCAGACTGTGCAAAACTCTAAAATGACGACATGTTTCGGATAATTGACAGAGCCCTGTCGTCTTTCCATCTAGAATTTTATGGAGTCGCTCTACATACAAACGAAAAAGCCGCCATTGTGTAGACAGAAGGAGTTCGTTTTGTCTTGTTCAGCCTTTTATATAAGCGATGCCACTAGAATTTGCTTTCATTCAGCCATCTTTTCAAGTGTTGTTTTATTTTATAAATTGCAACTTTTTCGTTGCATTATAAGACGGTCTGAATTTGCAGGGTACAGATAAGATCAGGAGATAAGTAGGGACAACATGGGAAAATGAAAATTTGCAAAAGTTGAAACCTTGAGATTCTGACTGAGGCAGTGCTATTCTGGTAATAATCGCCATTGAGAATGCTAATGTTCTGAACTACAATACCTGCCAAAACATTTGAAAAGCCCCTAAACATTGCACCAGCCCCCCTACCCCTAAACAGTGCTAGATATTTCTTTTGTTGCTACTTCTTTATGGACATGATTGTTGACTTGCCAAATGACGCTGCAATCAAACTTGAACAGGAATCTGCTAGCAAAAATTGTTTGGGGCCATTGGAAAGGGAGGGGGTCTGCTGTGTTAGGAGCTGTGTGGTCAAGAGAGGTAGGAAGACTGTAATGCGTCTTTTTCAAGAAGCAATAATGCTATGATTGCTCCAAGGCCAGACACGTGCTTGAAAATGCTGTCCATTGCAGCCGGAATTGTCTAGTTTCCATACTGATCGACCTGATAGTCATAAATAAGCATGATTAATGGTCATAAATTAGCATGATTAATTATTTCAAGTAAAGGGTTAGGGTTAAGGTTAGGGTAAGGGTTAGGGTAAGGGTTAGGGTTAGATTTAGGTTTAGGTTTAGATTGAGGGTTAGGGTTAGGTTTAGGGTAAACTAATTACGTCATCAGGTCGAGCAGTATGGAAACTAGACAGCTCCATTGCAGCCGTCATTTCTTCACCGCTCAACCTCCTTCTGATTATTTGTAGGTATATATAGAACACGAGACAAAGGGAAACGAGGGCACATGCATTGGTATAACAAAGTTCCCATTTGAAGATCTCAGCTACAAGACCTCGTCTGACATATGGGTTTACCGAGCTTATAGTGGGCTTGTCTACCACTCAGGCAGCCAGCTATCAGAGGAGGTGTTTGAATGCTTCAGCCAAGGGGATTATATCACTTGCATTTTGGATCTGAACTCTAGAATCCTTTTGTTTGGTAAAAACGGAGAGGTGGGCTTAAATAAATGCATTTAATTTCATTCATTTTATTTTCTTCATTTCATTTCATTTTCAATCACTGGTCGTGCATATAGAATAAAAGAAAAGTTAACATAAAGTAAAATAAGATAAATAGTTGCAATGGATTTAAAAATTACAGAATACGCTACCCAACCCTTTCTTACTTTGCTTTACCCCACCCATCCAATTTTTGATATCCTTTTACAATATTTTCATTTCTATTTCCCTCAACATCTACAATTTCGTTAACAATATATGTATATATCCAATAGTCAAAAGTCTGAAGTATGATGCTAAAACAAAACATTTTTAGCACAAAGCTTTGAATCTAGTCAGTTATAATGCCTGCTTAGCTTCGGTAACTAGGCTATTCCAAAGTTTAACACCATTTTGATTCCAAAATTTAGCGACATTTTAAGTTTTGTTATATCTGTTGATCAGCCTGCAAGCAGCCAGCGCTCTGAACATGATTTTCTCCTTTAGTAATATACATTTAAGCAGCTTACAGATTGTGCTTACGCCCTGGACTGCAGGGAGGCATTGAGTAGAAAACATTCTTATAATTGTTAGGTTTGCTCTTCTCAACACTGCAACTAATTTATTTTAATATTGAAAATTCTCCATTTAACATATTGCTTTTTTCACCAATTTTTGTTACTCTATAGGAGCCTCGCGTCGCCTTTCACAATCTACCATATGTTGACTTCTACCCCTGTGTTATCTTCTACAGCAACACCCCAGTCGGACAGGTACAATTTTTTCTCTCCATTTTTTGCCGTTAGTTATACAATAGGACTTGCCTTATTTTAAGTTTGATTGTCATACGAGACGGGGTCCCCATTGGTTTGCCTTTAAAATGCCTCCCTTAGGAATTTATCATTGCTAATTTCTGTCTCATTGGAATTCCAAAAGTGGTCCCTTTGGAGCAGCGGCGGACACCTGGGGAGACGAAGGAGCCCCTTAATTTTTTTGAAGACAACGGTCTTTTGTTGTTAAACAACGGGGAAATGTGACGTCATCTTAAGAAAACAATAGGCTTTCCTCACCCTCAATATTTGACCAAGTGTCCGCCCCTGCTTTGGGGGAAAGTCGAACTTCAAATCAGTTAAGGTTACGGTAAACGTTTGCTGGATGAAAACATCATTTTTTCGATTTTTTCACATTCCAGTACCCGAACTTTCAAGGCACACAATGACACCAAATTTGAAACAAACAGAAATTTTGAAAGTGGAAAAAATCCCATGTAAACGAAGGTTTCCATAATTTCTTTATCAAAACTTTTAGTTGAGGCCTGAAAATCTCTTGACCTTTTAAGCCGATTATCGTTGCTTTGCGGTTGTAGTCGCATGTCTCATTTACAATATCGCATGGCACATCCATATACCCAATGTACGGCCGTGTTTATTTAAACAGGCTTATTGATCTTAAATCTTCAAGTGACTTGACCCGGATTACACTGTGGTTTACGAGTGTATCTTGCAAGTGCGATCAGTAAAATCCCGTTTTCTCCGGACTCGAAATTCCTCTACATGCAGGTACGAAAAAGCTATTATGTACCCAGGGAACCAATCGAATGGCTCGAAAATTTGCACACGGCCAGGGCAGACGTTGGGCAAACAAAGTGTGTCTCAAAATTTTTTTATTTTCTCTGGTCCGTCTTTTATACCCAAATACAGCTGCGGGAGGGTGGAACAATTATTTGCCAATTTTTGACAGGGTATAGTTTCAAGAAGAGGAGGAATTTAAAAAATCTGAGACACACTTTGGTAGCTTAGGACCTGCACTTCCTGCTGGTCTAAGTCAGATTTTGTTACCTCAAACGCAAGGGTACATAATAGCTTTTGAAGGTGGTACACTTTTTGACCAGTAAATTCGCATGGAAAATAACATTTAACATTATTTGCCAATAATGTTTATCTGGCTAGATACGCCATAACCTTGTGCATCGAATGATACATAGTTTATCTAGATTCCTTGAGCCGTTTGGCCTTTAGGAAGAAAAAACCAATTTTCGTGTTCAAAACGTTTACCGTAACCTTAACTTTAGCTTCAGTGAGATTTTCTGCAACGAGGAAGGTGGCTTGCCAAGATATTCTGAAACGAGAAACAAGAATACCTCAAAGATGCGTTTTTTCTCGCTGTTTTCAAGACAAATTGCAACAAGATGTGAGATTCTGCTTCTGGCTCCCTAATGCTGCCTTCTCTCCTGTTTCCCTTGCTCAAATACCCACACTAACTCCCAAATTACGTATGGACATTCTCGATGAAGAGTTGCTCATCGTTTATTTTTCAGTTTTGATTTTTTCAGGTGACAATCAGCGAAATGAAGCGTTTCTCAAATAAAGATGTTGTTTATGATGGCACTCCTTACTGTGCCCCACCATCTTTCACCATTGCAGAGCAGACAATTTGCTTGTTGAGAACCCTGTACGCACAGGACCTTTGGAGGGAGGAAATGCAAAAAGCATTCACAGATATTGTCGAGAAACTTGATGGCCTATCAATGGATCACCCTCAGGTATGCTATTATAGTTCCTCATGAAATCTTTATTTTGCAGTATTTGTAGAACAGGGAGAAGATTTTTTAAGTTAAAGTTTTCAAATTGTTTTTATTATTTTTTTGGTAGGCCACATTTTTCCATCAATATTGGCGAATCTTGTGGTGGTTGGTTAAAAGCCTATCGAAAATATCTGAGCCATCTTTGCTATTATTGTCTCTTTGACAATTGACCAATCAGTGAGCATTATTCCACTCACACGCTCATTGATTGGCTGATATTGATTGACAGATGGCTTAAGCTATCTGTCGATAAGTTGCATTCAACTGTAATTACTCGAGCCTATATATTAAGTAACCGTGATATGCGTAATTTGTGTTTTTGGCCTAGGAAGCAGTGTATGGTGTTAAGAGTTGAGTGATTTGGAGAGATAGAAAGAGCAATGTTCTGCGTTTTTCAACAGATTTTGGCAAATATTTGTTTACCGTGTTGTGATTTTGTTTTGTATCACTCCATTTGCCTGTGTGAATTTTGGTCAGGAATTATTTACTGTTGCTTCAAGGAAGACCATGTATCTCCTTTGCTGAACCGAATTGCTAAAGCATTGACTTTATTTCTGTAATTTTTATCTTGTTTCTGTACCATATTATCTTTTGATATGCCTCAGTCCATTGACCAGTATGAATTTTGTCGAGATTGGTATTAACTGTTGATGTAAACAAGACCAATTTTCTCTTTTTCTGTTTGCTCTATCAAAGACAGCTCATAATTTAGTTAGGTCCGTCGTCCACCATTGCCACTTTATCCGTAACTTGCATTTAGGACAAACGATTGTCCAATCAAATCGAGGAGAAAGCCCCTGGAGCGCTTTCATTGCTTGGCTTTATCGGTGACTTCGATAGTGGATTACGAATTGGGTGCCAATGCCGACACAACAGTGCCAAAGGATATGTGATGGGTGGAGTCAGCCAAAACTGTTCATTGCTAAGGGTGCAAGAGATGGAAGAAGGAAAACGAAATAGGTCTGTTTCACTAATTGCATTACCTAGGGAGAGAAGGGTACTCCAGCAGCGGTTCTAGGGAATGTGGGGCCCGGGGCCGAAAGTATCTGCGGGTTCTTTACAATATTTTTCTTCTTAGGTGTGGGGACCCTTCTGGCTACCCTTATCGCGGGGCCTAGGGCCGCGGCCCGACTGGACCTCCTGTAAAACCGTCACTGGGGTATTCTGATACCTAAAGGTAAAGAAAACTTTTTAATACCCCTCTTTAAACCCTTAGCAGGCACTCAAACTTTGGAGACATCCAGCTTGGGTTTTCAGTAGGGCACAAGTTATAGAAAATGCTGTCGGCAAAACCAGAGAATACATTTATTTAAATTGCTACCCTTGGATATAACTAGATATCTGAATCCACTAAAATGCAAAGAATCGTCTTTTACCCGTGTAATGGATGGATCACACCCTGACTATTCAATTTAATTAAAAGAATTACAAAATTTCAATCCATATCAAGGTTATGCCTGCATAAACAAATTTTCATGGTACAATGATTTGGTCCAGCAAGATAACGTCATTAAATAGGAGATTTGCACAAACATTGTTTTTTATGAACAATATAAACGATAGCTTGTGTCCTATCTGCTACATCAATGCTTGATAACGAATAAAGAATCATGACGTCATAATTTGTAGCGGAAAGAATTAAGAGCAGGCGTACTTCAAAAATGAAGAACTTCAAGTATAGCCTTATATTCTCGCTTTTATTTATTCATTCTTGTTTTTTTATTAATATTTCCTTTACCTTTTTTTAGATAACTTTCGATTGCATTTTCTCTTAGGTATTGTCCAGCTCTCTGACCATTTGTCTATAGTTTTGTAAATACGAATGAAGCGCCATATTCTACCATGTGACTAAATGACATTTCATCATATTTTTATTGTTCTTTTTCAGTCTGTACAATAGCTCAGTGCTTCTGCCCGTGCAATCATCAAAACTCAGCTTTGGCGAATCTGTTCCGTTTTTCTTAAAGCTACTCAAAGCCTCAATTACACTGACCTCAGAAACCTGCGAGTCTATTAGTTTTGAATATCTGGCTAAATCACGGACTGGTGTCAGCCCACAAGAAGAACTAAATCACGTAGAACTAAGCCAGTTGATGCTTTGCGGACTTAAATCAGTTCTCGCCCTGGTTCAATCGGCGACATTCGGACAGTTGATTTTTAAGCATTATCATCTCAGAAAATACAAGGCAAGAAAAAGAGGAACTCCGGACAAAGAAGATAAAGAAGAGTACGTTTTGAACACCGATTTATTTCGAAAGCTTTTCAAGAGTCTTTTGCAATTCAGTCTGGAAAAGAGCCCAATAAACGCGAAATTTGAAATTACTGATTTTGAGAGATGCCTATCAGTTCTTTACTGCAAGGCAGTGCAGTCTGTGGAGGAAGGGAATGGCGGTAAGTGTGAGAAATCGTGGTTGTGTTTATAATTCTAACCCTTTATTTCTTTGTTTGCCTGTATTTTATTTCAATGTTATGATAAACAGTATTTCGATTTGGAGTTTGTTTGTTGCTGAAAAATGTTGCTTAAAATATGTTTGTTAATTTTGTACGAATTTTCACAATAAAAAGCACACATTTATGTAGAATTGATAAAATCAACATATTGATAAAATCTGCATTGATGCTGTTTCGTCAGCAGTAGCATTCTCCCCTCCATTGCCTGTTATTTTGAGGTGTTGATTAAGTAATGGTGCGCTGTATTTTAATCGCTAACAATGTTTCTCCAAGATCTTTGAACGTTTCATGAGGGAAATTATTAGTGATACTGAGATGGCTGCCAGAGAAGTCTCGATATGTGCGAGGATCGCTCAGTTGTTAGAGGCGCTGACTACAGACCCAAGGGTCCTTGGCCCGATTCCTTGGCATGACTAAACTTTCACCCAGAGTGAGGAGAGTCGCCAGCTCTCTGTAATACCAAGCGTAGGAATCACGAGGTGTGGTCGCATCGAGAGAAGGACCAGGACACTCCTCGATAAGCATAAGCTTCTCAGTGTCCTAAAACTATCTTTGGATGCTAGGTAGCAACAAACACAAATTCAAATACAATACAAGCATAAAGACGATTTTATTTGTCCTCCGTGTGATTCGCATCCTAACTTATTTTAACAAGTATATTTTCTTTAAGGTGTCGATGTTTCTACCTGTGAAAGTGAAAGTGATTTGGTTCAAGATGTGATCCAAAACGCCACTCTAGTTGACAATACGACAGACGCAGATGCAAAAAACAAAAAATTCGAGACCGACTTGCCCGGTTCATCGCCATTGACCGCTTCCGGATCTGAACCCCACTTTTCAAACCAAAGAGAGGCATTTGCATATTCAGTACGACAAATGCGTGAACAATGTCGGGAAAGCGGCGAGCTAAGGCAGCGTCGACTCGCCCGTGGCCGGATAGCTACGCTGGATCCGTTATTCGGTCCGGCCACAAGGAGCTCGCGGGAACAAGGTAGCAGTTTGGCACCATCGTTGGCTTCATTGGCATTTAGACGGGGGAGACGTATAGATTTTGATGCCCCAGCCTCATTAACAAGTGGAGCGACTAACGCGCTTCCATCGGTTGAGCCTCTTATTGAAATGGGGTTCACAAGGAGGCATATTGACTTGGCGCTCAGTGCTAATAATGGACGAAGAAGCATAATGAGTCTTGTCACGTGGCTATTGGAGCACCCTCTTTCTGATACAGAGGTAAGCTATCGTCTTCTAAATGTCTGCTTGAGGTAGCCGAGTAACAACACTCATTTCATCCGTGCATATTAAAAAATCTTATATTTTTTCGTACATGTTGTTGCAATGTGTTTTACATTGTAGCATTGTGAAGAAGCTAAAGAGCGCTGGTTTTAAGAATTTCGCAAATGTTACTTGGAAGAAATCATATTCAACACTCTTACATCTTTTTCGTTTGCTAGGATAATGACACAGAAAATGCCACGGGTGCAAGCAGTACCACAGAGATTGACAGTGTGGGTAGGACGGTTATGCAGGCTGAAATGAGAATAGGCGAAGAAGACGAGGATGGCTGCGGCAATGTGGATAATTATGAAACGGTGGACATGTCTGCCGATAGTGATGATAGCGACATTGGAACAGATGACAGCTCGCCTAATTTTGGTGCCATTTCTGGGGATCTTAGCACATTAGAACGATTCTTCGTAGAGGTAAGATTAAAGGGTTTGTGCGAAAATAGAAGTGTGCTATTGCAACTTGCACAAAGATCTAAATATAGATCAAGCCTATCATCCAATAGGAGTGCAGTATATCAATCAAAATGCGATCTATCTCTTTGCAGCTGAAATAAGATGGGATCATCCCCTAGCAAATGATTAAGTCCTCAACGTCTATTTATTTTTAGATCTCTCATATTATCGTTGCACAAATATTTAAATAATATTTATCATTAGCTCAAACACATTGTAGCATTGCTACAATATGTTGTAGAGGTAGGGACTCTGTTATCCAGCTGGGGACCTAGGCAGTTAAACATCGCTTCATATTACTGTAGCCTTGCCCTTCTTGAACCTTCGCATCTTTTCTAAAACCCCAATGTAAATCATAATTTGTTTAATTGCTTGCAAATACCAATTTTTCAGATTAGCATCATCACCTCCCATACATTTGAACCCTGTTTCCTGCTTGAAAATTTCGAAAAATTGAAACCGAACTCCATTTTCAATTGTATTCTGGCATAATATTTTTCTATATCGCCATTCTTTTGATGTTTCAGTTACACTTTTGACCATATTCCCACTCATGTTGAGTTCTAATTTGAAAGTGACATCAATTTGCAATTTCAATTTGCTTGAATCCAAAGAGGGGAATCCTTGAAATATAATGGTTAAAATGGGTCCTTTATTCGTGTAAGAAAGGTGCTTTACTTAAAGAACATTAAATACCTATTGTTAACTCAGAACGGTTGACTGACTGAATATAGTTCCTTCAAAATTGTTTTTAACACTTTTAGCCAAGAGTTGATGATCCATTGATGGTATTAAACGAACCAGCTAGGCCATCCTCGTCAAATGCTGTTGTTTCTTGTGAAATTTGCCAAAGAACTGTTAAATCATTTAATAACCACATGCGTGCGCAGCATCCTGGCTGTGGCACTAGCAACAGTCGTCATGGTTACCGTAGCAATGGGCAATATGTTGATGGTTGGTTTGGTGGGACCTGTGGCACGGGCAGTCCTTATTACCTGTTGTGTATAAATTGTCGTAAAATGTACATGGATCAGCATAAAGAGAGAGAGTATTTTGCAGCCTTCCCTCAGAGGTAAAAACTAATTTCTCATTAAAACGCTTCTTTCTTGAATGACATTTTACGTACCTTATCTGTGCATCAAAACAATGCGTGTCGTGAGAACTAGCCTTTGAATATGCCCGTCTTTTTTCCAAGATTTCCAGTGACTGTATTCTTATAAGAGAGCTATTTCATTCCATTCATAGTATACTTCTTTTTAAGCTGGCCTTTTTGTAATTTTCGCCCTTATTTTGCTACCCTGGGTACCAGAGTCGCAAAAATTTAATATTTTTTGCTGCCGTAAAATTTTCGCGGCTCTGGTACCCAGGGTATTTTTTTGCGTGCTTTCTTGAGCGGATTTTGTCTGACATTTAGATAATATTTCCCAAGCAACATTTAGTTGATTTTGTCTTCGCTATGATGATATTACTAAAAGGAGCATTAGTTTTTAGCCCTTCAGATAAAACTTAATGATTTTGATAAAAAGGTATATTTTATAATCTCTCCTTAAAACTATTTTTCCAAATTTTGAGAGGAGATCTAAACTTGTTTTTAAGATAAGAAATTTATAGTAAGTATTTAATTTTAAACTGGTATGCCAGATGTAAGAAAAACATTATTCAAACAAAGAGATTTGAGGTTTGAAAAACTGAAAGCATGGTTTAGTCGATACCCACAATATTCGTGCATTCACAATTTGCAATCAAAAACGGCTTGAGGAAAAAAGGAATAATTTTTTTGTATTTTCACCAATTTTAGTCATCCATTCGATTTGCGGACAGTTGCGGACGCGCCAGATTTGCTTGGAGTTGAAATAACTGAAGATGAGGGTAAGATGTTTGATGGTTTATTAATTTTTTTTTATTTTATTTGGAAAATTTTCTACGCTGATAATATTTATCAATATTACTAGATTAAGGCAGCCTTTCCACTAGCCAGGGTTAAAACAAAAACGGGTTGAAAGTTATCCGCTTCTGCGTCGCGTTCCCACTAACCCACTTGAAAAATGGTAAAGTTTGAAAACGGGTCTCAGAGTGGGTCAATTTTTAATCGGGTATCTTTTGACCCACCTGCGAGTTAATGGAAACGCCGAAACCCGGATAACTTCTGACCCACTTGCAACAACATCAACGTTTAAGAATTGAGATGGCGCCAAAAATCAATAAACAAAATCCTCGATGTCGATGTTGCTTCCGTTGGCCTAAAACGATGGAAATTGAAGGATTATTGATTCAAATACTGATTTCTTTTACAACTCTGCGTACGTTTTCGAATATTTCGCCCTGGATACATTTTAATCCGGCTTAGTGGGAACGATCAAACATGGATTAAAAGTGGGTCGAAGAATAATGCCGTTTCCATTGACTCATTTTAAAAACGGATAACTTTTAACCCGGTTTTTTTTTAACCCAGGAAAGTGGGAAGGCTGCCTAAGTTGAAGTAAATGAGGGTTTTACAGGGAAATGATAGATATTTTTGAGACAGAGACATGATATGACTTGACTTGACCTAACATGACCTAACATGACTTGACCTGACCTGACCTGACCTGACCTCACTTGACTTGACCTAACCTGACCTCATCTGACCTCACTTGACTTGACTTGACTTGACTTGACTTGACTTGACTTGACTTGACTTGACTTGACTTGACTTGACTTGACTTGTTGAGGCGTGATATCATAAAGTATGATATGATGTGTCTAAATGGTCAAATGATTTAATGTCATAAAGTAATATTACTTAGAAATTGAAATGGTAAAATGCAATCAGACTTTGTTATTTCAAGTAATAATAGTGGTGCGGATTAATAAAGTCATTCAAACCAGATAGTAAAGACGTCTACAAAAAGTATTCTTGAATATTCTGTAGATATTTAAGAAGATTTAAGTATTATGGATTTCCATTAAGTTTGTTTAAGAATAATTAGAAATATAGATGTTGAAACTCATTGAAAGCCTAAAAACCTGGTGACAGGAGTGCTCTTGTGTCACGTGATACTAGACCGTTACATTAGAAGTGCTGGGCTTATGAACTTAAATTTTTGTGTTGTAGAAGATGATAGCAGGAAATTATTACAGAATATGGTAATCTTATTGAAAGTTTTATGCAGAATTTGCTTCTCTTAATAGGGCCATCATGCACAACACCTACTCCACAAACAAAGCGTGTCTCTTTTTGCATCCAAGAATCCGCCTCTGATTCCAACAGTCAACTTTCTGCGATTGGCCTAACTGACTGCAAATACACGCCTCCCGTTGTTGAATTCCCTAGCCAAGATCCTCTTGGGCAAATGTCGGTTGAAACAAACTATTCTAGCCTCCTTGGGAACGATTCAAATGAAAGCACAACTCCACTGTCCTTTAGAAAACCGTTAGGAGTTCAAGCAAACAGCATCAAGCAACAGAAAGGTCGCTTGTATGCCCTAGAGCGGATAACTAAAGCCAGCAGGGTCCTTGTTTCAAGAAGTATTGTGTTTTCAGTTCTCGATGCCCTGGTAAGGATATTAAGCTTCAACGAAATTAGTGTCGCCTTGGCAGAGCTAGGTCTAAATGAAGTACAGGCATTTATAGACTTTTTATTGATGTATCAAAACATATCAACTGATGAGCGCACTAGATCTGATGGCCTAGCTGAAAGTGGTCGGGATGGAAGTGATTCAGGCTGCAAAGTTTTGTCGGTCATTATCAAAGTGTTTATATGTCAAAATGAAAGATCGATGAACAATGTTGCACGGTATTGCAGTGATGTTTTGCTACGAGAAGCCAAAGGTAAATACTCAATTTATTCTTCTGTTTAACCAAGAAAATTCGCAAAATAAAAATCAATCACTTTCTATAGTACAAGATAGTTTAGGCATTTTTCTGAGATCTGAAATCGGCCTAAAGATTGCAAACACCAAAGCATATAGTCAAGGCATGGCTGGTTTTGAGTTTTCTAAAAAGCTTTTTCCAACGCCACTCCATTCTCTTTTTAAGGCCACAAAATTGATTAATATTAGAATGTTGTAGGCCAGACTACACCAGTAAAAAATCTATGATCCAACTTCTATTCAGAACAATTTTTGAAGAATATCTTATCCGGGCGCTTGCTTTTTCTAAAATCCTCTTAAAGATTAGTCCATTTGCTAAGATAAGTGTTATTTTCAAGCTAGCAAAGATACCTAAGTATTTCATTCTTTAACCCTAACCCAATTGCAGATTCAAGAAATGCCACAAAGAAGAAAGTTTCTAATAACGAAACTACAGATGAAGAAAAAGAGCTTTCAAGCGGAAGAGGAAATGAAGTCAAGTTCATTCAGTCGCTTGTCGAATTGTTCAGTTGCGAAGGTTATTTTTAATAATTTGCATTTTATTGCTTTCATGTGAACCTTTTACCTATCAAAATCCACTAGAAAATCCTTTCAAAATTTTTAAACCAATAAAATGTTTTAGTTAAAATTGTCTAAAGTTTTTAGCTTTTTTTTGAAGAAATGTCCAGTTACCTCAAGCCCCCTAGCGTCTTGCCCTCAAGCCCTCAGGTGATTTTTCAAAAAAAGCTTCAGCTTTGCACAAGTGTTCCAACAATTTTGGCAAGGATTGTAGTTTGTCGTCTTTGCCTTGAAATTTTATAATTCTCCTTGCTTCATAGAAATTTCCGGATCACTTAACAGTTGTAGTAAAAAGACGACAGTTCTCGAATTGATCGAATCTTTATCGGCATGCTGTCTCTCGACTCATCTGCCATCTTACTTTCGACAATGGTCTGCTGTGCAAATGGTAAGGATTTTTTCTTCAATGGCAAACAGAGGCTCAGCTCCTTTGAAACTTACATCTGCAGATCTTAACGGTATGTTGACCATTTATTCATTCTTGTCCTTCCTCTTTAAATAATTTGTAATTCTTTAAATCGATAAATTCATTTTATTATCAATTAAATACCAAAAGGGATAATTATATATTGGCCTAAAAACTTTGTAGTTATTTCCTCGACAGTTCAAGTCAACAATGTACTCTTTTTCTCAAATAGTTTAACATTTTTCTTAAAAAATGCCCTCTTCTTTCCAAAATGGAGTACCTTTACTTTCCTCAGCTCCCATATCGATCAAGCCTCACAAAAATGTGAAATGTTAAAAACACTGTTCCAATTTGATTTTGACTCACTCCAATCAAGGTCACAATCAACCATTTTTTTACATTTAGTTTCCCCTTGCTGCCAGTTTTTCAAATAAAAATAGTTTACATGCAGTTAAAGCCATGTACAGGGAACCATTTTAGCTCTTGGGTTGTTGATCATATGTAGTTACGATCTTGATCATATGTAGTTACGTTCAGTTGATTTTAAAGTTCTGCTACATACAATAATAACGAAATAAATACACTTGAAAAAGGTCTAAAGATTGCCTATCTCTTCATTGATTTTAACGTTCCTTTTAGGTGACCTTCCTAAATGCGGTATGTCAACATTCAGAAATGATGATGGTGAAATCTTCGATTGCTTATGGAATGCTGCAAAGAGTCTTCTTATTTCAAGGTATTTTTACTAAACCGTACGACATGAATTTTTTCTTAGTGATTTTACAAGGTGGTCAGAAGACGTTGAAATTTGAAAATGTTTAGTCGTTATGCACAGGTTATTATCTATGTCAATAAAAATGAAATTGAAAATAAAAAGATATTGACCTTGTTTTTGCAAGCAGCCCCATGAACAGATGTTTTAGAATTTAGCACCTTGATCAACCCCTCTTTGCCCCTTTTAGTTAGGTTTGACAACAGGGGGTAGGCACTGGGTGTTTTGCAAGAAAAATGTCCAAATTTTGCTCCTACAAGTACGATTTGGGTTTCAGAATTTAAAGGCTTGAGCCATCTGTCAATCGATATTAGCCAATCAATACGCGTGTGGGTAAAATCACAGTCACTGATTGGTCAACTTTTTATTTAAAGCTGCCCAGAGCCCTTTTACTATCTGTCGATTGCCTTTAAACGATGACCCCTTTTGTTAACATCTAGCGGTGAGGATACAACACTAATATGGAAGTTTAGCAGCCGTGGTCGAAGTATGATGCAACAGAAACTGGATTTCCTAGACTACAGTCACTGCCTCCGTGATTGGAGCAACCAAGAGACGAACATCAGTAACTTACGATGCAACCCTTCTGGTACGCTGATCTGTGGCTCAAAAGGCAGTTTGATAAGCATATGGGCGGTGTCAGGCGGACACCCACACGTGGATAGCAGCCCGAGTCATATCATGTGTTTAGCATGGCCTAGTGTTTCTGAGTCAAGTCTGAAACAAGGCAGGAGCAAAGATGCGCTACTGCTTGGGCGCATTGATGGGTCAGTGGCTATTATTGACATCAAGGATAGCAATAATTTCAACCGTGTAGAGGTAGAGCAGTGCAGAAGGGAAGGTTTGTTCTTTATATGATTGAGTATGCTTATCGGCTACTGCGTGTTTGTATAGCCAGTTTTAAATGATATATCAGTCTATTACCTGGTCATAAAGAGCACAGGTGAACCTCTATTAACGGATACCTCTAAAAACCTCTAAATAACGGACACCTTTATACAACGATCACGTCTCTACAACGGACACCTCTCAACAACGGACAACTCTTAACAACGGACACCCCTCAACAACGGACACCTCTCAACATCGGACACCTCCTAGCAGCGGACAGAAATTTTTGTCCATGATAGTTAAAAAGCTCTCAAAGGAACCTTTATGTAACAAACACCTCTGTTTAATGGCCAGTTATACTGCTCCGAACGGCGTCCGTTTTACGAAAGCTCCATTGTAGTTCTGTACTGTTGGAAGACCTGTGATTAAGGTACTGTCATGCAAGACCACGATTTTTAAAGTTGTCTCTCTTCCAATATAGAAGGCTGTCGCTTCCGCAGTTTTCACTATGCACCTCAATCTCGGCGCCTACTGACTTTTAGTGATCAAATTTATGCTTTTCTAGTTCCCGTTTGCGCCTTGACTTGGCACAACATAAAGGAATCTTTCGTCATCGGCTACATTGATGGAGTGGTTATCGTTGCTAGGAAGGACAGTGAACTCATGAAGAAGTTTCAGGGACACGAGGTTCGTAATAAATCTTTAGTATATATTAACAGGCCTTAGCGAGCTCAGTGAATAGAGTTCTTAAGTGTTACGTCACAAAAGCATTTTTTTAAAGTTTTGGGATTGTATCCACATAAAATAAATGAGCAACAAGAAATACTTCTAAATATGCAAAATTAGGTTAATATATCGAAAATTGGATGAGATATGGCTAATGAAAGATTTGAAGTTTGCTAACGGATTGCTGTCGTTTAGGCCCTTTTCATTATGAACAAAGATCAATTTACAGAGGTTTGATGGGGCAAGAGCCTGTGCTCATGTGGCCATATCTCAGCCAATTCGTAACACATTTAACTGTTTTTGCACATTGCGAGGCATTTTATGATGCTCTTTCAAGTTATGGGATTAAAAATGAAAATTTTGAAAATAGATTTCTGTGACGTCATAACTAAAAATCTCTGTGGAAGAAGCTAAACATATTGTGATGACCTCCTCCCGCCAGCATCACAGTAACAGTGCAATTCTCTTTTAGGAGATTATTTTAATGCTGCAGTTTTCCTCAACTGGAGAATGTTTTGCATCGCTGGCAGAAAATCAATTTGTCAAGGTAACTGTCTTGATTTGGTATCGAACCTCAATCTGCATCCAATTAGTATTTATTATTTCCATGAATCCGAAGGTAATTGTTAGGACACTGAGAAGCTATGCTTATCGAGCAGTGTCCTGGTCCTTTCTCTAGATGTGACCACACCTCGTGATCCCTACGCCTGGAATTCAGAGAGCTTGCGACTCTCCTCACTCTGGGTGAAAATTTGGTCATGTCAGCGACGCGTGTTAATATAACTATTCAATACTGTTAAGCCTTTGTTTTGCAAATAAACTACTTAGGACCACCGTAATATTCAAAAAGGCCCTTGCTTCTTGCAGAAAGGCCCCATATCATCGGGTTAACACGTATCTTCTAGAATATTTTTGCATTAAACAAAACTTTGCTATTGTAGTATTTGATATTTTCAAAGTGGCTCGTTTCTGCAAAGCATAGAATACTCGAAAATTGATATCCGTTCTTTAGAGAAACAGTGATATTATAAATTTGAGTAGCATTTTCTGTGACTACTGTTATCTAATGTCCAAACTTCATTCTGACAAGTTCTTCTATGCATATTCTCGAGTCTCATATTGATTTTGCGTAAGGTTACAAAGCAATCCAGGTGGGAACTGACGGGTACTAACCCCGTGCGGATAAAAAAGGGCTGGAACAAACGAACATGTTTCCTTTATGATTTTTACAAGAAATCGGATTCTGACCAGTGTTGCTGTTATTAATATGATTGCGTTCAATTTGATTAGAAATCATTAGAGATTTCGCGTACTTGCCTTTTGGCTAAATGGGATATGTTTATTTTTAAGATTTGGCGCGAAGTCCAAGATGGTGTTGTTTTACTCCACTCTCTGAAGCACGTTTGTTGCAGCCCGACCGTTTTTTGCTGGAATCCATCGCTCCTCCCAGATGGCACAATTCAAATAGCCACGTAAGTGCCAATCATCTTTTTATTCACAAAGGAGCTTTTTTGAGGAGGGGGGGATTAAATAGCAGCATTGTCGTTCTCCTTTTCTCGTTGATCGCCCGGTCGGTCAGAAGTCAGGCCCGTCGCTGGCCATTGTGCCCAAGGGGGTTTTAAAGTCCCAAGTGCGTGAGCCATCCTTTATTTGCCGAAAAGTTGGGAAATTTGCAGAATAAGCACCCCCTAGATGACAAAGAACTCCTCGTTTTTGCAATGGATTTTTTTCAAAGGGGGTATCGCACCCCACACGTTCCCTTTAGCGACTGGCTTGGTCAAAACAAGGGAGTACTCACTTTACCTTGGATTGCCTTTGAGTCAATATCCGACGTTTATACTATAAAGAGTATCGCATGAGAAGTACTTTTGTATGCTATGTGTTCGCTTTTTCGTGCTATCTTCAAACAAAGCTTATTTGATATGCCTTTTGTGACATGACACAATTAGCCCTGGCTAAACATGACCAAAGTTGCTGCAAAATTTCTTAGAAATAAATTGAAACTTAAAATAACTTAAGGAAAGAAATAGAAAACCTGTTAGACAAATAACTTTAGGGATACGTTAGGCAATCCGCAGATGAAAGTGCGGCCTGTTAAAGCCTTTTGGTTGTCATTGTTTTTGAAAGCTTGTAACTAGTAAGACCTTTATGGATCTTTGGAAAAGTTTCATAGTAATGTTACACATTTATCCTCCATTTTCGGACTCCTTTCACTAAAAGACATCTCGAAACAACGGAGAAGTAGTTTTTCACAAAAATCCCAATCCTGACGTCACAAAGATTTCTACGGACATCATTCTTCTCCGCGCAGTAAATCTAGTTCAGCAGTTTCAAACCCTATGGAGGTTTCATTTCCTTGTGTATACCACTCGTGTTTGACATTTCAGTGGCTGTACCACTGGAGAAATCCATATTTGGAATCTGCACAAAGCCTTGACAAAAGAAGATATAGAAAGTGACGATGCACCTGCTTTCTCTGACACATCAACCTCGAAATCAGACCAAGAGCCTCAAACAGCGGCTGACGGTACCCTAGTTACAAGCGAGGGACAGCAAGATGGCAGACATTGGCTGCAGGAGTTTAATACTGGAAAAGAAAAACCGTCCTTGTCTCTTAGTGGACATGAAGGAATCATTGTTTGTTTAGATTATAACAATGCTGGAACAATGCTTGCAACAGGCTGTGCCAATGGTATCGTGAACATTTGGTCCCTTCAAGATGGCCTTGTTGTCCAGACGCACCGTGACGAGGCAGCGATAACAAATCTCGTTTGGATGAATGATCATGGCTTAGCAGTTACTTCAAAGGGTAGTCACGAGATCGCTGTTATAAAGGTTACAAAAGACCAAAGGGAAAAATTGAGGCTGCTTGCGCATTGCAGAATGAGGCTGATTGAACATGGCATCTCTGGGTTGAGTCAGTCTTTCTACTTACGAGCATTTTTAGAGAGGTTACCAACAATGCTACAGGACCAATACAATTATGAAGAGGTAATGGAACAGAAACTGTTCAGTTATAGTTTGATTTAAATCTTAGCCTATATTCTGATTTAAATAATTTATCTTGTTTTGAGCTAGGCCGACAAAATTCTTAGTTTAAATTCTAATTTTTAGTCACTTAAAATGTTCCCCTTGTTAAATTCTTCTGCTTTTATGTTCTGGTTTACATTCTTCAACTTCTCAAGGTCAATGAAAAATTCAGTTTTTGGTCGAATGTATGAAGTTTTAGTCTTTCAGTGTTTATGGATGGTAAGAACTTTTAAGACTCGGTAACCATCATTTCAAACATTATACCCTTTGATCAAGAACCAACAAGAGATTGCCTGAAAAATTGTCGTGTATTTGTACTGTACTTGCTCTTGTCCATTGTTATTGACATGTGTCCAGGCCTAAGTAAACTTTTCCAACCTTTAAGGCTCTCGTGGAGTGGATATTTTGAATTCAATATTTAAACATCTTCACAGAATATAAAATCCAGATCGTTAATTTTCCTCTTCTTTCAATTACAGAACCAAATTAACATTCTCACACAATTAAAACACAGTCAGTTGATGTCAGCACTCGCCGAGTTAGCGATTTTTCTGAAGCTCGAAGATATTTTTACGCCGTCTGCAAAAGACCGTCTTTCTAATGAAAGCTGTATACAAGATTGGTCCTGGTTTCAAACTCTTTGCCTGACAGCTGGAGTTACGGATGCAATTTTCAAACGACAGCAACTTCCACAAGCATTTATCCAAGGCAGTGAGGCAAAGGATTCGGCTGGATTGGTAAGTAAATGTTAAGTCCATCATTATTGGGGAGAGGGGGGGGGGGTTACCCATGGCCAAAGCTTCTAATGAGTGAATCACAAGTTCCCCGTTTAAACTAATTAATCTTCACTTAAACTAACATCGACGCTCTAGAAACTATTTATAAACTCTGCATACAATCACCTTGGAAACCAGAAGGGGACATTGCACCTAAAACAGGGAACAAACTTTCCTATAGCTACAAAACACGATATTCGTGTTTGAAGAGCAAAAAGTTGTTGTTCGAAAGTAACTTGACTTTACAAATTACTAATCGGTTAAAGTTCAATGCATTTTGGTTTGTGTGGTATAGGTTCATCTCGTTTGTATCTTTGCACTTAGCATTTTGTTTACAAATTCTATATGTTTTCTGATTATGAAAATTCTTTGTAGGATAATTTGAGGTGGACTTTTGCAATGGATGAGCAAATCGCATTATGGGCCAGTAAACGGCCAGGGGATTGGGAGATTGAAATCCCAAAGGATGTCTACATTTGGGGATCTGGGTCTCATGGCCAACTTTGTGGCCTTGGAACGAGCATTTCAGAGCCAGAACTTGCGACATCAGCTACCCAAGTAAGGCAGATTGTATGTGGGCAAAACTGCACATTTGTGGTGCAAGTAAATGGAACAGTTCTCGCTTGTGGCGAAGGAAGTTATGGACGCCTGGGGCAAGGAAACTCAGATGATATGGTGACACTGACACCAATATCTGCGCTTGCAGGTATGCGAGTCTCTGCCTCATTTTAATTCGTATTTGAATTGAATTCGCATATGAATTCGTTTTTGTTTCTACGTAGTATCCGTAGATGGTTTTTAGGACACTGAGAAGCTATGCTTATCGAGCAGTGTCCTGGTCCTTCCCCTCGATGTGACCACATCTCGTGATTCCTATGCCTGGAATTACAGAGAGCTTGCGACTTTCTTCACTCTAGGTGGATGTTTGGTCATGGCAAGGACTCGGGCCACCGACCCTTGGGTCTGTAAACAGCGCCCCTAACAACTGAGCCATCCTCGCACCCATTTCAAAGGGTATTTTCGCGTGGTTGTAATTACCATGGTTTTGAAAAAGTTAGGAAATTAGTAAAAAACATTTTGTTAAAGGTTTTTCTTTAATCTTGTACAGAAACACATGCTGAAATATATCTTTTTCGAATGAGGTTCATATTATGTACCATATGATGACCTAATTGTGTTAATTGGACATTTAGGACCCAACTTTTGAGCTACTCGGGGACGGGCTATTTAATCTTCTTTCACATTATCCTAGCCCTGTAAGAAGCAATCAGGTTCGATTCAAGCTATCTCTCAATTTGGAGCTGTCAATTAGCACACGCACCCTGTTCAAAAGAGACATATAAGTTCCTTTTGTGACAAACTGCTCTTAGTTCCATAACAGAAACATTACCGACAGTCGAATATTGCCCTGTAAATTCGATCCAGCTTTGCTTTGTTGGGGAATAATTTTGAGTTTAATGATTGGAGAAAGCCTAATTTTACTTTCGAGTCTGAAATTCAATACTCTTTAATCAACAGGTTACGTTGTTGTGCAGCTAGCAACATCTCTTGGATCTGACGGGCATTCTTTGGCCTTGACCGATTCTGGGGAAGTGTTCAGTTGGGGAGACGGCGATTATGGAAAACTTGGTCATGGATCAAGTGAAAGACAAAGAAAACCAAAGTTAATAATGGCTCTGCAAGGAGAGGAAGTCATCCAGGTAGACTGATTCTCAAGCCTTTAATTGCCAGTTTTTTCCCCAATCTAGTAGGGTATTCTTATATTCAGTATCAGCAAAAATGGCCTAACACATTTCGTTGGTCAAAAAAGCCCCTGTTTTCACCTAATTCTCTTGGAAACTATGTCCAGATTTCTTTGAAGAGTACATCCTGCTTACCGGGCTTCAAAACGGTAGGCAATTGGATATACTGCCAATCGTTTTTGATTGGTTGGAACGCATTCTTGATGAGTTGCTTGGCAACAGTCTCTTAAAGCCACAACACAGGCAGTCTTCTAATGAATTTTATTAAAAAAGCTATTCCTATAATGTAGAATTACTGTATTCCTGACGGAATTAAATGACTTGTTGGTTAGCTATCCAAAAGGGAAATCTATTTGTTTTTAAATTCCCTGGCCGGTTCATGAGATTCAAAACTTATTCCCTTAAGGGGCAAGGTGTCATTGTCCTTGATTCCCAGTTCAATGTAGGATCAATTGCAAAGTCTCAGTTGGTGATTTTTGGTTGCTCTTTGAATCTCGTACTTCAGTATTACTGGTGACTTTATAAATCACCATTAGATTTCAATCTTTTTTAAGATGCTTCTTGGTTGCCAAGACATTGGTTGTTTTTAAAATGAACAATTCAGTCTAGTTTATAAACTATTAAAGTATAATGCTTCTCTAGTAGCTTTTTTAAACCTTTTATTAGGTAGTTTTTATTAAGTTTTTAAACCTTAGATTTTGTTTTTGATTCCCTATAATTACGATTTTTACTTATTTAAATTTCTTTTCTTATCCCGGACAGGTCGCTTGCGGACACAAGAGTTCTGCTGTTATTACTTCGGACGGAAAGCTTTTCACATTTGGAAATGGTGATTTTGGTAAGCTGGGAGATGGTACCTCACAGAACAAGAAACTGCCGCAAAGAATCCAAGTTAACGGTGAAAAGTTTGGCCAAGTAAGTTACCATTTGATAGGGCAAGAGTTTTACTTGTCTCTTTGGTTCCAGCGGACACTGCTTTTGAGATGTCGGTTTATCCGGGTTGTAAATCTCGTTTTCTTTTGTTAATCAGCTTTTACCTTGCATCATCTCCAGAAACTAGGGGTTTATGGGATGCGGTCGCAATTGGATGCGGTCGCAATTGGATGCGGTCGCAATTGGATGCGGTCGCAATTAGATGCGGTCGTATCCCTTTGCAAAACTAATCATTCTTTTGTTTGTTTCAAGGTCTCTTGTGGGCTAAATCATACGCTTGTGGTATCGTCTGATGGTAATACCCTCTTTGCATTCGGAGAGGGAGAGTTTGGTCAACTTGGAATCGGAATCTGCTCACACAAGTCTACGCCAACGGTTGTGAGCCAGTTAAGCAACAAGGAGCTCAAAAAGGTCGCTTGTGGCACTCAATTCTCAGTCGCTCTTACAAAGGCAGGGAAAGTCTACATATTCGGATATTGTATGTTTATTTTTGTTTATCATGAATGTTTTTGCTCTAAGTGTTTTGTCGAATGGTAGAGAAAGCTTAGAAAAGATTCGCTGACAAACACTTTTAGTATCTTGTATAATATGTTCACTGCTTTAACTGTAAAGAAGAATTTGTCAGGGACGTAGCAAGCGGGGGTTTTAGGGGGTGCATCACCTCATCCTTATGAGTTTTCAGGTAAATTTCAGTTGGTCCACAAGATCTTTAGTTAGTCGGTAAATTCCACTACCGGAAGGTGAAATAGCACCTCAGATGCCGAAGGAGCCTAAGCCATCTTTCAATCAAAAATTGACCAATCAGTGAGCCTGATTCCACTCACGCGCTCCTTGATTGGCTAATATTGATTGACAAGTGGCTTAAGCTATTTGTATATCTGTCGATTGCCTCTAACTTTTCTTCCTTCATGTTTTCGCCAGTAAATTATACTTTTGATGACCATTCACCTTCTAGTATGAAAGATCAAGCCACGCCACTGGAAATTTTATCATGAATTCGTTTATTCTGCTTTTTGGGTGTATCCGTTAGTGGATAATTTACAGAATGCTAAAAAAGAATTTCATTTGTTAGTTTGTGTTTGTTACCTTTAGCCCGATCTATTGGATTGAACGAAAGAAGACGAAATGATCATTCGTACCCGATGTTGGTGTCTTCTTTCGGTGACGCTGTAATTTGGGACATTGCAGTTGGCTGTGAGTTCATTTTAGCCCTCGACTCGAAAGGTGATGTTTGGTCATGGGGTAACAACAATGATGGACAGCTTGGGTTGAGCCACTCTGACTTGCAGCCTATCCCAACGAAAGTCCCCAAGCTAGTGGGCAAGAGCATTGCACAGATATCTGCAGGTAGGCCTACTCAGATAATTTCTTTTTAGGTATTAACGTACTTCAGGAGGGGTTATATTTGAAAATGAAATTTTGTAGCAGCATTATAAATAGAATATTTGAAGCATATTGTCGGGTTATGTCAACCTTTAATGATTCCTGTTAGAACAGTCCACTTAAAGGCGCTATGGCCTATCATTCAACCGTTCAGAATTATCGATAGGCCTTTCAACGTGTTTATAATCGAGAAAATATTGAAGATTAGCCGACTGGCTCCGTAAAAATAGGTCTATTGTATAGTCTAACCAATGGGAATTTAATTTGCTTCCGTAACAATAGGTCTACTGTATAGTCTAACCAATGGGAATTTGATTTGGTTCCGTAACAATAGGTCTATTGTATAGTCTAACCAATGGGAATTCAATTTGGTTCCGTAACAATAGGTCTATTGTATAGTCTTACCAATGGGAATTTAATTTGGTTCCGTAACAATAGGTCTATTGTATAGTCTTACCAATGGGAATTTAATTTGGTTCCGTAACAATAGGTCTATTGTATAGTCTAACCAATGGGAATTTAATTTGGTTCCGTAACAATAGGTCTATTGTCTAGTCTAACCAATCTGAATTTAACTGGCCAGCGAAATGCGTCGGAATATAGTGCCTTTAAATTCAAAAAAAGATTATCATTATTGCGCTAAAACATATTGATTAAATTTACCTGGTTTATCTGTTTTCTTGCTCAGGAAAGTCGCATAGTGCAGCGTGGATGGCCTCCCCCCTACCCGTTAATCGATCCGGCCTGAGTGAGTTGGGTGTTCCAAAGAACATCCCTCGAGAGTTTGCTGCTCTTAAAGAATGCAGAATCGTTGATGTTAGAGAACGACTGGGGATCTTGCAGAGATTTTCAGATCTGGTTTCTAAGTCATGGAGATTGATCGATTTTAGAGAAAATGAGGTGTGTTTACAAAATTTTTTTATTTTAATTAGACGCGCAGCCATTGTGTACCAAAAAAGGGAATTGAATGGAAATTGCCAGGTTCCTTTTGTAGTGTTACAAAATATTTGACTGGCTGTTAAGGAAAGTGTATTTCGTGAAGTAAGGTTACCTTTCGATATAAGGCTAGATAGGCCATGGTAAGTCATATTCATTCTAATTTTGTACTTATTTATACAGGGTTGCAATTCAATGTTAAAAAACCTGTTTTGCAATTGCCCTGTCCTGTCATAGTTGTTGCTTGGTAGAAATATTGTCCTGCTGCCAAGTTACTCCAATCATAACATGCAGATTTATCAAACATGGCTCTTTGTAGCGCGTTAAATTCAAAGCAGTATCTTGAAATGATTCTTTATACGGATAAAATAGGTCTTCCTGATTTAAGTGTATCATGGCTTTAGGCGTAATTTAATACTCTTCATCCCATTCACTAGTTTTTCTCTCTCATTTAACCTTTGCATTTGCTATTTGTGACCCTAAGCATTTTTTCAGGGAGCTCTGTCACGATCTGTCGAAGGAATTCGCAATGGTAGACTGCGTTCTTTATTGTCGCCTCGTGTTCACTCGCTGCCTCTTGTGCGTGCTGTCAACAGAACGATGATCAACCATAAAAATAGTGGTCCCCAGATTCGAGTGAAGAGGTTCGACAGCAAGTGAGTGTGAATCGTTTTTATGTTTTAAGTTAAAAGCTTACTTTTTGTTGACTTCTTTATTTTATTACGAAAGATATCAGCATATTTTGCGATGACTTTAGTCTGCATAAACATTGCATGAGAAATTTCAATTTTTGGACCAGGGACTTAATTCTGTGGCATGATTTAGTAGTCGTAAAATGCCGCAATTATGTATATTCATGTTTTCTGAAGAGGTGATACCAACAACGCAAAATTGGTGAAGTCATTTGAAACCGCTTCAGTATTTTTGGAGTTAATGTCATTTTAAGTAAGATATATTTTTTATTTGTTAAACTTTTGTTTTTGTTTTGTTTTGTTATTTGTTATTCTGATCCTTGTCAATTCCTATTTGAATTCAATCCTTTTGAGAAGTTTGAAGTCGCAATAAAAATTTGTTAGTGAACATTCACAAGAGCTCCAATTGCCTAGGCTGGTCTTTTTGTAGAGATCTGCCAGTTTGTATAGGAAGCGGATCTGTTCTGGGGGCTCAGACAGTAATGGGGAGTTTTTTCTCTTAAAGGGGCAAGAAATGCGACTCCGTGTTCAGGCAGGTTGCAAAGCAAGTCCTGAAGCACAAACCAAGGGATTTATGTTTCCCTTCTCGCGCATGGAAGATTCGTTTGGTCGATGAGGCTGCAGATGATGCTGGTGGGGTATTTGATGAGATTATGACTGAAATGTGTCAGGTATGTCGCGTTTATTCACTCGTCGCACTACGTTACTTTATGGTGGCAATGGAAGGTTATGTTACGGTTTTCTATGCTGTCACATTACATTACGTTGCAATGTGTTGCGTTGTGTTACGTTGTGTCATGATATGTTATGATGCGCCACAATATGTTACGATCCCTCTCCTTTATGTTACATTGCGTCTCGTTATGTTACGTTGCCTCGCGTTATGTTACATTGCGTCACGCTATGTTACGTTTCCTCTCGTTGTATTTCGATGCGTCACATTATGTAACGTTGCGTCACGATTTGTTTCAATGCGCGAAGTTATGTTGCATTTCTTCACGTTATCTCACCTTGATCATATCATGTTACAATGTGTCGCGTCATTTAACATCACGTTCCCTTTTATTTGAATGAATTTGCTAAACCTCATTCCTAAACAGGAGTTTGGCTTCTCATAAAATGGATTAAATCTTTAGCTTTGAGGACGAACTTTGTTTTGTGATGTCATATAATGATGTACTTTTTATTTTATCACACGTTACGCTGTGATACGTATTATCTCAAGTTTTTTATAACTATTTGCTATTTTTATTTCATATTTGTAGGAGCTTGAATCAGATGAGCTTGACTTGAAGCTGTTAATACCCACACCAAACAGTGTTTCTGATGTTGGATATAATAGAGATCGGTAATTTTCCCCCCTTCGAGTTAAAACATGACTTAATTTAAAACACAATGTCCAACTTGAATTCTTTTCATTTCTTTAATTTTTTTCATAATTTGTTTTCTCCTGCTGAGTTTAAAAAGTATTTTATATTTTTTTAAACTAACTTGTAGTTGCTTGCCTTGATATACCCAAATCACATCCCAAATATTTCTTCAAACCCTTTTAGAATATTGTCCTTGCTATTCCCAGATTGTCACAACGCACTGGGGACTTAGTCTGGGAAGATTTCTTCGAACAAATATTTTGCTCGAAATGATGTTTAAAAATTTCCTCGTCTCTTTTACCCTCAAAGATTTAAATTTCTTAAAATTCACTATTTTTATTTAATTTTATCCATATTTTCTCGTACTAGGTTCATTTTAAACCCTAATGCAAATTCGAAAGAAGAGCTGGAGCATCTACGATTTCTAGGCATCTTAATGGGAATCGCAATTAGAACGAAAAAACCCCTGAATCTTCATTTAGCTCCAACTGTTTGGAAACAGCTCGTCAGCATCAAGCTTTCTGTAGAAGACATTGAAGAAGTAATTTCCAAATTTTCTTACAATTTTCATTCTCGCTTTGTTCTGTTTTTTGATGTGCAATGATGTCGAATTTTAACAACGTATGGACAGTTTATTCTGACCCCGAGCATAAAACAAAGCTCTCTTGTTTCAAAAATGAAGATATTGAAAGAAAATTATCCAATTCTCCAATTGTCAGTTTAATAACAAGTTAAAAATACTCTTCTTCTCCTGTAAAAGATTAATTTAGTTAAACCATTGCTAATGAACTCTTTGTTCTTATTTTGATTTTATGATGATTTTTGATTTAGCACGAAAGTTTTATTGAAAATACTTGTTGTGACGCCTGGACCCAAGGAAGTTATCCTTACGAGTTACCTCTTGTATACCTCTTAAGATTTCATATTTCCTGTAGACCTCTCTACTTTTAAAGATCAGGGTTTTTTATATATTCTGACATATTTTAATTCTTTTAGGTCGATATGCTATTCCTGAGGACAATTCGAGGCATCAGGGATATTGAAAAGAGTGGAATTGACGAGGACTCCTTTTCAGAGGTAAGCATTTCGTAATTGTATTTAAGCAAGGTATAAGCCTAGTCCTGTATTGGTTATAATAATTAGCGAGCTCATGGTTGTCTGCACTGCTACGATGTCCCTAAATGACCTATTGCTGCTAAGTTTAGGCCCACAGAGAGCGATTAATCTTGAACTTTCCATCCATTATCTTTAAACTTTGAAGCTTAAATTGTTTACTTCAGTTCCTGCTTTACATTAGCCCTTGTCTGAGTACAGATAACATAACATTTCTAGCTCCTCGTAGTGTTAACTTATAATACACTGTAGGTTCGGACGGGGGCAACATTTACACAATTTATGCGATTCAGCTATTTACCTTTTTATTTGTCATTTCTAGACAATCCCCCTTGAGTCTTTCGAAAGCCAAGGCTCAGACGGCAGATTTGTTCCTGTTATACCGGGCGGTCAAAGTAAACCGCTGACTTTTAATAACAGAGTTGAGTATGTAGACCATGCGATCCGGCACCGGCTTGAAGAGTCAACTGCGCAGGCCGCGGCCGTCCAGGAGGGGCTGAAAGGAATCATTCCGGTTCCGGTTCTTAATCTTATGAAACCGGAGACGTTTGAAGAGCTTGTTTGCGGTGCCGGTACTATTGATACTGAAGTACTAAAGAAAATAGTCAGGTTGGTACAAAGCCTCTTTGCTGAGATCGACGAACATCGGTTGATATTATGCTCATGTTTATGATTTGAAAAGGATGAATTGATATGATAAAAGTTGATTCATGAAAAATTTATTGAATTGCTGAAATGGATACAAAAATACCACAACACTGTTAACCTTTCTTCGTTTTGTGGTATATTTTTACCATAGCTCAATTTTTTGTACTTTTGGTTAAATTTCCGGTGCTCGTGATGCATTTTTTAAACAACTGTGGCATTTCCTTTGTTTTTGGAGTCATGTGGAGTCAATGCCTTTTCTTCTAATGATTTCCTTCGAGTGATTTAGTCTCGTCTTACAGCCCTGACGTGAAATCATTTCAAGTTTTGTCTCATATTTATGTAATTTAAATTTTTTGCTAGAAAGGTTTAGACATTTTGTATTCACACCAGGGTCAACACATTTGAAAATAGAATACCCTTTTTAGCATGGAGCATCGTTGGAATAATTGCCTGAGTTTTGCAATAATTTTAATTATTTTGAATATTGGAAATTCTTATCACTCCTAACACCATTGAGAACAGATTTTGTTCTTTCATGAAGGATTTTGTTATTCCAGGTACCGAGAACTGAAGCAAAGCAGTACATCAGTAGTCTGGCTGTGGGAAATTCTCCAGTCCTTAGACCAGGAAGAACGGATGCTGTTTTTGAGATTCATATCAGGAAGATCACGATTGCCAGCGAACATTTCTGATTTTCCGCAAAAACTGCAAATTATAGGAGTCGATAAGGTATTTCATCCTTTTTTGTAGTCGTAAATTCGGATACAATCAATCCTTTGACGCCCATTTTGGTAAAGCGCCCTCTTGACTACAGTCTCTTTTACCCCTTGGAAAGAGCACCCGAATTGATCTCCAAGAACACAGATTTAAGTGGTACTTCATCGCTTATTTTCTAGAAATATTCTGAAATATTTAGGGGCTGTTTATAATTAATAATGGCCTTAGGGGAAAAATTCAAAATTCTCACTCATGGTTTTTTATATTTCTGTTGTCAATTAAATACTGTAGGTTGCATTGATAAACGGATACTGCATTATCTCTGTTGACATTTAATAATGTGTCATGTCCATTACTTTAATCATCAATAAAATAGCTACGAGCTGAGAGTCTTGCGCAACATCAGTTTTTAACAATATAAATTCTTCTTCTGCAGCCTGTAGATGGCCTTCCGACTGCACAAACATGTTTCTTGGTGCTTCGATTGCCACCTTACACATCGAAGGAAATAATGACTGAGAGAATACGCTATGCTATTCACAATTGCCGTGCTATTGACATGGACAATTATATGCTTGAACGCAATCAACGCGAGGATTCAGACAGCTCAAGCTAAGACGTTCTGTAGTGTTTATATAACTGTAATATTTGTTAGAGCCAATGTTTCTTAGTTGTTTATTCATATTAACACCTGACCTAGGATGTAGTAAAAATTGGGGATGCTAATATTCTCACACCAATAATCCAGTATCCCCTACAATATTTCCGTTATTTTAAATATCAAACATCTTGCATTCATCTTGAAAGTTTCCAGCCCTGAAACGACCCACTAAAATTGATGAGTTCTAGAGTATCCCAATTCTTGATAGCATGTTTAGAAATGAAAAAAACCTTCCCTTGCAAGAAATCCTTGTTAATGCTTTATTTAATAATTTGTATATATTTTGAAAGAATCCATCAAGGGATGTTAAATGTTTCCTCCAGTGTATTAAAAGGGCATCATATTTATTGGGTTTTCGAAATACCAACTGAATTTCTCCCGTTCATTTTGAGCTTAGCACATCGAAAGCAAATGTCTGCCTTGCAGACAGAGGCATTTTTTCTAATGTATCGTAAGTTTCATCAAATGCTCTTGCTACAAGCAGAAAATGTTGCAAACATTTATATTAGGACTTAACAATCCTTTTAGATATTTCGGTCATAAATTGATAAATATTTCCCTCGATCAAAGTTGGACTAAGTTCCTAAGTGATCTATGACATTCTAACTTCAATGTATTCACACTTTCCAGCCATTTTACGGGAACCTAATTCTCGTCATGTTGTGTGGTTTTTTAAGTTAGGCATAGTAAAACAATTAGCAGACGCAAATTAATGTGGTTTAATATTTAGCTCATATTTCGTGAAAAATGTCGATACCTATGCAAATTTTCTCATAAAGTTTTTTCTTTGTTTGTTCTCTATTTCTTTTTAAAAATTGGGTAAGTATGTATCTCCCTTTTTCAGAAATTATGCATCAAGTTGTTGTCAAACAAATGCCATGTTTAGCCTTAGAAAATGCTTTTTCCAACCTTTGGAGTTATCAGATTTTCAAATTCCTTTAACTCAGCCTTGACTTTACCCTTTTTCTATGGAACATATCCCCTAAATGTGCCTAATTTCTAAGTATTTCAAATGCCTCTTCATTTAATTATCTCTCTCTCTCCGCAAGATTCAAGGTGGAAGGGTAGTAACAAGAGGCAATATCTCAAATTATCCACGCGGATTGTAAACCAAACAAATTCGGCTTTTGCTGTAGATTTTTACATATAGTTTCTTTTCTTGTAGAAAGTATAAATGGATAGAAGTTTCTCAAATTCTGTTAAAATTTGATCAAAGTCGTTGGTGCTTTGCCAATGAGCTGATTGTCGAAGGTTCGAATTCTAGCCAGTTAACCATGAAATAGTCGCTCAATAGTTTTCCAAAAAGCCAATAGGCTTCCGTCGGTACTGTTCTTTCTCACCATGCGATTAGCAGGGGGGCGTTGTGGCAATTTAATTAAAAGGGTGGGTCAAAGAGACCATTTCTGACAGGTGCATTTCTCATTCTTTTCTGAACCATAACAGTATTGAATTAGATATCAATCCCTGCATAGCAGTGGTTTACGCAAGCAATACCTGTAAAATTGAAAAATAAACCCATTAACCAAGCACATATCGAAGGTTAAATCAAATTTTAAAGGAGAGTAACTTTAAGCTTACTAAAATGCCTTACCTAGTGTATGAGAATACAAAATTATATTCTGTTGCAGTGTCGAGAAATACCAAAACACAATGATACATCGCCGAATGAAGTTGATCTCGTCAACAACTGAGCTTCTATAGATACTTCCTCCGTGTCTTTGTTTTCGAGATCCCTGCAGTAACAATAAATATAATGTATTTTTTACCACAAAACAAAGATTGTGTTATTTTTTCACCCAGCTCATTGTATTTAATAATTCATAGTTTTTTTGGTCAATGAATTGCTTTATCAAATTCATGAACAATATCTTTGCTCAAACAGGTATGAATTTATCGTTTTACTTCGTATCATTTACTTTTTCTAGTTCTTTTTTGATAACATAATTAACTTAACATAGTTAACATAATTAACAGTATTAACCATCTGTTGAATTATTTTAAAGAATATTTTATTTACCCATCGATTTTGCAGCTTTTTTGCCTAACATAGTGCTTGTGTTTTACCTTATTCCATATTTATGCACCCAGTTCTATGATTGTTAATAGAATGAGAATTTTTTCACCTTTGCAAAATCAAACGCTTTTCAACCTTTTTCTTTAATTATTCTTTGAGATCAAAGAACTTTACTCACCTTTTCTCTTCACATCGCTGTTTAGGAGACTCAAAGGTAGTTGATATGTATTCAAGTTTTTGCTTGGTTGATTGCGTGATAACGAAAGCCAATTATTGATAAAGGTTACTTGTCATTAAACTAGGAATTTTACTGAAGAGAATTTATTGATGAGGATAAATGCTTGTTGACTTCATTTTTTTGAGGTTCACGTGGCTCAAAAAACTTGCTTTAGAGTTCGCTCAGTAAGAACAAATATGCATTTTGCAATCGACTTTTGATAATAAACTTTCTACATGGGTATAAATTTTTTTCTATTTTCAAGAGTCTTTTTCCTGCATATTTTTCGTCAGTCCACTGATGTTTATCTTAGTCGTCATAGATACAGCCGCACTTGCAACACTGAATGGAGGCTGAGCTAGTTTGCAAAATTTGCCATAACTTGTTCAGCAACCCCGTGCTGTTGCCCTGTGGCCATAGCCTATGCTTGGAATGTGCTGAGACCTGCTACAGATATGTGCCAGAAACAGAAACAAACAAAGACATGCTTTGCACCACATCAATTAAAGTGTCACAGGGATACAGTGTCAGCTGCCCGGTATGTGGGTTTGAATTCTCTTTTCCAGTTGGCGGAGTTTATGGTTTGGTAAAGAACAATTGCATGTTGGGTGTCATGGCAAAAGTTGAGGCATCGAGAGGTATTAGATTGCATCCATGCATTCCTTTCGAAATATTGCCAATTTTGCTTGAAAAATAGTATTCCATTTACTTTAAATTCTTCACAAATGAAATCCTATTCCATTTTCTCGATGCAAGTTAACATTTAGAAATTTCTTTCTTTCTTGTCGGTATGATCATGCGTATCGATATATAAGTAGTTTTCATTCATTTTGTTTCAATGTGCTAAATACATTGATAAGTCTTCCTTTTTTAGATCTATTTTAAGAAATTCTCGTCGAAAGACAACATCCTTTGACTAAACATAGTTAGGTATACTTGATGGAAATTCCAAACAGCTTTTTGGGGGTCGTGTTGTATGCACGATTGGTTTTTTGGCCTACCTTTGGTCCCCTAGCTATGAAACTGAAAATAGGTAGTTCTATAAGAAAACTTGACGTATTCTCCAAATGATCTTTTTCGTAGACTCAAATATCCACACTTTTGACTGCGAATTCTGTGATTGCCCTGTTGCCAAGGCAACTGCAATGTGTGAAACCTGTAATTATTGGTACTGTAGTTCTTGTCTTGAGACAATGCACCCTCACAGAGGTCCTTTAAGCTCACATGTCATCATACAGCCACGAGAGAAATTGAGCCCAGATGAGGTTGTGCCTAAATGTGAAATTCACTCTGAAAAAGATGCTGGATATTTCTGCATTCGTTGCAACGTTGTGGGATGTAAAATCTGTAGGCATCAAATCCATAAAGAACATAATGTGGTTGAATTGGTGCAGTACTGCAAAAGGGAAAAGGTATTAAGTCCTGACCTGTTTGTGTAATCTTACAAGCCATAAATACTGATGTTTACTAAAAGCTGAAAATATTTTTGCCAATTTCAATGGTTTTATCGCATATTATCACATATAACTAGCACGTGATTCTATAAGAAAATGTTTTTTATTCATTGGCTAACTTTATGCAAGTTTTGGCAACATGAAAGAGTGAATTAAGGAATTTTGAATTCGGGTAACCCAAGAGCCAAGCATAGCCTATCCGAAAGGCAGTTAACTGCGGATGCAAGCCTTTGTTTTGTTTGTATACAAAGAGGAGGAAAATAGCCTATTGTTTTAAACAATGGAAAGTCACTGTTTTGTTGCCCCCTAGTTATGTTGTAAAAGGCCCTGGAAAGAAGGTAGTGTTTACCCAGAGGAACTTAAAGAGGGGTCTTGTCAGATGATATCAGATTTGTAGCTTCAAAAGAGAATCGAACAACACATTAACCAAATATGTAGAAAACGTTTTATTCATTCCCTTACATTTCTATGATACATAAAAACTTACCAAAGACATCTTTCTGATAAACATCAATAAACACGAAAATCAGATTTATCTTCAACGCCAAAACAGTTGATAAAGAGCAACTCTTTTGAACCTTGGCTTCTTTTTACGCCCTTTCATAAGACAAGAGTTTCCTGTGTCGAATAAGAAGATTTCGCGTTTCAAATTTATTCACCAGGAGTTGGTTGCTAAGCATTTACAGTCAGTGGAAGAAGCATCTGTTGGAGTCCAGGGCAAGTGTGATGATTACGAGCGCCTTTTTGCTTTCCTTAAGGTAAATATGTATGGTTTATTTTGTTGCTTTCTTTGCTGTGTAAAAGGTTATTTATTATGTAGTTATAATATCATTGGTCGTCTTCTTGAGATCACGTGATTGAATGGCTAGCACTGAGCGATAGCTGAAATGGGTGATAACGAGTTGCTTTCAAAATGGGCCAAACATTTTCCTGCAAAGTTTATGGGGAAGTATTTCGGTGGCAACCGATTAAATTCTGCTCTACGGATTTGCTTAGTCCATTGCCATATCGCCATATCGGAGTTCTTAAACATTGTTTTTTAACTACCAATCGCCATATATTGGTGCGAAGAATTTCACTCTTTTTGTCTGTATCTATCAGAATAACAAATCTGTATTATCTTATGCCGAACATATTTACAAGAGCAGGCATTTTTATTGATTAAATGTCGATATGAAGCTGGACAAGTTATTTGTGCGATGTTTTCCATTTTAGACAGTTGCAAACGAAACCGAGGCCCATGTCAAAAGAGAGACTGATAAACTGATTTTTTTGATCAAAAAAAAGAGAGAAGAGTTGCTCGAGGACGTGAGCAAGGCTTACCAAATAGCAGCCTGTAAGATATCAGAGGGTTCTCAAAGTTGCCAGCAAGCTAGGATTGCAAGTGAATCTTTGTCTGAATACATTGCGATTTTGCTGGAAGAAAGAAACAGCCTTCACTTTCTTCAGGTGCGAAATTTAACTATCATTTCATACGGAATAGTATAGTTTCCCATCTGATACAGTATCGAGTGCTCGGTGTCGTACTGACAGAGCTGTACACGCTCTGGTGTTTAGAACAGAACGGTTCTAAGTTGCAACTTTGTCTTTCTTGTCTAGTATTATCATCAGGAAACAAGCTACTTCAAACCTTCATTATTTCATTAAGAATACTATCTTACAAGGTATGTCGTATAATGAATTCATGCTTACTGTGGCAGTCATCGAGAGATTTGATAAATCGATAGCTTTCGTATTAGAAACATTTGCACATTCAGAATTTATGCTATTTTTTAAATGATTGATCAGAGATAAAGTTCTCTGTTTGTAACATAGTAATCGAGTGATGCTTCTATTTTTAGGTCGTAAAACCAATGACGTCACGGTATGTTAATTTACAAAGTGTTTTCATACAAGTTGTTCTTCCTTCCAGATCTTTCTCAATCTTCGTTTGAAAATTTCATTTGTATCTTTTCAAATCTTAATAGCGATTTAGAATCATTTTATTAATTGATTTGATAATTTCTGTCCCTGCTACTTAAGCTATAATCATTACAATATACTTCCATTGAGTACGCGAATTATTCACAGCAGCCAATAACCATATTTAGTGTGTCTTTAGGTAGATATTTTTAAATATTGTTTCATTTACAAGTTTCATTGGCCTGACGTTTTAGGCTAGCAGAAACTACCAAACAACTTGCGTCTCTCGCAAAACCTGATTGGTCAATAGCAACACAATTCAACAATATGACGATTGACCTAGCGATGCAGAGACAGGCTATTGATGCAATCTCGTGGCTTGAAGCACCAGGTTAATGTTTGAGATTTTTGTAGGAACGTTAATGATATCGTAATATTATAACTCATTTAATCGTTCTGTAGTTAAGTATTGAAGACATTCTAACGACAAAGATACTTTTTAGATAATATTTTGATAATCATACAATTAGACCATAATCTTATAATAATAATAATAATAATAATCAATTTATTTAAAGTTGGCGCTACATAGCTATTTACAAAGAAATGAGCTAATCCAAGCCAACTGTTAAAACTACTACATCAACTAAATACATACGAGATTAAATACATAAAATTTTAAATACAAAATGATCCATTAAAAAACTATAAAAACCTGAGCTATTTAAAAGATAGAATTACAAAAAACCAAGCTGTGGCACGAACGTCCTACATAGTTTGCATGAGATACGTCATCAAATCTGACATCATAAAATATACTTTTAGACCTTCTTTTTGAGTGGGGTTTTCAACATTTTTGACAACAATTTCAATAAACTTGTTTCAATTGTTTTTGAGTTCTAGATTCCAAGGGACGTTTTTAACGTTTATGTTTTACGTTTAACGCACTATTGATTTTTTTCTTTCTCATTTTTTTTCAACCCAGCGGTTCTGGCGAAATGCAAGCAGAAGTGCATACTAGTACCACTTTTTGCATACATTTGTAGTCATGGGCTCCGACGCAGGTTGGAAAGTGGGGGGGGGGGCAGGGAGATTTTAACAATCATAGAAAAATAATTGTGAAAAAGCTTCTCCGGCCCTCCTTCGTCAAGGGCCTTGGTAGCGTTTTCTAACAAAAGTTAGATGGAACACTGACTTACTGACTAGGTAATGCTGCTTCCACTTTGCAGTAAATGACAAGATAAAACACAAATAAAATAAGCGAATTGTTGAATATGTGGAAGTTCTTAACAAGACCATTTGAACATGTTAATTCTCATTTAGGAATATGAATAGTAACAACAAAGTTTAAACCGTTCTCTCTACTTTAGGCCCACCGATGTTCGTTGTAGAAGAATGCTTTGGACGAAACTGCCGAGTTCATTTGCGATGGCTACCACCTGAAGGCCCCGTCGAGAGTTACATTTTAACAGCAAAGGTTCTCGGCAACGGCGATGATTTCTCAGTTGTTTACGAAGGGAAAGAGGCAATGTTCGTTCTGGATGATGTTGCCTATGGATGCAAAGTTTATGCGCGGGTCAGCGCGAGAAATAACGCGGGGGAAGGACCACCAAGTGACGATATTCTAGTAACCATGCCTTTGGGTACGCTGTCAAGCTTTCGCTACCTGCCCTGGTCGTTTCCCTTGATCATGTTTTCTCTCGGATTTTTTGATAATCCTAGTTTGTCTGTAAAAATTAAAGACCTTTTTGCTGTGCTTTAGAATCAATTTTCATAAATCTGTTATACATTCTAATGTCTTCGAATCATCTTATTTTCAGAATTCGATTTCCAGTTTTCACACGAACTCACTAGCCTCGATATCAGTCTGTCAACTGACCTCCGCAGCATCAAGACACTGAAAGATTCACCATCAATTGCCATTGGCGACACGCTCCTTACCAGCGGCATTCATTATTGGTGTGCACGTGTTACCAAAGCTCCGTGTAGACAGAATTGTAAACTTGGGTTTGGAATTATTACACAGCGTCAGCTTGAACAATATATGGAAGGTAATAATTCTGCATGAATATCTAAGGAACAAAATCAAAGCTTTAGGACCTGTCAATAAAATTTTAAATGTTTAGAATTTATTATAAAGCAGTTGAATTGTTTACTTTTGCAACTATTTTGATTCTTTATTGTGTATCAAGTAATTTTTAATTTCAAGATCTCTTTTTTAAAACTCAGTTAGACAGATTGTCGTATGGTTCTAAAAGCTGTGAACGGCATCTGATGTAGATCAAACAAAGTCTACAGGGAATTTTTATTGTGTTTGATGCTTAAATCTTCAAAATAATCAAGCCATTGGGGACTTCTATTGTTTATTTTATGTTTATTTATGCATAGATGGAAGATGTTGAAGGAAAGTTGAAGGAAAACGTAATGTTTTTACAGAAATATTTTGAAGTTTTTTAGTAGGAAAAAATGACTAACAAACGTACTTTGAGGATGGCACAACAAACTTTCCACCACAAGATTATAACTAGCACCTTTTTTCCTCTTGGGTTCCAATGTAAGAGAGATCCAGTTTGATACGCGCTAATCTTTTTGCTATCCACAACATTTTTAGGTTATGTTTTTTATTTCAGACGGTGCAGTGAGATCGACATATGAAGTTGAAATACCCTTGAGTGATGACACCCATGACCAAGAACTGTCCTCCAACAAAATACTGTTCAAGAGATCAGTTTATGATATAAAAGACATGGTTCTGGAGTTCATACTAAATCTAAGCGCAGGGTATTTCGACATTTATACTAATGGAACTTTGATATCTTCTGGTGGTTCTGGATCAACATTTGCGAATATATTTGGAAAGTTCTACCCTTGTGTGCTTACCACGGGAAAAGGCCTGCGCGTTGATTTCATCTCACAGCTGGAAGTACTTCATGTAACACCTGGTAATATCTTTACACTTCTTCTCTGTATCAATCTTATCTTAGCTGTTAATGGTATATTTTTTCCATCACTTTTATATCTTTATCTTTGCAGGTCCACCGGAGATACTTCACGAGAAATGTTTTGTGAAGAACACTGAAATAACTGTAGTTTGGAAGCCAGGTGATGAGGTTAACCATGATTTACCACGCAAAACCACGGCTTACATCGTTGAAATGAAATATATTGGTGTCAATGATCGTCGGTTTCAAGAAATTTACAGAGGTTGCAAAACATGGTTCACATTTGATGCTTCTGAATACAAAGCAAAGATAAAGGTTCGAGTGAGCTGTGTGAATCATGTTGGGATCGGAAGCCCGAGTGAAGAAATGGTTTTTCAAACACCAAAAGGTAACTTGCAAAACAAAAAAACAGCTATAAATCTTAATCGAGAATTGATTCTACAAAACTTCCTTCAATATATTCACACGCCTTTGTACTTTGTCAGAACCTCGTTTTATGATTGCGTGTATAGACTTTCAATCCTTAGATTTTCTGTCTTCTTTGAGTTTGTTTAGGTTATAAACACGAAAAAATTCTATAGCAAGTAGTTATTTATAATTTTTTTTCCTTTTTTTGTTAGGATTGTACTTTACTTTTCTTTTGCATCTCATTTTTAGATCATTTTTGACATTGCCAAAGCTATAATTCTTTTGAACTTTGATTTTACAAATTAACTTAATTGTTCATCAAAATACATGAAAAAATGTTTATTTTAACTATAAAACATTAATTGTTCATGGCAATCCACAACTTGTAGAAATGTCAAGGAAATTTTCGTAATTTCATTTTATCTCATGATAAGTGGTGCACTTCTTTGATGCTTGAGCAAGATGACACTTTAACATCTAAGATGAAAGAATCTGTAACGATTTCCTTTAATTGCTTGCCTTAATTTATTTCTCTTGCCTAACCCTGATGGCATTTTGCTGTACCAGCAAATTTGGTTTTTAGGTTTGTGCTTCAAGTTTGACACAGGGCTTTCATACATGGCATCTGCTGAGCCAAAAGCCGTTAAGATATCCTCAAACGGAGTCATTAGCTGTGAATCGAACCATGAAGAGTCGTGTTTTCTTGGTGACGTCGTGCTTTCGAAGGGCTGTCATTCGTGGGGATTCAAGATTCGTTATGGTGGGGAGAAACTAGAGTACATAGGTGACCAAAGTCCCTTCTATTGCTACTGAATATACACCAATATTTGTGGATAACTCACATTTATGTTGGAAGAATGTATCTAATCTATGTTTGTGTATAGGTATTGATGAAGAAAATTTTGTCATAATCTCCTGACATTTGTATTTTGAAATATTCAGCTTTCCATGCCTCACTTATTTCTGTAAACTACTGAAGTTTTTATGATTTTTAAGAAGTTGTAAAAGAATCATTTAACACAGAACTTGATATCAAGTATAGGAGACAACTTGCTCTCGTTGAAGTGAATTTCAAAACTACTGTGCCATGGAGGTATGAGTCAATTTGAAACCGAAGGCTCGTGTATGAAAACTGAAGCTTTCAAGATATGTTTGTAGTCGTACAGTACTATGTGTGGCTTTATATTTTCTTTTCATTTTGCTCATACTCAGGGATACTTAGAATGATATGAAAAAGAAGTAAACCTGTTTTAGCCGACGACATTAAATTCTTTAGAGATATTCTTTAAAGTTTTGTGTCTAGTAGAGAGTAGATTTTATGAAAAGTCCAAAAGTTCAGTTGATGTGAATTAAGTTATTTTTTCTCTTGAAAATCTGAGAGCGCAAAGTTGTTTAACTGTTCTCTTTCATTTCACCATTGGTTTAAGCTTTGCGATTTGATCCATAGCTTTTGGGCTTGCAAAAGAGTCAAACAGGCTGGAAGATATATGTCATCAATCAGCCAGCTGTTTTGCCATGTGCACCAATGGAAGCAAACTGTTGCAAAACCAACTCCTGATCGATAGCAAAAACATCATCATTCAGCAGGTGACATCTTTAGAAGAAATGCATTTAGTGGTGGTGTTTGATGTTGATAGTGAAAGTTTACGCGTTTATCTTAATGGTTTACTGATTCACAAAGTATCAGATTTAGAAATATCTATGCCTACGTTTCGTAATGTCGCGCGTTGTGTGAGACCTGCAGTGTGGATCAGAGGTGGGATGGTACAAATTGTGCCACTGACTGAACTGGAAACACCAGGTGTGCCTGGTAAGTATAATGTATATAAATTCTTCCAAGAAGGTCACAGCTGATTGTTAAAACAAAGGATTATTGCTCAATCGTAAACTAGTCCAAGTTTTCTAGTTTGTTAGAGGCTCTAATGAACCCAGTAGATATATGTATAAAAGCAAGCACAGAACTAAGAGTTGGTCAGTCTCTCTTGGTCCAATCAGCAAAAAGTGCTTGAGGACAGTATCAATGCTATAATTTTGTTACAAAAGTACTCGCGTGTTTAAGTTAGGGGGGGGGGGGTGTCGCTCGCATTCATATGTCTCAAATGGGAAGAATGACATAAAAAGTAAATAAACTGATGGCATATCATGTTGTTTAGTTGCTAGAACCGCTGCCAACTGCTGATGTCCAGATTAGCATTAGATTAGCATAGCATACCTTTTTAGCAGAGTGCTGTTTTCTACTTTTCGGCTTTTTGCATCTAAATCTGTTTTTGGCTGTGAAAGCTTGAGCTCATTTTGTTGCCTCCAAGGACTTCAAATTCACAACCAGCGCTCTTGCTTCATGTACATCTTGCAGCTTTGTTTTTCTTCCCTTGCAAGGTTCTCCTGTGATAAATGAGCACAACAGCCAAGTTACAGAGAACAGTCTTCGTTTGGAATGGGCAGTCCGCAGTTTAGACTGCGTTGACTTCTTTATTGTTGAAATGGCTGTTCTGCATAATAGCGTTGTTGGACTTGAGCCTGAGGAGTTTCAAGAAGTTTTTAGAGGAAATAGGACAAAATTCGAGTCCAAGAATCTGCCGTATAACAGTGAAATATCCTGTCGCGTTTTCAGCGTTAATGGCAAAGGGAAGAGTAAAGTAAGCCCATTGTTCAAAGGAAGCACCTGTAGAGGTATGTTTCTTTTAGCATAGCCTAAAACCTTGTTTCAGTTTAGTTTTTAGCAGATGGAGAGATTCAAGTGGGTATTGCCATGAGTCTCTCCAAGTTTCAATAAAATATATTTGTCACAAATTCAGGAACGCGTAGGAATTTATGGAAATTTACATCAAGTGTTCACATTATCCTGCTCTGTGCCACGAAATGCAGAGATATCTAGAAAATACCAAACATGCTTTAAAGAACAGTTAAGAACTATGTACCAACTTTTAGAGACATTGAGTATGTTCCTTATTATTCGTATGAGATAATATTTGAAATGATAGTTTAATACACATGAACTATTTTTAGATTCCTTGCTAGAACATTCTTAGGCCTTTTTATACTTACTTTAAGCACATTGCTGAATATCTAACTGCTTGCCAATTCATTCTCATACTATACTGAAGTAATATTGTTCATTCATAATCACAACTGGGTATATATTTTCCATCGTGTTCTTTCGGACCCTTATTTTGACTTTTTATGCTCTGAGGAGTGTCAGACGAAAAAGCTTTTAGTATGTTGTGAAGTGTTTACTTTTTTCAAAGCCATTTTCAAATTCTGTACCGTAAAAAATTGTTCTATTGTTTAGGAAACAAGCCAGGTTGTATCTTCACTGCAAAAAGCAAATTTTCTTAACTATATTTAAAGTCATTGTAAATGGTTTTTATATAATGCCATGTTTATTTTCCAGGCTTGAAGTTTGAATTCGACAAAACAACTGGCCATCCAGATCTTGTGATTAAGGATGCCTGGGTTTCTTTGACAAGTCCTGTGTACGCCACAGTTCTTGGAAATGTCTCGCTTTCAAGCAACTGCCACTATTGGGAGGTCGTGATTGACACTTTTGATTGCCAGAACCAATCAGCTGTGATAGGTATGAGATAAGTGATTAGACTTCGTGTCGTGAGGAAGAGTTTAAATTATTGTATGAATTCATGAATGACGCAAGATATTAGAAGGCCCTGATTGGTCGAAACAAAGCCAATCAGATGTGTCCATTGACTATAACTTCTCTTGTTACAATCCAGTGTCTCACTTTTTGATGAATTTTTGACAAATAGTTTTTACATCCTAATAAAATGTATCATCGTGATTTTCTTTCATCTATCAAATTTTGCAGTCATCATCATGACCGTAGCCCTTGAAGAGGCGGTCGGTGCACCCATGTATTAACATCCGTCTTCCGTCTCATTCTGTCTTCAGTTCTTCTCGATGCTTCCGTTAAGTCCAGACCACAGATGGCGTCTTTTTCCCTGGTAACGTGCCCAAACCATTTTAGCTTCCGCGTTTTTACAATATCCAACAGGTTTTCAATTTTGCCACATTGTCGTTGGATTTCACCTCTATCAAATTCGTTGGATTTTCTATCTTTCCAAGATATTCCATGAATTTTTCGGAAACATTTCATATCAAATGCGTCAATTCGTTTTTCTAACTTTTTGTTAAGAGTCCAATTTTGCAGTACATGCCTGAAAATCAAATTTTGTTGAAAGCTTCTAGACGCTTCTGAACAGAGTCATTCTTGTGAAGTTTTTACCCTCTCATTTGCATCTTAATTAAACAACGCCTTTTCTTCAATCCAAGGCGTTGGAATCGCAAAGAGAGAGCTTATTGATCCAGTGCTAGGCGAAGATGTTTATTCATACGCGCTGCAGATACATCAATATCCGAAAATCATTTGTCAAAACACCGCAAATAAAATACAAATAAAACGAACAAATAAAGAAGCTGAGGATATTATAATTGGAATACATATCGATTTAGATGCCAAATGGATGGATGTTTACAATAATGGTAAGCTAATGTACAATAAGTGATGGAGATAGCAAGGTGAAACCGAGGGTTGATAGTATTTGTAAATGATAAAAAATAAATAAATAAATGAATAATTTATTTGGCAATGAGATCTAGCATAAAGCTAATTCAAGCCAACTATTTAATTCAAGCCAATTTATATGGAAAGTAATTATTTGTAGAAAGCATAAATGTACAATAAATGTATTACACAATCTACAGCTGCACTCGAAGTTTTCTAAAGATTTCATGTTTCGTTTAAAGATGTGCAGTGATTTGGACTCTTTATTGCAGTAGATAGCTTTTGCCATATTTTTTGGCCAATAAATCTAACGGTCCCTGTGCCATATTTCGATGTTCTTGCACTGGGCGAGATAATGTTGTCGTTTGTTCGAAATTCATATTTATGTTTCTAGTAACAAAAACATCGTCCATTAATGTTGGATTTAAGTTATTAACGGTTTCAGATATCTAGATCAAGAGCAGCTGAAAATTTCTCTGATGAATAGACACTGATTTTGTTTTAGTTAATATATGATTTGAAGTGCAGGCTCGTGAATCTTGTTTATTTTATAATTTAATTTTCTATCGTGGAACATCCATAGAAGTGGGCAAAAACTAAAATGAGAAGTTATAAATGAGATCATTGTTAAAGCTAGCTAGGGTTGTGAAGAACTTAAACGAGTCTCCCTCATTGCCCTGCCTCAGTTGCTCTGGAACCCCGTCTCAATCTTGGATAGTATGCCATATCATTTCTGCTATTTTTCGTAAGCTAACAGTAAACATTGGTTTGTGTATCTTGATAAAGTTCGTGAATCTTTCATTTTGAAGGCTGTTTGGTTCTGCGCAAGAAAAAGGACAAGCGGTCATTCAGAATAAAATCTGGAACCTACTATCCAGCTTTTAGCTTGTATGGTACCAACGTGAAAATATCTCTGCGGACAGGCGTTGATTTCGAGGAACGATTCAAGCTCTAGTTGCTGATGAATTAAACATGGAACAGAGTTTCAAGCTTTTAGTTTGCACAATATAAACTTAATAACAGATATTGACCTCTTTAGTGTTGTCTAATTTGATTAGTTTATTTATTTAATTGAGTACCTCGGTAGTTTTGAGATTATTTTGCAGTTTTATGCTTGTAAAAAACATATTGTTTAATTAGAAAGACTACTATGATACGTAGGCCATCTAATACTCAAGCTATCTTCAATCGTCCATTTTCTTGCTTATCCATCATTTCCTTCCATGCAATCCCCTTACAAAGATCATTCCTTCAATAATTGTGTACACCTCTATTCAACTGGGTCATCCTTTACTCGTTTTCTGCCAATCCTTACTCATTTCAGCTAAGCAACCTATATTTTATATTTTAATTGTTTAAGATATACGTAGCTGTAGTTGGTTTAACCAGTTGAGAAAAGCAACGAAAATCCATCATGTTGGCAGTCACTTTTCTTTGATTTTGTTTTCTATGCAAGTTCTAATAGTTTCGCTGTGTTGTCTTGGAAATTACGCGTTCAAGTCAATGTGGAAAAATATAATCAGCAGAATGGATGCAAATTAAAATATGCACAGGTGAATGATAAAGGGAGCTAAAGATAATAATTTTAATACAATTTTAAGGCAATTTGATTTTTTATCTAATTTGATAATAATTTATTCAGTAACCTGCAAGCAAGAAAAGTCTTTCTAAACCTTACGTTGTAATTCATCTTTTCGTGAGTGGTAATGTGCTCTTATTCCTGTGATAAATCGTGGTTTTTTTCTATTTTATAAAATTTCATTCATAAAGTTTGGGTTTGCATTTAATATTGCTTTGGAAATCTCAGTGAATAGTAACAGAAAGTTTTCTTTGTGTACAGACATAGCGTAAATACTCGAATTAGCCCCCTGGGGGCTTATTTATTTTTGATATTTTCGGATGGGGGCATATTCGAGGGGGGACTTATACGAAAGGGGGGCTTATAAAATTATTGTAGACATTAAGAAGACATTATTTGAAAACTTCGTTTATTCTAGTAGGAATTTCTTTATGAGCATTTAATTAATTACTACCAGAAGTTATGAATTTGTTGTGGTAATTCAATAAAACGCCATAGGCAACCTCAGATGGCAAAAATCATCAAATGGAGGGGTCCAGTTCGAGAATTTACAGTAGCAGCGGAGGCTTATTTGAGGGGGGGCTTATTGACAATTTGTGGTTCTAGGGTGGGGGCTTTTTCGAGGGGGGGGGGGTCAATTCGAGGATTTACGGTATGTAACACTATTATGTAGTAGCGTTTTAAAAAAATTTATGCTAATATTTTCGCGCTTGGATCTAGCCACTGTAGCAAAAGCTTCGATATTATGTTGGGAAGACAAGATATGCTTCTTATAAAAGCAGTTCTATCTTCATTTTATTCAAGATTTGTCAAGATTTGCTTCCACTCCGAGAGTTAACTCCCCATTCCCAGATTCCATCTAAACCCAGCCTCATTTCCGCGCTGCTGCCTCTTTGCCCTTCCCTTCAAATTTCTCCGAACATTCTGGCAAAACAGGTGCACGCTGCCAAATTTCCGTAAGGCAAAACCTTGCAAAAAGAGGAGTTTTAGTTACCCATCGACTATAGTCAAGAGTTAATTATGATGAAAGCACCAGTACTTGTTCTCAGTAAGTATAAGTTCATGGTTTTCCTAAGATGGCCGTTATGAAGGAGCGTCTGTCCTAAGCCACATGCATTGGCCTAGCCAGGCAACTGTTGTCCGGCGTCTAGTAGCCTAACTCGTGCCCTTGGATTTCAAGATTGTTTAAGTTTATGAACGAAAATCACTTAAATGGAACTATTTTGTTTTGTCTCTTGGCAATCATTTGTAGTTTGTTTGTAATCTAGGATGTTGGAAAAATACGATATAATATGACTTATATGATGGTTACACCCAAAGAGAATCAGGATTTTGAAAGCCAACGAGTAACCGCGACCATATTTATTATTTGAATTGTTAGCATAAAATTTCAGTTGAATTGACACAAGTAAAGAGATTGAGCTGCAAAGATTGGATTCTTATCTCCCATTTGAATATGAGCAAATGATTGCAAATTTCCCAGCCCAGAGACAAACCTCTACTCTTTGTGAGTGCTACTTTGTGGCCTCATGTGTGAGTTTGGTTTAAATGTAAGTTTTAGGGGAGATACTTCCACTGTGTACACAAGATTTTGTCAGCCATAAATATAAATTCTAACTATCTTGATCAAATCAACTGAAAATATTTTGCACACCTTTTCTAAGCTTTCCTAAGTGTATGGCCTAATCCCCTATGATATTGGCATAGCATTTTGTTCTTGTTCATGGTATTACTGACAAATCATGACATTTATTGCCTCTCTCAGAGCTGCCTAGTCTCTGACAAACAGGGTTGGAAATTGTCAGGAAATTTTTTAAGCACACATTCGTTGCAGGGAAATGCTGTTGTTTGCCAGGGAATTTTTAGCATGAAATCTCAATTGCTTGATTTTAATATGAACATTAAATTTGTTACTCCCTTTGTGCAGAAAACTGTCTTCCTGTGATATGAGTACATTCTGTATAATTTTTGTTCTGCACTACTAACAAATAACTATCAAAATTTGCTTTCAAAATACAATCATCTGGTGTTATCAGCGGCTGTTATACCAAATTCCCGGGCATAATTTTCAGCTACTAGTTAACTTCAATCAAGCTAGAACAGAATTTATTTCTCTTTTTACATTAGCCATTCTAGATAAATTGAAAACAGTTTAAGACAGCCAATCTTGTTATGTCAATTGTATTGAAGGTGAAAATGCCTGTGTGGATGTGTCCATTATTATCCATATGTTCTACTGGCATTCCCATACATTTTTCATTACTAGCTTAATAGGATGTAAGCATCAGAGCTTAGATCTTTGCCTCTAGCACCAGCCCTTATTTAAAACATTAATTTTGACAATTGAAAAACAAAAAGTCTTCTTACATGTTGCATAAACTAATAGCTTTGATAATAAAACTAAACATCAAACTGAGACCCAGAGCAAGTTAAAAGATACGTCAGTACTTCAATAGTATCTAGTTTGCTAGTACTGATATCAGGTTTTATCAAAATTTGTCTGTTTTCCTTGTTGCGTGTTTGGAATTAATTCAAATTTTACTACTTTTACGGAAGAGGGATTTAAAGATGGGAAGCATGCGTTGGTTGGGTGGAATCTTATTGACACTTTGAAAGAATGTTCTGAAAATAAGAGGAAACTCAAACAATTTGCAAAAAATGCTGCATCAACTTGGCATGCAAAAAACTTTTCAGCTTGGAAAGATAAGGAAGGAAGGAAGGGGTGCAACTGGCACAACTCTGGGAAGTATTCTGTTATGACTCTGGGAAATATTCTGTCTAAATCAGATGCTGACAATAGGAAATGGTTGGAAGTAATTTTTCACATCATCAGGTATCTGGCTGCTGATGGACTGCTTCTAAGAGGTGATGATGAGAACCATGATTTCAACCAAGGCCATTGTGGTGGTCTTTTTGAATACAATTCAAAATCTGGTATTTCAACGCAAACAAGAACTTGCAGTCCTTGCAAAAAAGATACCATGCAAAGCCATGTATTTGTCATCTGATATTCAGAATGTAATTATGCAAATTATGGTTGATATGGTAAGGAATGTCCATGCTTCAAAACTAAGACAATCAGAGCTTTTCACTTTAATGGTGGTTGGAACCTCAGACAGCAACAACAATGAAATTTGAGGTGTTGTTACACAATTTTTTTCTTTGAGAAAGGGGAAATTGAAGAAAATTACAAATTAGCAAGGTAGATCTGCTAAAAAGATCTTTGCATTCATACAGAAAACTTTAGATGACAATGACTTGGCTTTGATGGGTTGGTATCACAAGTGTTTGACGGAGCTAAAGTGTTATGTCAGGAGAAAGAGGGAGATTGCAAACTGTTGTAAAAAATGTAATGAAAAATATTCCAGAACTAAAGGAGCACTTTGGTACTGTTTCTGGTTTGTACAAATTTTTCAAATTAGCTGCCATAAAAGAACAGTATGCTGGAGTTAGACTAAAGAGATTGATATATATAAGATGGTCTTGACATTTAGCCATGTGCAAAGCAATTGAAGACAATTACTGTGATATACTTCAAACATTGGAAATGGTTTCAAAAGTACAAAGCTGGATAGTACTGATCATGCAACAGCTACTGGGTTTTGGATGTAGGCCGTCACTGATGAATTTGTTTTCCTCACACATTTACCCTGGATGTGCAAAACTTTGTTAAATTGTAAACAAAATCCTCCATTCGTCAAAAGAAATCCTCCATTCCTTCCTTTTTGTTTTTGGATGAGTTGAAGTCCCTTTTTCATTACATGATGACGATACCTAAAGTGAAGACAGGAATGCTGTCTGAAGCCTTGGGCAAAGTTGATTTGGATGCAGAAGGTTGTGTCTATCATTGTATATTGCTGAAGGAATGCAAAAAGGAGCCTTCTTACATGAAAGTCGTAGAACAGTCAACCTCAACAAGATCTGTGCATTTATGGGGAGAACCCAGATCAATTGTGCACCAGTTCTCACAATGATATACCGAGTGGCTGCAACTGCTGGTTATGCTTCAGCCGTGTTGAATGCTTGTTTTCAGCGCTTAGCAAGGAAGACATTCCCCAACATGGACATCAAGCTGCTGAACGAGAGTCGAACTTCACTTTTCTTTATTTTGAACAACAAACATTCATTTCATTTCAGTTTGATAATTTTTAAAGGTTCCGGAGTCCAAACTTTGGGAGTTCAAAGCTCTGTTTCAAATAATCAGACCATCAGGCTCATTGCACCCGTTAATTAGTTAGCATTTGGATTTATTCTTTGAATTAAATAATATTAAAAATTTTTTAGCTACTTTGCTCTCTAATCTAATGAAAAAATAGTATATCCATCTGTCGTACTATGTAACCAAAACTTCCTTTCCATTTGCAGAGGACACCGTCCAAAGAGAATCAGGAAAAAAAGTACAGTTAGGAAATATTGGAGCAGCCAAGGTGAAAAATAGCTTTTTGAAAACTTTTATAATCTGTTCATTTGCAAAACATGGAAATCTTAAGTCTTCTCTTAAGTAGCTGCATTGGTGTACCCAGATGTTCAAAATTGTCTCTGTTAAAAGGACTTTTGGTTTCTAAAAGAAATTCAAAATTGCCGAGTATCTCAAAGAAAGTGCCAGCATCCCCAGTTTTCCCCAATAAAAGTTACTGAGCAATAGCCAGTTTTTTCGAATTTTCTATTGCACCTTTTTTATTCCTTTATAGATCTATCAAAAAATTTTCTATTGTTCTCAAAAATTCATTTCTACCTCATAAATTTAGAACATAGATTCCGAATGGCAATTTCTCTAAGAAAAATTGACTTGTCTTGTATCCATTAAACAATGCAAAGACTTTAATCTTTCTAGCTGCTTTTATTGTCTATTTATGTATGATATTTATGTCTGTTTAACAAATATTTTTCCAGAAATGGTAACATCTTTATGCTTGATGCTCATTTCTTAGATTAGATTAAAAGTCTTGACTGGCAAATATTCTCCAATCTGGCTGGCGAATTTTAAAAGCATTACAATCAAGAAATAGATGTATATTTTCAAAAAATTCCTTTAATGTTTATACCACTGAAGCAAAAATATTTTGTGCCACAACTAATTTAAAAAATGTTTTCCCTCAGCACTACAATAATAGTCAGGAATGATTAAAAACCCAACAAGGGAGAATTTTTTCTTAAATTAAATTAAAAATGATGCAAATTTTAGAAAATCTTAAATTATTAAAAATTCATTCAACCTTCAACCACACTCTTTCTAACTGTTCACCTAGTGTCTTTCTTTGAGAAGAAACAAGGTCACCAAGTCAAAATTATTTTTTGCTAGATTGTTAAGTACATACAATGTTAGTCTAAAGGCATATTTAATTATTCTCAGGAGATCAGAGACATTATCCCAGGTTCCCTGAGACATTCTCTTCCAGTGCTCGCCCTTTGCAAGTCTCTTCTCCAAACACAAAAACTCAATTCCAACTCTTTCTTCCTCCCTAGATCTTTTAAACCTTGCAATGCTCTACCCCTTTCCTGTTTCCCAAACTCTCACAACCTGTCTTTATTCAAAACGAAAATAATTAAGCTTGATCTTTCCTATCGCTATCCTAATCACTCCTCTCTCTCTCTCTCTTGTTAGGGCTTAGCTATAAGTACTTGAGCTTTAACATAGCATTGCCAACTAAAAAGATTATTATCATTGCTTACGAATTTCAGGCTGTTGCAGATGTTATAAGGACATGTCTTGGACCAAGAGCAATGTTAAAGGTCAGAATTTCTTATTTTATTATATCTTTGTAATTTCTTATACAGAAACACAAGGAGAACTTTCACCTTTAATGTTTATATCAAAACGTATTTTCATTTTGAGCTTTTAAACTCACGAGGAGCCTAATTTATTAACCCATTAAAGGCAATGAGTCATTAAAAAAGACGGGGGTATACCCAAACGTACCCAATCTGCTGAGTCATAAATTTCGTGCCCTTGATGCTGTTTGTTGATCTGCTACTGATCACATGAGCTCACCTCAAACTGATTGACAAAGCAATTTCCATTAATAGCAAGTTGTCAACAACAGATACTTATATCATATGAAACTACAGTGATCACCCTGAAAGCAAATGACCCCCTATAAAGAAGGTCTATTTACCATGACTCAATGCCTTCAAATTTTCAAAATCTTTGCAATATTACTCTAGGATAGTAAGAAAGCAAGAATGAAATTTATTAAGCTTGAAATCTGTGTAATTTATGTATTGTATTTTGCCATTTTGAAATAGATGCTGATGGATCCTATGGGTGGTATTGTGATGACCAACGATGGTAATGCCATTTTGCGGGAAATCATTGTTCAGCACCCTGCTGCTAAAAGTATGATTGAAATTAGCAGAGCACAGGACGAAGAAGTCGGTGATGGTACAACATCAGTTGTGATCTTGGCTGGGGAGATGCTCAGTGTTGCAAGTCAGTTTCTGGAGGATCAGATGCATCCGACGCTGATTATTGCTGCCTACAGACAAGCATTAGATGATATGATTGATATCCTGAAGAACCAGATTAGGTATGTAGGTGCAGCGTCTTGAGTACCGTAAATCAGGGGCGGAAACTTGGTCAAATATTGGGGGGCAAGCCTATTGTTTTAATAAGATGATGTCACATTTCCCATTGTTTTAGAACAAAAGACCATTGTTCTCTACAGTATTGGCGGGGTGATGGCCCCCCCTCCCCCCCCCCCCCCCCCAAGTGTCCGCCACTGCCCTAAATCCTCAGATTAGCCCCCTGGGCGCTTCTTTATTTTTGATATTTTTTGGATGGAAGCTTATTCAAGGGGGGGCTTATACGAGGGGGGCAATATAAAATTATTGTAGACATTAAGAAGACATTATTAAAAGACCTCATTGATTTTAATAGGAATTTATTTATGAGCATTTAATTGATTAATACCAAAAGTACAAATTTGTTGTGGTAGTTCAATAAAACGCCATGGGCAACCTCAGATGGCAAAAATCATCAAATGGAGGGGTCCAATTAGAGAATTTACGGTAGCAGTGGGGGATTATTCGAGGGGTGGGCTTATTGAAGATTTGTAGCTCTAAGGTGGGGGCTTATTCGAGGGGAGGGGGCAATTCTTCTAAGTTGGTTCTAAGTTGCTACCTTGAGTTTCACGCCTAATATGCTCATAAGGCAATTCAGAGTAGCAACTTAGAACCGTCCTGTTCTTTACACCAACAGTGTGTTCAGCTTTGCCTTTACGGCACCAATCACTTATTGACAGACTGGTGAACTGTAATTTTCATTTATTAAGATATATATGCCTATGAAATGTCATCATGTCAATAGTTATTAGAATTGGTATTTGAAGGCCAGAAATGCTGAACTGTAAAATTTGATTTTAAATTGAAAGACTGTTAAGATGTCAAAAAATGAAGAATTATAAAATGGAGATAAAATTGTATTGTGTTTACTGGCACCAAATTTTTCCAGTTATTTGATTCCAATGGTTTCCTGCAGTGATCTCTTTCATTTCAAATGCTTCAGTTTTTTGTACTGACTTTTAACTGTCTGCATTTTTTTTGTTACATACGATCAGTGAATTATAGAGAAATCTCTACATTTATACTAAAATTAGTTTGATTGATGAGGGTGCAAGTTAAAGTTCTCTTGGTTTCAGAGTTTTGGTCTGTTTAAAGCAAAAATATTTCTGCCCCACTAATTCTGTAAGTGTAATGGGTATCTAAATTGAACTTATCTTATGTTGTCTTTGATTTCTTCTTAAAGCACACCAATTGATGTGAATGACGATAAGGAGATGATGAAAATCATTCAGAGTTGCCTGGGAACTAAGTTAATGGGCAACTGGTAAGTAACTCTGTTTTTTTGACCAAAAGTTCCTAGACAAAAATTTATAAGTTGCTTTGATTTTCAAGGGCGGTTTTTAGGCTTTTAGTTTACCAAATTGTGTGAATTCTCCAGCAAGTGCGTTGGCTTTTAAAAACAGCATGAAAGAAGTGGATTGATGAGTTTCAATGCAGTGTTTTCCTGCTTAAGATTATTTTTATGTGAATATAATAATTTATTAATGGAACAATATTTCCTCTTGAGTTTGGATTAATGAATGAAAATATCAACAAGTAGAAAACAGCTTGCTGCAAGTAAGTGGTTTTCCATGAAGACTGTCTTTCCTAAGTCTTCACTCTCTTTCCAAGAGAAGTTTTGCTTAAAAAACTTCTCTAAACCCTTTTTGATTACCCATTCCTTTCTCTCGACTCCTTTTACTAAGCCCTTTTTTCTGAAACCCGTTCTCGTTACCCCATTCTCTAAACCGATGTTTCTAACCACTTTTCTAAACCCTATTTCTGTAATTTATTGTAATGATATGCCTCTCTGATTACAGGGGTGACTTGGCCTGCTCTATTGCTTTAAAAGCTGTTAGGACTGTTCTTAAAGATGACAATGGAAGAAGAGAGATTGACATCAAGCGATACGCTAAAGTCGAAAAGGTCCGTTGTGTTAGCAATACCCCTTAATGTCTAGACTATTCAGCCATGCCATTGATTCGTTATCAAATGATGTAAATATTTGCTATTAAACTGTGAAATTATTTCATTTCTGGTACATAATTACATTTGAAGTTAAACTATTCACTCGTTGATATGTGTTCTCATGCTGACGTCAAATGAATCATATTTCTACCTCCCACACAATTTTTTTCACCATCTCAGTTCTGTTACTAATCTGTCTCTAATCTTCTTAATCTAGAGAGTCTCCGATCCCATTTCCGTACTTTGTTTCAGTGTATCTGTTACTTGGAAGATAAACTTGTTTTTATCTCAATTTCTGGGATTCTATTTTCCATAGTTTCTAATTTAGGCCCGGTGCCAATTTATTTCTTTGTCTGATTTCTCTGCCACGTAGCGCCATAGTGTGGGGGTCATATGTCTGGAGCTTTCAAGTGTTTTCTCTTGAACCCATTGTCTTATGGACAGAGAAATCATATTGTCTTATTGTCTCTGAAACTTTCCCTATAGTTGGAAAACTTCCTTGAGATTCTAGAACTTAAACTTTTGCAATCCTACCCTTCTTTTAATGTTGAAAGAACCTTCCCTTTATGTTCCCACAATTCAAAGCCTTTCTGTGCGAATATCTTCTGCATTTTAAGCAATCATCGCGTCATTGTCTGACATCTTTCCACATAGACCCCTTTCGCTCCATGATTTTTGCTTTCAGTGCTTCACAATATGCTGCTACATCTATGATTCTGTTATTCTTTTAATCTTCTCAGGTTCCTGGTGGCTCATTGGAAGATTCCAGGGTACTTGATGGCATTATGTTGAACAAAGATGTCACTAACGCAAGAATGAGAAGGTTATACAATTCAATTCAATTTTTAGGAACATCTATTTCCCTCATACCGTTTTCTTTTAATCGACAAACAGTGCTTAAGTCTTAATAATAATAATAATAATCTACCATATTTATACAGGATAGCCTTTTCAGTAAAGATAATACTGCTATCACTAAGGGTCCTGTTAAAAAAAGTTTGTAAAGTTTGTAAGGTTCTCAAATATTTACTTTAATATTAAGGTAACTTAAATATTTACGTTTCTTTATACATTTATTGTGCTCATTAAATTTATTGTATTTATTAAATTTATTGTATAAACCTGAATTAATGTTTGTTCAAGCTGAAAAATTGGTTATTGTTTTTCTTGCAGGCGAATTGAGAATCCACGAATCCTGCTTTTAGATTGTACATTAGAGTATAAGAAAGGGGAGAGTATGGTAAGATTCAATTTTCTTAATTAATCAAATATTCGTTTTGGATACAACCCGATTTCCACTTTATCTAGTGTTCCTTAGATTAACGATCTTCTGTTTCGTAGATTAATTGTATTTTTCCCCTACTAGTTATCTGTATGCTGCTAGCCCTTACTTTTTAGCTACATCAGGTTTCTGAAAACGTAAATTTTTCTTTCAAACCTTGTTTTTTTATGGCTTGTATTTCTTTCAACATCACAGTTGATTGCCCAGTGCTACTTTCATACCGCTGTCCCACAAGCCTCATCGTGAAAAGGAGCTAGCTTTTTGCCAATTGTCAAGAATAAAATGTGATGTTTGGAGCCATTTGATTTTGCTTCTTAATTGTATATCTCCTTATGATATTCCCTAACATTAAACTATCAACGATTTTTTTTGTTTTCTTGCAGACAAATATAGAAATTACCAAAGAAGAAGATTTCAAGTTAGTACAAATTTGTCGTTTTAATCCTTTCTTGTCCTTGTTTAATTAATAAATAGTTGTTGATCTAATGAATGCTATGTAGTGAGCACAGTTCTTTCAAGTACATAATACCAAATACACTTCCAGTGCGCACCCTTTCCAAATCTCCTTGCCTAATTCAAGAACTCTGTCCCACACAACTCATCATTCCTCTACAGAACTTCCCTTGTAAGGGCCTTACTATAGTTTCCCGCGCCTTTCCATATTATCACCGACTGAAAGAAATACCAACTTTTGATGTAAGACATCTTAAGAATGAGTAACAGTCCAGTATACATGTATTAATGAAGTAAGAACTTAACGAGAAACAGAAGGTATGATTGGTTAAACTAGAACAGGTGTAGTAAACATTTTCTGTTCCTTTGTGAATTCGAGTTGATAAGACAACCTTTAAAGAAGTACTGACGTCATCTATTGAAACTGGCCCAGTTTGTCCTTGGGGGGGGGGTTAATTCCTGGTGGAAATTGTAGGGAAGAGAGTGCTCCCTTGTTGTAAAACGCAAGAAAGTATTAATGGCCTAATATCGTTTTCTTTCTGCTTATTTTACTTAGCAAAATTCTTCAGCTGGAAGAGGAGTATATAAAGAAAGTATGCAATGAGATCATTGGACATAAGCCTGATCTTGTTTTCACTGAAAAGGGTGTATCTGGTAAGTACTTCCTCGTGCATACAAATGTTTGTTTGCTGATCAGAATATCTAAACGTGAATTGAAATAACACTACTGGAATGCTGTCCACATATTATAATTGTTCCATATCAACTATCCTGGAGAGGGAAAGAGAGGGAGGTTTTTACATCCTTCTCCTAAGTCAATGCAAGTATCTCTATTATTAAGTACAGACGTGCCAACTGTGATTGGAGGAAGAGAGGTTGGACAGTACATGCATGAGAGGTTGCCCATAATATGTTTAATACTTTATCTCGAAAGCAGTGTCCAGGATTTTGTATTTGAACTGAAGAGCCCAGCATAAAATCCTTCCATAAGGCTGCAGCCAAAATTCAGTTTTGAATCCGCCTGTCAAAAAAGCCTAGTTACTGGAGTACCAGTGTGTGTATGTTTGCTGTGTGTCTGGGTTTTTCGAGTATTCTGTTACATGGAATAATGTACCAATATCCCTTAGACTGAAAGGCTCTCATATTTAAAACCGTTAATATTAAATTGAAATGTAGATGTTTAAGTGTCGTGAATTGACTGTGGTGAAACTAGTAAATGGAAACTGAACCACTGTTCAAATTGACAAGTATCAAGGGTGTCTGAAAACTGGAAACGAAAAACCAGTTTTTGGCTTGAACTGGTTGAATTCTCCTTACATAACCTGATTTGCTGGCTAGAATTATGAATGGCGGGTGTTAAAGGCTGTGAATCAAACGATGTCTATCAGCATTTTCCCAGTCGTTTGATTCAATAGAAACAACAAAGCGTTTGATTCATATAACTTTCCTTGCATTCCAGCTTCTGTTGTGGAAAATTACGTCATAATTGTAAATGATTTTCAACCGTTCATGCATCCTTAAGCCTCATAAACTATTTTTTAATTGTGTTTCGTGGTTTTGTTTTCCCAGATCTTGCCCAGCATTTCTTGGCTAAAGCAAATATTTCTGTCATTCGACGCATCAAGAAGACGGACAATAATCGACTTGCCAGGTAATATTTTCTTAAGAATAAAGAATGCCATTGAAAGGCCCAATGGTCTAGCGATCCTTTGTGAGGGAAGAAAGTCAGTATTTCCCTAGTGATGCAAGAGAAAATAGTTTTTGATCGGCTTTTATCACTGCAAATTATATAAAGGAATGTGCAACTCGCACCTTATTCATTGCAAAATACGCACGAAATTTTCACAAAATATTAAGGATTCTCTTTTGATTTATTGCTTCCATTTTCTGCTTCCTTTCTGACTATCTATTTATATCCTACTTTAGTTGTTATATTTATGTTTAAAACTCCACAGATAATGACCTCCGAAGCCCCATAAATTACAAAAATTGAAACCTATAAAACTGTAGAAAAGGCAATTTAATAATTAGCCCCTTTTGCAAGTTTTATTTTGTCGGGTAAACATTTAATTGGCAGCAAAACGTGAGCAAAGAAGATTCTTATTTTAATAAGGACTCTGCTTTGAATAACGGCGGTTTTTGGGTGGCATCTCAAGAACATTTGATATTTTATTAAGGTCGTCGCATTTAAATTTCATTAAACAAAGACAAGTTCGATCTGTGTAAGAGGACCATTATCAAACCTGTTAAAATAGAATCTTTCTATAGATGTTGAACTCTAATTTACAGCCAAGCCAAAGAATTCATAGCAAATTTGTGTCCATTTTTAACTTACATGTCCAATTTTTTCAATTTTCATTTCTTTGGTTCATCGTGTTTGTTTACTGACGCTGTTTCATTGTCGATAAAAATAGGCTTGCTCGTAGAAACCTGAACTGAGATTCAGATTAAGAGGTCACGTTTTCTAATAACCGATTCATTTATGTAATTTGTGGTAGAACAGGAAATTATTTCTATCAGTGCCTAACTGCCAGTTAATCTGTGGATTACGCGTGTACAAGTATGATCCTAAAAATTAGGACGGTCTCTAGAGGTGTTGTATAATGAGATCGTTGCCTGCAACTCGCATGATTGATTGATGTTTTAAATGACTAATTTTGTTCTCATTCGCGCATCGACTGTCTCTGCAAATTTGATAATCCTCTGTATGGAAAATGAAGTTGCAAGGTGCCTTTGCCGATGTTATTAATCTAGTTTGATGCGAAGATGGCGTGCCTGCAAATTTCGTTAATTAACAAGCCTTGCTCGACTTTGTAAGTGGATTTAATCAACCAAGACTTCATGTCGCCTAATAACATCACTGGCTGCTTGAGCAATGGTCAATTAGGCAGTGTATTAAATTCATAGAAAGAACATTGTAATCAAATTCCATTTGTCAAAAGGCAAGTATTCTGAACAGGTTAGGCATATTGCAAACGGCAGATAATTTGACCGCACCTGATGATAGGTCTGCAAAAAACAGTCCACGAACAGTTTCGGCAAGATATGTATGAGATCCTGCCAGTAGGAACAGCTGATTTAAATTTTGAACAGGATAAGAAAATCACTCGCTCTGTTTTTGATGGCTCAAACCCTGTGGTTAAAATTCGAAAAATTTGAAGGGGTCTTAATTTGGTTGAGCGAATTAGCAAATATCAAGTTCATTTGTGAACCGTTTTGTTGTGCTAGAGCTTTATTGTTAATGCAGCGGCCTTAAAAGTTGCATCTTGACACGGTGTGGCATCTAGTCATGCCTACAGCATGCACAGCCAGTCCCCCAAACTTTAAAAGTCTCCAAACTTTTTAAAGACCTTAAACTCTGGTTTCAAACTCCAGTTGGCTATTGCCTCATTTACTGGGTTTTAAGACGTTGTGTGAATGCCTAATAAGTTAACTGGGTGTGTGCATGGTACGATGCTACAAGAGGCTGTTCGAAATAGTATATACCTTAGAAGTTTGAAAGATTTAGGTAATATCTTGACAACTGTATTGTTCAATTTAAGCAAAACCTCCCTGGCAATCTTTCTCTCTGGTCTGTTCCAAAAGGAGCCTGTAGGTGATCTTAGGTACTCATCATGGCACTATACAAGGGCATTCTGAATCACACCACATGTCCTATAACTTAACTTCTTGCTAGCCAAGGAAGTTATAAAATCAATTACATATTAAACGTGAGTGCCCTATTTTAAAACGACTGAATTGAATGAATGCCAGTATAAAGAGTATTTTTCAACCACAGGGCCATAGGTGCAACGATCGTCAATAGAACCGAAGAAATAAAGGAAGAAGACATCGGAAAGGGTGCAGGCTTATTTGAAATCAAGAAGTTTGGTGACGAGTAAGTCCTCATTTGCATGACATTGCATCATAACCTCTTATTCGTTTTCGTGTTTGAGTGCTTACCAGTAACTCTTCCAAGGCTAGTTTCTTTAATGAAAATCTACCGCCAGTTACTGTAGTTTAGTCTCAAGTCTTGTTTTGGAGTTCGAGTTTTGCTTTCTGCTAAAAGATAGCAATCGGTGTAGAGTTAGGCTCTTTGTAAACTCAGGAATTGCGAATCCTTTGTTTTGAGTAATAGGCTCATAAGTGACTGTAGTTACTGACTTGGCTCGGTTCTCAAGTTATAAGCGGCTGTGAACTGATTGCAAAAACACCTGTGAATAAAAAATATTTAGACTGTAAGCAATCTGTTTATTGATACTCGAAATGGATAATTAGGAAAATTGAATAGTTAACAGATTAGATTAGAAGATGTTTAGGTTTTGGTTGCTTAAGAAAAGGAGCTGAAACAAATTTAACATTAAATTCCTCAATGATTGGATCATCTTGATTTCATTTTTATAAACTAAACATTGGATTTTTGAACAGCTGAGTTGGTGCAACAGAAACCAAACAGTCATTAATCAACGATAATAAAAGATAACTCGAAGATTGATTATCGAATCAAGCTAAAATCCAATCAAAAAGTACATTTAAAGCTAGTTATTTATTTGTTTAATATTTCGTTCAATAATTGTATATACACTTTATTATCTTTATCTATATTCTATTTAGGTATTTCACATTTATAACAAAATGCAAAGACCCAAAGGCTTGCTCGATCCTGCTCAGGGGAGCAAGCAAGGATATTCTACACGAAGTGAGTCAGGCATTTAAGTTGCTCTGTTTGATGCTTTGCCAGGCTGGGTATTTACTCTTTAACCACCTTCCATTTGTCAATGTTATTTTCCTTTCCAACAACAATATTCAAAAATTTGAAAAATTTCATCGGGGACCTTTTTCGGTGCCATTTATATTGATTCCTGAAAAGTTTTCCAACAATTATTTTTGAACTTAGAACCACTCCTTAATAACACCATAAGTAATTTAAGGTTATCTTAAAAATGCTGATTATTACTGACGAAAGTACTAGAGTCTCTAAGGATATCATGCTCCCCTCAACTCTTCTATCACCCAATGAGAACCCTAGATTGCGGGCACATGTGGGTGCAAGGGTGACTCATTGGTAAGGGTTGCTTACTACAGATCCAAGAGTCTAGGTTGGAGCCCCCGACATGACCAAATTTTCACTAAGAGTCGCCAGCTCTCTGTAAGTCCAGGCGTAGGAATCACGAGGTGTTGTTACATCGAGAGGAAGGACCAGGACACTGCTCGATAAGCATAGCTTCTCAGTTTCCTAAAAATTACCTTCGGATGCTAGGTAGAAACAAACCAACATATTTGACCAGACTCATTATTTCGCGCAGGGAGTCGTCCTTTTGTATAGACCTTGCTTGTGCAGTGCTTGAGTTAATGACAATTGCTTAAAGTTGTCCGTTACTCGCACGCTTAATACCCTGGCACTTGCCACATCACCCCCTTGTACATTATATCGTCCTTGTTTCTAGGTTAACATGAATTCAAACACAGTTAACGCCCAAATGTTTTGTAACTACTATTTATATGTGGTTACGATTAATGCTTTCCTGTCTAACCATATTCTGTTTGGATATGACATTTCACTTGCTTTAAACCTTTGATAGTTTATCAGCTAATCCTTTTTAATAGTTCCGGTTTTTCGGACTATGCTTCTTCCACAAATGAATCTGTGACATAGATTCATCCTTCGATTGTAGCTAGAAGTTCCGCTCTGTGACTATTCTTCTGAGAGAACTTTTCGTTTTTTTAACAAACAAGCATAACTTTTGTCTTTCATTTTGTTTACAAAACGGTCAGAAAACCGTCCCTATTCCAATCTGATCTCACTTTTTGGATACTTCGTACCATTTGCATCATTAATCTTATATTTACGCAAGTAATAATTTTCTATATATTATTTAGTAATTCCCATTCTTCTCAAACTCTGCACTCATCTTGCTGTATGTACCCAGCCATTTTATCCTATTTTTTGATACTCTTTGTCTCATTCAAGTAGCTGAAAAGATATATTTATGCCACTGTACAATAAATAATGCCCCATAGTGACTTTTGGGCCTAAGTTGAAGAAATCGAATTTCGTTTTCTTGGCATGCCAACAGTAACAAAAACCACGACACCAGGCAAATGTTTTTACAACTCTTAGGGATTTTCGAGTAGTACACTCTTTTTTTATAAGAACAATTTTATAAGAACACGAGCCTCAAAATTGGTTAGAAGTTGAGAACAAATTAAGAACAAGCTGAGGCTGAGCTACTGTAAAATGAAATTTTGAACAACGTTTAATCTCAAAAACGAGGATTTTTAGCCATATGTGGGTGCTTTTTCGGTGAATATTCAAACATGTCGGCAAGTGAAGGTTGTCTCACGCACTATGTTGGCAAATGAGGCCTGAACACCTCCCCAAAGCGAAAAGCTAGAAATTGCACTATATATAAATTCAAGAACAAATTAAGAACAATCAGCCTGAACTCAAATTTACTGGTTCTTATAAAAAGAAAAGGGTGTATTTACTATAAACAACTCGCGCTGCCAAGTTATCCATTCATTGATTTATTCCTAAGCTCAGTCGCTTTATAATGGTCTTTGCCAATGATTGATGTTGGCTTAGTTTTCTCTTGTCTATACGCTCATCAGCTAAAGCATCGTGACGTAGAACTTTTTTCGGTGAATTGATACCAGATTCCACGCCTAGCGAAGATCGTTTCTGTTGCTTGTTGCCGCATACTCGCACATGATCTGGTGTGTAAGACAGAATGGCGTTAAGTTGCTACTCCGAGTTTCACACTCAATGCGATCATCAAGTAACTAATCTGTGTGTTTGATGCTTTTCATTACCGGCCATTCTGATAAGATTTTTCGTATCTATCATAACACATTTTAAGAACTTTTCTGTTAGAAGCATCTTTTCAATCTGATAACACTGTTTCATTCTGCCAGGAATCCTTTCGTAATTGACGTCTGCTTTGAGAATAACAAATCCGGCTTAAAGTCTGTCTAGAAGGGAATTTCTCTTGTTGTCTCGAATTTTGTTGTAGTAGCCATCCATAAATCTCCGATTAAGGTCTTTTCTTGTGTGTTTGTTGACTGACTAAATATATGTTCATAATAACCTTTCGTTCTAAATTTAATTCGTTATGTTACACTTTTTCCTGTCATTTTGAAATTTTGCCAAACGAAGGGCTGGTTTAGTTTTATCTAGATTTATCTGTTTTCTAATTCTAGACACAGCTCCACTTAAACTCAGAAATGTTTTGAAATGTTATATATGTCTACTTTGCCCCAAAAATGTCTGATTTCGTGGATTGAATTTCTTTATTTTCTTTGAATTGAGTAGGACAGACTTTCCTCCAGCTTTTCTGTGGACAATGTTTTAATTATGGTTTTTCTTGACCAAGCCCTGATTCAATATTGACACTTTTGTCTTTCAATATTACAGTAGTATGACTGTAACTTGTGACTGTAAACGGAGTATGACTGTGAGCGGAGCTAAATATGATGGTTTTATATAATTGGGCCTAAGTTTTATGTAACTGTTGCCAGTAGTGTGACTTTCGGTGGAGTGACTGTAAGCGGAGTTAACTGTAGACTACATTCTCTATAAGCAAGCGGCACTGATTGGGCAACCTCAACAGTCATGTGCTCGCGTTTCTGATTGGCCTAATTCGATCCACAACTGGGTATATATATTTCCATTATAGCGTGTACGAGTTCTTTCGACAGCGCCGAGTGAAGATGTGCTTAGGCCCAAAGGCCTAAGGTGAGAGATACAACACTTGAAGGAACCGAAGATTGATCTTGATCATTCAATGTTAAAAACACAATTAACTTAAATCACAAGAGTTTCCGAATAGCGTAGAGACAACATATTGGCGCCAATGACGCAATGACACATAAATGCGAAAACACATTGCTAGGAAGCTAAAACCTAACACACACACGTTGCAATGAACTGTATAAGCTGAACGTGGTGACATAATACGAAATTGATCAACACCAAAACTAAACATGTTACACCTTGCATAAAATTTTCGATCTTTGTTCTGTAGTTTTAAACTCTGAAGAGTGTAAAACGAAAAGATTTAGTTTACTTTTCAAAGCCATTTTTATACTATTCATCGAATCTGCCTTGATTTCCTCTCAGGACCTTTTAGTGTCTATCTATCATTGTCCTGTATGATGGGATCTATGGACGGCGCACCAGTCTAAAAGTGGAGGGACTGAAATGGGTGTGCCCGAAAGTTTTTCAGACCACAACCTCTTGAATGCTGGAAAACGCCCTTTTAGAAAATGTTTACTCATTTCTACTGAGCTTTTGTTAATAGTCTGGTTCAGAGAGGATATCAATAACTATAAAAATAGATAAAATTAGCTTGAGGATAATAAAACACCAAGCTAACCAAGTTAGAAAATCATCATATCACTAAACAAAATAAAACACCTAGAAAATGAACAAAAAAGGTTACCAGTCAAGAAGAACTGCTACTACATAGGGGGAAGCTATTCAAAGTTGCGATAAGGCAAATCTTTCAAAAAAATTCTAGCCTATTACTGCAAAAAAGTGTGGGGGGGGCTATACCCCCTGGTAGCGCATGGCTGCGCGGTGCCTGGATGGAACAATTCATCCTTTTCCCTGTCGCTTTTGGCTAAATGATGTTCCGGTTGCTCCGAACCGAACCTACAGTGAAAACCCTTTCTAGCTTTCCAATAAGATCTTGGTTTACCACTTTCGCAATATATTACTTCATCTTGCCAAAACTGGGAAATAAGCACATCCCTCCGATCGAGATTAAAGGTATAAATGAGGTGACGATTTTGTGGCTACTTTTTCCTTCAGACAAAGATATCAGAGTAAGACCGTGCAACAATTCTTACTGTCAAACCAGATCAGGGCCTCATTCAGATTCTTATTTTGAGAAAAGGCAACAGTGGCGGTGGCAGCTACTGGAAATTGGGGATGGGGGGCGTAGCCCATGAAACCACTTACTTTTGTCTCCTTTCAATTTTTTATACCGAGTGCACTTTCTTTAGGCAAATCTTAAAGATATATGATCCACCTCTACCAATGTATTACGTGTTATGAAGAAGAATTACGTTGACAATGTTTCGACAAAAGTGTGGGGGGAGGGTAATTGAGCCCCTTACCACCCCTTGGTGCCGCCACTGAAACTCGGCCAAACTGTTGTGTTTGCGAGTCGTATTCTTCTTATCGCTGACATCGCTTGTCTCTAGGAGTGCTAAGCTTCCAAAGTCTTTTGTCATAACATTGACTAAAATTTCCTAAGAAGTGTGTAATTGGTAACCCAATTTGTTACTCTATAACTTTGAAGCTTCATTTCATTATAAATTTGATTATGCTGTGCTATATAGAGTTACAAAACCCACCTAGCTTTTCTCAATTCTTCAAACACGTCTCATCAGTTGTCTAGTCATTTTAAGTTTTTAGGCGTAGCTTTGACGGAATTACATGAAGTATTATCATTCGTGTATTTTACATGAAGACTAATAAATGTGGTCATGATGATTTTGGTTGTTAGAGTAAGATAAGCCTTCGTTACTGTCTCCTATACCCTCCTTGATATTATTAAAGTATTCTTTGTTCTGTATCTTTGGTGCAAGTATCCGTTAGATATTAATCTCGTGGTCGCTGCAACTTGTTTTTCCATTAAAAACGCAATTAAATTACCCACAAGTGTTTCAAGTACCAGTATCTACTGTCTTAGCCTGCCCACTTTTTGGAATTCCTGTCATGTGGTTTTGCCCAAGGACAATCGATTCAGATCTCATACGCATTTACGCAAAGCAGATCAGTTTCCAAGGAAATTTCCTCTCCCAAACATCTCAAATACTTATCGGATGACAAGAGGTGAAAAATCGCCAAAGTCTTTCAACACACTGGTTTGGGTATTCATTCAATTCATACTCGGTGGTTTCAAGTTTTTTAGCTTCGGGAGCTACGTCTCTGAAAACCTTTCTCGGGATCCCTAGGTTTCGCTGAGCCTTCCAACCCTGTTGCTGCGCCCCGGGTAAGTTGCCTAGAATCCCCTAGAACTTAACTGAAACCTGAAATCTCTTTATGGGCTCCTGGCCTATCCAAGTTTTGCGGATTTTTCTCGGTCCTGTATGAGAACTTTATACTCAAAGCCGATAGCTGTAGATTTAAGACTGTCTCTTGGCAAGGTTGGATGGCAAGGACAATATCAATTTTGCTAATCGTCTTTAAATCAATTTCCTAAGAGCAATTGTCCGTTATCTGAAAACGAGGCCCATTTCGTATTGGTTTTCAAAACGAGGCTATTTCCTAGACTGTTTAAGGCAGAGACCCAGACAAGATTGGAATTTTGTTACTGTAAGCGAAGACTGACAGACAGTGAACGTCGTTCTGCTGTTTGGGAGCTAATCAAGCCAAAAGATTGGATTGATAGTGGCAATAGGATATAGTGATGTGAACGCTGTGGAAGTCCCACGTGTTACGGAGGTGCTCCCTGACGAAAGTTATATAAGATAACTACAATAGCCAAGGTTGTCATTGAAAAAGGGTTTTTTTTCTTCGATTTTTTCACAATAGGACGTTAGTAGTAAAATTTTTGTGTGGGAACTGGAATGGGGCAAAAACAGCAGAATAGCAATCGCATTTTGTTGAATTTGATGATTTATTTCCATGACGGGGATAATGTTGTGAATTTGCTATAAAACGTAGGAAATTTCCTAGCGTAGAGTTTTCGATCTATGTTCTGACGTTTTAAACTCTGATGAGTGTCAGACGAAAAGCTTTAGTTTACTAAATGGTTGCTTTTTTCAAAGCCATTTTCAAGTTTTGTACCACCAAAAGATTGTTTGAATAAAAATAGTTGTGGATTATCAAGAGCAGAAAAGGCAGGTGGTGCCCTCTTTAACAAGTTACGTTTGGTATAGACAAGACTATATTTGATGAAAGTAAAACTCATAAAGCTAATTTATTGTACTTGCTGAAGTTGGGGTTTCTTTAGAAAATACGTGTCATGTTTTATAAAAAAATTAGTTAAGACCTGGTAACTGTAGTATTCCGAAGTTCTAGTTGTAAGTCGGATCTTTGTTCCACATAGAATTTTTTGTTTTCTTTGAGCATTTCTCACACTTTTAATCACTCTTTTAAGAAACTGTAAGTCGTAGTGGAGCAACAAGCGATCACGGGCCCCCTTTGAAAACAAGGGGGCAGCGTTTAATAGACTACATCAACTTCGGGAGCCAAAAATGTTTCTCGGGACCCCTAGGGCTCGTCCCTGATAAGTTGCCTAGAATTCCCCCAGAGCTTAACTGAAGCATGAGGTATTTTTATAGGCCCCTGGTCTAGCCCATTTTAAAGTCATAGGGGTATTTAAACTTAGATAAAAACTCTTTTTGGAAACCATCAAGCAACAAAGACTTTATTTGATGTTTTCTTTATAGGTCGATCGAAACTTGAATGATGCTTTAAATGTTGCAAGAAACGTGCTTTTGGAACCTCGCCTTGTCCCTGGAGGTGGTGCTGCCGAGATGGCTCTTAGCCACGTAAGTTTCTTCGATCTGTTTTTAAAAGTTTGCATATCTTAATTTCACCTAAAATACTTTTTATTTAATTTTTTTTAATTGGACAGAGCACGGGGATATTTAATGAATTATTCTCTTCCAATTTGTATGATCTTAGATAAACGTTCTCATTTTGTATTCAGGTTTTGAAAGGAACTTTAACACGGTTGTTGGAATGTGATAAGATTCTTAAAACACAATCAACCTTACAGGCAATTGACAGATACTAAAGAGGCTACAGCCATCTGTCAGTTAAATCTTGACCAATCAATAAGCGTCTGAATGGTATCGTGCTCGTTGATTGGCTAGTTATTTATTGACAGACTGTTTAAGGCCCTTTAGTATCTGTCGATTGGTTCTAGCTCCAGTTTCTGACTTGAAAATTAGTAAATAATATTTAACGCAAAAGAACAGCCAATAATTTCAGGGTTTGTATAAAGCTTAATCAGTTTGGAATCTATTTTTTACCGGTTGTTGCACTTTTTAAAGGAGAATTCGTACTTTTTATATGAAAGTTGACAAGCGTTGACTTTTTGGGAAACTTTTACAATGAGGTACTTTTTTACTCTTTACTATACCAAACTGTACTCAACTCTACTGTACTGTATTGTGCTGTACTTTACTGTACTGTACTGTACTGTATTGTACTCTACTCTACTCTACTCTACTCTACTCTACTCTACTCTACTCTACTCTACTCTACTCTACTCTACTCTACTCTACTCTACTCTACTCTACTCTACTCTACTCTACTATACTCTACTCTACTACTCTACTCTACTCTACTCTACTCTACTCTACTCTACTCTACTCTACTCTACTCTACTCTACTCTACTCTACTCTACTCTACTCTACTCTACTATACTCTACTCTACTCTACTCTACTCTACTCTACTCTACTCTACTCTACTCTACTCTACTCTACTCTACTCTACTCTACTCTACTCTACTCTACTCTACTCTACTCTACTCTACTCTACTCTACTGCTTTGAACTGTATTGTTTTGTACTCTACTGCTTTGTACTGTATTGTTTTGTACTGTATTGTTTTGTACTGTACTGTACTGCTTTGAACTGTATTGTTTTGTACTGCTTATTTACTGTATTGCACTATATTGTCCTATGTGGTTTTGTAACAACCGAGCCCTAAACAATCATTTCCTAAGCTCCAATACACTGCTACCAGCAAAGCATTCCAATTATCCAATTTTAGTGTTTTGCATTTTAAATGTAGTTTACACTGCAATCAATCTTAGAGCGTCGAAAGTTCAAGCCAAAATAAAACATTACCCAGGATCAAGGCTTTTAGATTTTAAAGACGATTCCTGCAAAGAAATCCGGTTCAATTGGCTATTTTATTTTTTGCATTGAAATCGTTTTGACTTCTGATGAATATTAATAGCTTCTAGTAATTGAATCCAATGACCTTTCATTTATTGAGTGCAGAAAGCTAATCAAGATACGAAGCGTGAATATATTTGCCAAGCTAAATGTCACTTCACTAGTAATACTCCTAACTCTATTTTACAGTCCAAATTTTGCAAGGAGAAACGTTTTGATGAAATGTAGTTTGCAAACCCTGTATTTGTCATTCACGAATTTTCAAAGCTTTCTAGCAGCCTTGTCCATTGTTAGAGAAATCGAAAGGCAGTGTTAACATCAATTCCCCCATTCTATTCCTTGGCAAACATCACTGGTTAAGCGCTCAAAATATGGAGGCACAATATGTCTCCTTTGGCTGGAACAGAGTCAATGATATAGAAGCGCCAAAGGCGCTAGATGTCTAACTGGGCATAATTGCCAATTGAGCCGGTGAGGCAAAATTACTCAAGCGGTAAAAGGGCAAAAAGACGATTCCGCATAAGGGTTCAGTAGGGGAAATTGCAAGTTAGACGAAGAAAAACCAAGATTATCGAAAATTAGCATAATTTTGAAAGGTTAGTTATATTTTGCTAGCTTGCCGTATTAATTTCAAAAGTTTTAAGCCATAGATTGTGTTGTTAAATAGGGTTTCAAGATTTTTAAATTATTTATTGCTGCGGCGCTCGCACGGTCCACTCTGGCCTAGGTAATGTTTACCTTTTCAGGTAGACTGTTTTCGGGTTTATTTGCAAAAAAACCAAATATAATTTCAAAATTGGTTTTATTTTGTATTTTAAAAGTAAAAGGGTAGATGTAAGCAAGAACTCTTATAACATTATGACAACTTGTTAAATGAACACTCCCCTACTTCGGCAACCCCCTGCATATGACTTCTGGTAAAAATTTCAGATGTAAGGAGTGAAAAATTTATGATTCATATCAAGTCTTTCTTATGACAAGACCTTCCCTCTAACATTCATCAGCAAATCAGACTTTTATTTACGGACATCAGGATGTTGTAGGAAGAGGGCGTGGCTTATCAGAAATGAAAATGACCTCTTTTACCACGGTTCCTTAATGTTACGATAAAAAATTTACACAGGATGTTTTCATAAGCGCGAAATTTTGTAAATAAGCCCAAAAACAATCTTCCTAGAAATATAAATATTCTCTAAACCAGAGTGCCATTATCAACACCACGGTAAATAAATACCTCAAAACCCGTGTACAAACAAAAATTATGGCCTAAAACCTTCTAAATGCATACGGTAAGCTGACAAAATATAAGTTACCTTCCTAAATTAAATAGATTTTCTAAAATTTTGGGTTTCGTTTGCCAGCTTCGGAATTCCCCGTACTGATTGCTCATATGGAATCATCTTTTTGCCCTTTTTGAGTTGTTGTAAAGTCTAGATCGGAGCATAGAGAAATTCCATTTGTGAGATTATGTATGTGATTTTCTTAACAAAATTGTGCTTACTACATACTCAGCCACAATAGCCAACTAACTAACTTTAAGGTCATGTGCCGAAGCGATTTAGCACGAAAGACATGTCAACGCAGTGGTCGACGGGAGAAAGACTGGGCACCACCCTATTCCCAGGACTCGATCGCTCCAACACACTCCCCCGGTTTGATATACAGCGAAATCAAACATCCTTATAAATACGAATACAAAATCAACTACAATCTATTAAATTTCGACACATAACTGCAAATCACAATATATTCATTTACGTTTCATACTAGCTTGCCTTTGCAACTCTCCAATAATAGCAGCGTTGCGCTTCGCCCTAGTAACAGCTTGCAGTGGTTGCGAAGGCGCTTGTTGCCCTTGCCTAGGTTGCGTTTGCTGCGCACTATCTTGAGGTGGCATTGCTCGCGTGTCCTGGTTTGCATTAGCGGCACACTCGGTTTTCTGCCAATAAGGACATCGAATTTCTAACGGAATAAGATATTTCAAATTTCGATTCAAAACTTTCTTACTGCCATCCCGTGATAATACTAATACCCTGGCTGCTCGCACTGTACCATCTGTTCCTGCCAGCAGCTCTAACACTCGGCAAAGTTTCCAAAAGGATCTTTTCGTTTGGTCATTCCTAAGGATACAAATATCATCAATTTTTATGTCAGGGTTGGTCTTACTACTGTTTCTTGGCCTGTAAGTTTCCAACAACCCCAGTAGGTACTCTTTCCTCCATCGATCTACAAAATTAGAAAGTAATTTTCGATTATACTTAGCTCGTTTCGACAAACTCTCATACGTATTAATTACTTCAAAATGTGCTTCATTTGGGTATTGACTCAAGTTACGACCGTTTATTAATTGGGATGGGGTTAGTGGATATGATATCCCGTCCGTATCATCAAAAACGTAGGTTAGGGGTCGTGAATTTATTACTCTTTCAATTTCCACGACAATTGTTTCCAATTCCCCATAACTTAGTGTCGCTCGACCCACGACTTTCGTCAGACAACGTTTTGTGCTTCTTATCAGTCGCTCCCAAAACCCCCCGTAAAATGGTGCGAGTTCTACGATAAACTTCCATTTTACACCTCTTATCGTAAAATATTCAGTTAGTTTGAGAGAACGCAGTAGTTTAGTGATCTCCTTGGAGGCCGACTTAAAGGTTTAGGCATTGTCGGAAATCAACAATGAGGGTGTCCCTCTACGAGCACTAAAGCGTCGATAAGCACAAATAAAATCTTCAACGCTTAATGATTCGACAACTTCAAGGTGAACTGCTCTCGTAGCAGCACACGTAAACAAGCACAGATAGCATTTAATTTGTTCGTCTTTATTCCATCTACCTGTTACCATTAATGGTCCCGCAAAGTCTATGCCTACATTTGTAAAGGGCGGACCACTATCAATGCGGAACTCTGGTAATTCAGGGCTGTACACGGTCTTGAAGGGTAAACCCTCAAGTCTCTTACACAAAATGCTACGACGTACGAGTTTTCTTACTTGTTCCCTCCCCCGGAGAACCCAATAACGCTGTCTCATTAAGTTTAACGTGTCCTTTACACCGTTGTGGAACACTTTATCATGGCAATCCTTAATTATTAGCTCCGACAACCTACTTTTAGCAGGCAAAAATACAGGCCGTTTGCTACTTTCAGCAATTGTAGACTTTCCTACACGTGTTCTACATCGAAGAATCATGTCCTTATCCAAAAATAGATTAAACTGGTTTATGTACAGCGGTGTTTTCGTACCCTTTTTGCCTGATTCCGAGCTTAACAAATATTTTATTTCAGATGAAAATGACTCGTGCTGAACTGACCGTATTAATACTGTTTCTGCCCTTTGAATTTCCGGGACACTTAAACCTTCGCTACGATTTATTTCAGTACCTTGTACCGCACTTTTCAAGTTGGAGATAAATCTTATAACCCATCCAAAACTTCGTACCAGTTTACCCTTGTCGTTAAAACGCGTTATATCAATAAGTTCTTCGAATTTCCCCTTTGAAGTAAATATTGCGTGGGTAATGATAGGCCCCTGTTTAACCCTTTCCTGCAATGCTTCTTCTACGACCAACTCACTGCCATTAGGGGACTTGGGCCATTCCTGTGGTTCTAACTTAAGAAATTGTGGACCCTCCCACCAGAACGA